CACACTCAACGGGCGAAGATGGCTTCGGCAGCAGCAGCACCTGTTGCGGATCCAAGATGGAAGACGCTGATCGCAAAGAGCATAGCTGAGAACATCAAGAACGATGGCTCTGTGTGTGAGTATCGAAGCTTGATGTGATTTTGCGCTTGCGAGACGGCTCGCTGAACCTCGCATTCTTCTGGGGTGGGGTGGGGGGGGGGGGGAGCAGTGTACTACGCACTTTCGAGCGTGATCCCAGGTTCCCCACCTACTCCTCAAGTCCGATACGTCGTTCACCGTGGCTTTGTGAACGAGAAGAGAGCAGATACGCCAGAGGGTGTAGAGCCGGCGCTGGATGGGTTTGCCTGTGGAACGGCGCTTTTAACCACGACGGACGTTAGGGCTCCCAAAGCGCAACAGATTCGGGACAGCATAGAAAGGACGGGAAGCGCTCAGGCTCAGATTGCTTGGTGGCACGATCCGTCGAAGCTGCAGGTTAGTGCGCAGATGGGAAAAGAGAAGCGGGGGACGCTGGACAATTCTGCTAAACGGTGCTCATTGGCTGACTCGAAGGTGCTACCCGATAGTTTCGAATCACGGGCACTTTGCACCTCGTGCCCCATGCCAATCATCCAACACTCCGGCCTTTGCCCTCCGAAGCCGCCCCGCCGAAGATCTCCGGTCAATCATGGGATTGGCAACAAGAGCGCAAGAGAATCTTTGAAAAGCTCAGCCCTTCCTTGTTGGCTTCCTTTGCCAGACCTACACCCGGCTCCGATCATCCTCAGGGCAATTCTCGCGGCGACGGACCAGGCGAAGGAGAAGGCAAAGGAGATGCGAGCCCTTGGCCTTTGGAACTACCAAAGCCTACGGACGAAGGAATCACCGACGAACAAGAGAAGCTGCTAGAGAAGAGCAATGAGAAGTGAGTCACTCGAGGTAGCCCTTTGGGCCCTCGGCCCTTTTCTGGGTTCAAGAGTGTCACTTTTGCGAGCCTTGGCTTCTCTGACCCTTACATCGCCTCTACACCTCGATGACTGCTCAATCTGTCTCCAGCTTCGCTCTCGTGGTCCTGCTACCTCGCGAGGTGGACGTGGTCGACCTCAATCGAGACAGACGGAGCGTGTTCAAGCGCAAAAGCGAAGGCACTGGCAAAGGAGCTCATGAGGAATGGGAGGAGACGCGCGTAGTGCCTTGAGATGCTCGACATTGCGGGGCCTCCTACCAATGGATCTTAACAAAATTTGGGTGACTTGCATGCATGCTTTGTGCCTTCCCATGTGTCATTCGGGGTCGTTTGTGTACACGTGCGGGAAATCATTTGGCTTTATGACCTGCTTTCTTTGCCTTGTCGGCGAGTTGCACAGAGACCTTTACCGCTCCCAGCAGCGCTGATAGTTGGATACGCTCAGAGCACCCGGTGCTCAGTCGGTGCCTGAGTCATGAGAGAAGAGCCATGCAAGTGGGACGTAAGTCAAGTGTGGATTGCGGGCGTCGCGAGCAAACTCACTCGATCGTGGCGAGTTGATCCAGCAGATAGATGCGCGCGGTCGGGGGCAATTTGAGCGTCATCAGAAAGTCGTAAATGCCGCTGACCATGTCTGCCATGGCCATGCCTTTCGAGACTTTCAATGACGACACATCTGGTCCAGGCAGATGGAACGGCGGCGTCAGTGGACGTGAGCTCATTCAGTATGTCAACTCGCTGGCACGTACAGTTGTAGCTTGTGGAGAACTCGTCATTCATCATGCTGCCCACAATCAGCTCGATATCGCTCGGATGAGGGTTGCCCGTGCACGCATACACTGCAGTCTCGTCGATCTTGTCTTCATACGCAGCATGACAAGCTTGCAAGATGTTGAGAGCTCTACGCATGTCCCCTTTGCTCAATTTCAGCAAGGCTTCCTTGCCATCTTGGGTCACATTGCACCTGCGATCCAGGTTGGGGTTTCAGCAAAGCACTTCTGAGAAGTGCGTCCCCTATGCCAGACGCTCCAAGCCACACTCACTTTTCGCTGTCGATAACATGGTCCAATCGGCCTTCGACCTGGTCCATTTCCAGTGGGTTGAATCTAAATCGCGTGCACCTTGATTGAATGGCAGGGATGATTTTGTTGACGTAGTTGCAAATGATGCAGAACCTCACGTTCCTCGTATACTGCTCGATGACTGCGATGAACGCGGCAACATGGGCAGTAAGCTTCATCCCTTGACACGGAGCCTAGGCCAAGGGAGTGCAGCGTCGCGCTGATCATTGAGTTCACTCACCTCGCCGCAACGCGCCCTGAGCAGCGGTGGTCATCGCATCTGCCTCGTCTAGTACAATGAGCTTGTAGCCGCCAGGTGCAGCAGTGGTACCGCCTCCAACAGCGCTAAAGACGTTCCTCGTGCTAGCAAAGCTTTTGATCTGTTCTCGTACGACTTCTATTCCTCGATCGTCTGAGGCATTGAGCTGCGCGATGTCGAGGGAGTGGCAGGTACGAATTTGGCGAGTGAGCACCAAGGCAAGGAGCGAAACGCACCTGTTCGCGCAAGAAGCACAAGGCTGCACGACTTACCTCGAGCACATTGTTCTTCCACCGCTCTCCGTATATGCGCCTGGCCATTGCCAGGATCGTGCTCGTCTTGCCCGTTCCCGGCGGACCGTAGAAGAGCAGGTGAGGTAACCTGTTCGCATCGATGAAGCGTTCGACTGCCAGCCGAAGCGTCGGCAGTCAATTTCGACGAGAAGCGGAGAAGGCACATCGAGAGGCTGCGTTCCTAAACAGACAGTCGACTTACCCGTCGCTGTGATATCCTTGTGAGAAACGAGGTCGTCCAGCGTGCTAGGACGATACTTTTCCACCCTGTGCGAGCAGCCATTCGAACAGGTCGTCAGTCTTTGGGCAGCCACGCTCACTCTCTATCCCATCCCAACCCGTGCCGCTGGCAGCTCACCAAGGCAAAAGATCCACGCTATCTTCATTCTCCTCCTCTTTAGCCTTTGCTTTTCCCTTGCCCTTGTCGAGACCCTTGGAAGGCCAGGAGCTGTTGCCATTCTCCGTCGCCTGTCCACCGCCCGACGCGTCCTCCATCTCTACATCTGAAGACATACTCGTTGGCGTAGATGAGCGACAAATGTGGACACGACTTTGCGTTTTTGAGAGTTACTCTGTTGTCTTGGTCAAAAGGGTCTGCCTGATCTTCTTCGGCCCGGCAGGCTGCGATCTCGGTGCGGATTGAGAGAGTGCGCGCCACAGCGAGGTAACGAAAGCTTTTAAGGTGCTGGATCCGTAGACGAGCTTACCAAGTGACTGAGTGGAGACATTCCCACTCACACTTGAAGTCGAGAGCGAGTCAACGTGAGCATTCACTGCTTCGCGTGCGGCGGGCGGCATGCGCTCGTCGCTTGATCGTGCTCGTTTACGCGTCGTCCTCGACGCGTCTTGCGGTGCGCGCTGCTGTGGTAATCGTGATTTCCAAAGTTACATTCAGATTCATGATTTTACTCTCTCGCGCAGAGCTGTACGAATACCGTGCGAGAGAAAATGTCTGGAATGCATGCATAGTCACAGTTGAGTGAATGGTTGGTGTCGAGCCGCACCCACCTACTGCATCGGTTCCTGCTATTTGCACCATCACCGGACTGAATTTGAATGCCATCGCTCCACCACTCACGACTGCCAGGCACACCCGCATCGCTCGACCACCTCGTCAACGCTTGCTCGCCTGCTCGCCTCGCGTCACGTCCGCTGGCTTGCCGCCATTTCGATCAGATCACATGGCTTCCAGCGAGGCATCCACCTCTGCCGCTGCGGTGACGAATGTAGAGACACAGGCTACCATCTTCAAGCGGCTGCATCCGCACGCCTATCTGGCCTCATTTCTCGATGCAGAGCCTTCGGTCCGCGAAGATGGACGCTCTTCGTTCGACTTCAGGTCCGTTGATATCGTCACAGGCAGCATCAGCACAGCCTTGGGAAGCTGCACGGTCCGTCTGGGTCAGACTACCATCGTCGCAGGTGTAACAGCAGAAATCGGCAGGATCGAGTCTCAAACCTATGATCCAGAAAAGCGAAAAGATAGAGGCTGGATCGTGCCCTCGCTGGATCTCAGTCCCATTTGCAGTCCCAGGTTCAAATCGGGTCCTCCTTCAGAGGAAGCTCAGGTACTGACCAGCAGGATCATCAACCTGTTGGACTCTTCCAATCCTGTCGATCTGACGACGTTATCGATCCAAGAAGGGGAAGCAGCTTGGTGCTTGTACATCGATCTGGTCTGCTTGAGCTACGACGGGGGGGTCCTGGACGCTTGCATGCTCGCCATTGCGGGTGCGCTCTCGGATACCACGATACCAGCGGCCAGATGGGATCCCGAGGAAATGACGGTAGTCTGCTCAGCAAAAGCAACAGACCGGCAACGCTTGCACATCCGCAATGTACCTCTGGTCAGCTCTTTCGACATCTACAAAACCCACCTGCTCTCCGATTGCTCAGCCTTCGAATCTGCTCTCGCCTCGTCGCACATAGCCATCTGCTTGAGTACGACGATGGACGAACGAACTGCAGCACCCACTTTGAGCCACCTTTACCAGGCAGGTAGATGTGCTTGTGTACACAGAACACCCAAGTCAGAGGTGCAGAGCCTCAAGCAAGATTCAAACAGCAGCAGCTCGGGATTGAAGGATCTGCAGAGCCTGCTCGCAAGTGGCAAAGCACTGCCCGAAGGTCACATAGCGCTGGACGATGAGCGGACTCTTGAGCTGTCCTTCTTGCGTGCAAAGAGACGCTACGCATACCTCAGAACGCTATTACAGGACGCTCTGAGGAGGAGCTGAAAATGAATCATCACGATGGCATATCCTCGACGCGACGTCGATTGTGCTGCATCACCGCAATTGAGCAGTCTTGAAGACATTTCGCCCAGTGAAGCAGGCGCTTGGGCTTGGCCTTGCCCAATACTAGACATGAGAGTTTGTCGCATTGAGCGTACAGTGGACATTGCCTCGCAGAAGGTGAAGTGCGTCCACATATTGCCATCACCATTCGTGATTAGTGCACCACGGTCAAGGTTGCATGGCGCGCGTTGCCCTCAACCACGCCTCGCAACGCTCGCCTGTCGCGTCACCTGCTGTGCATGTCATGTATGCTCCACCGCTTAGTGCAGCACGGCTGGTTGGCTGGCCGATCGAATCATCCGACACAAGATGGTGAAAATGTGCATGCAATAGATATGGCAAAAGGCCTTCGTGTTGCATCATTCACTTAGATCTTTCCTAGGCGAGACCAGTCTACGGGTCTTCTCGCAAAACGTTTGTGCCCCTCCACCCCACTTGAAGCGACTCTGACGTGCTTCAAGTCTGCAAGGTGCCTCATCGTAGGTCTGCCGTGAGGGCAATTCTGCCGTGGAGGCGCACGGGCATGTTTCAGAAAATTTGCGCCGAGAAAAGCAACAAAAGGTCACATGGACGCACCACTCACCCAGGGTTGCTCGATCTCGCTGAAGTGTAGGAGGATGTTTGACATTTGTCTCTGGTTCAATGCTTTTCCAATCATGACGCTCTTCCGACAAGCTCTGCTGGCAAACATTGCACGAGCTTTCGAGCAGCGCACGCTGCGAGAAGCGCTGCCTCCGGGCACCGTGTCTGATAGCAGGTGAATGAGCTCCTCGAGATCTGCAAGGCAAGCATTTTCGTGCGATCAGCGCATCTCCCTTGACATTGAGCTGCATTGATCGAGGCTTACCTGCTACACCAAACACAGTACCCTTGCTGACGGGCTGTGAGATCAATCTGAGGCGGGTGCCAGGCAAGGCGCCCTCGTCGAACTGGAGCTCAAAACCGTTCAGTTGGATCGCCTCGATGTGTTCGGCGGCGACCAATTCATCAGCGGGAGAGAGCTCGAGTACTCGCGGACTGAGGTTGTTGAACGTGAGCAATGACCTTCTAAGCAACTTCATAGCAAGACACTGTCACGAGAACTCACCTTATGAGACGCTGGCCTCTTATTCGCGTCTCACGCTGCAAGGTCTCGAAGTTGTACTTCTCGTCAGATGCATGCTGGTCCACAATGAAAAGATCGTCCATCGCCTTGGCTAATTCGCCAGCGTGTGTTCGTCTACGAGCAATGATGAATCCGAGATTGAATTGCCCTGCAACTTGCATGTCTTTAAAATCAGCTTTGTTGATGACACGACTGAGCTCGCGCTCCACTGCTGCTCCATCTTGCGCGCTGACCCCTGCTCCCCGAATGGAATCCTGCTGATCTGCATCTTTCTGCTGCTGAGCTTGGGTGGACGAGCGGGCAGATTTTGCCTCTCCTTCGCCCGGGAAAGCCGCCGCCCGAATTCGGCTCTCGAGATCGCCCATATCGAGGCTAAGCAGACTTTCGCTGGCATTGATGAAGCTCAAAATTTCGTCGCGGTAAGATCGAGCTTGCAAAGACTTGTCAAAGTCAGTCAGACTAGACGCGCCATCGTCAAGATTGTCCAAGTGAAGGTTCCGCTCAGCATCCTCATCCTCGACCAAGTTGTCTGTCATCCCCTCTTCGTCCTCGGGTGCTTCAGAGCCGCTGGCTGGCATTGGAGGGTCTTCGAGCATCTCGCTCGCTGGCGAGCTTTCATGGTGCTCAAGCGCGTCCGGGTCTTGCAAAGGCTCCGCGCTAAGATCCCCCATCGAGCCTGGCGGAGCGTACTTTGCCAGCGTGCTGCGCAAGTCAAGCTTGAAGCTCGAGCTGCCAAATTTGGAAATATGCGAAGCTCGTGAAGCGGAATGGGTGGGAAGGTCGATGCTTCGTACACCAGAAGGTGAGTCGTCCCCGTTCGCCAACGCCGCCGAGACAGATGGAGCAGTAAGACGGGGAAGGTGTTCCATCCTGGTCCCTGGCACAATGCGGTCATGCTGTGTTGAGAGCTTGCCGGTCGCTTCGAGAAGGGAGTCTGCAGGTGGTGTCAGCACTTGCGAGCTTGTGCTGGGCCTCGCAGATTGCGGGAAAGCAGCAGCGCTTTCTGCCTCGCGCTCGATCACATGATCCGCATTGATTCCATCCGCTTGGCCCTGCGCGGCAAGAGTTCGCTCGACCAAACGCGGAGAAGAGTCTTGAGTTCTCATTGTTGATCCTTCTGATTCGGCAGCTGGTGAGCTGAGTAGCTCGTCCATGTCACTCGACGTGCGCATAGGCGAGGCTGTCGTGCCGGATTCTTGTGAAGCGCAATCAGCGACCTCTGCGCGCGTGTCCCCTCTCGAATAGTCCTCGACGCTTGAGTTGAGCGCTTCGAAGCTGATTTGCGATTGCTTCGTGGGTACTTTGCTGGCAGCCGGGCCGAGGTCCGAGACCATGAAGCTCCCTCGAAAGGGTGCAAATGCCGCCTCGAGTTGAGTCTAATTGCACGACTGAGTAAGTCGATGCTGCACTCGTGGCCACAAGCAGCATGCAGATTCACCACTCACCTTCAATTGCTCTGTTACGAGGGTCTCGTCGTGTATCAGCAGAGTCCGTTTGTCGGGGCTGACATTGACGTCGTATCGAGAACCAGGCACTTCAAAGTTGGCAACCAAAAGCGGGCTTTGATTGGTGTTGAACGACCGATAGACCTCATTGAACGCTCGTATAATGCGTGCATTATCCCAGGGCCGGCCATTGAGATAAAGATTTTGACGATCCGTCGAAGCTCGGCCGTGGCCTATTTGCGGCTTCGAAATCAAGCCCGCGACCCTAATGACGGAGGGACTGTCGCCTTCGGAGTCCTCATCTCGTCGTTCCTGACTATCGTCTTCCTCGTCCGTCTCACTGTCAGCAGCTTCAGAGCCTGAACAAGGCCCATTGACAGCGTCGCTGTCGGCTCTGCTCACGCGTCTCCGTTTGCGCACTCTGCATGTTTGGGCAGCCCTTAACCTTCGAGGGGAGCGCCTACAGCCACTTGTTTGTAGTTCAAGGTTCATGGGCATGAGAGTCTGAGCTGTCTTTGCCCCGAAGAGCGTGCTCACGTTGCTGAGCATGTAGCCAGGTCCTACGGGTGACTGCAAAGAGAGGACTGGAGTCTTGCGACTAAGAAGGAGGCACAGTAGTGGTCGGGACACAAGACGCGGTCAGCTTCATATTGGCTGTTTGCCTGAGAGTCGAAGCGTTGGAGCTGGGCTACTCACCCTCCCTTTGGCGTGTTACTGACGCTCCACCTCGCACCTTTGCTGATCAGCGCGTAGGCTTGCAGAACACTTTGGGCCTTGGCGTATTCCCGCTTGAGGTTCCTCTCGAATTCGCGCCGTCTGACGGGAAGAGAGGCGAACAGATCCTGGACGATGACAGTCGTGCCGCGCTGAGCAACCGACGCTACATGGTTTGAGCATCCTTGCATCACATTTCGCAAACTGAGTGATGAGAAGATCCACTGACCTGACGCGCACTCTTGCCTCTCTTGTCCCTCAAAGAGCCGTCGGCACCCAGCTCAAGCACTGTTCCGACGGGTGCCGTTTCCTTCGTGGCGGTGAGGAACTGCACCTTGGCCAAAGCACACAGGCTCGAGATGGCTTCTCCTCTGAACCCAAATGTCGATACGCTGGTCAAGTCGTCGAAGGAGTCCAGCTTGCTCGTGTAGTGCTTCAGTCCTGTTCGTGCAAGGCAGAGAGAGGGTGGCGAAGCCGTATCTTGAGAGTCAACTTCGACATTTGATCATTTGCCCTGCGCTCTCCAGACTCACCGACGCCCTCATAGTTGGTGGGATCAATACCGCTGCCGTTGTCAATCACCTCTATGCTATCCCCGCCATAGTCCTTGAAGCGGACCTCTGCGTCGGTAGCACAGGTGTGCCAGTATCATAAGCACGCGCCGGAAGCAAGGCTCATGACTGCAAGGCTTACCTATGTTGGTCGCCCCAGCGTCAAGCGCATTCTCGATGAGCTCTTTGAGAGCACCTTGCAAATCCAGGACCACCTGACCGCTGGTGATTTGGTGCACGGCGCTCCTAGGTATCGCCTGAATAGCTGATGGGTCCCGCTGCAAGGCGGACGAGCTTGAGCTTGCCTCGTGTGCGGTCTGCGATGACGCCTCTTCAGTCTGCTTGGCCTGTGAGGGCTCAGAGTGATGCACAGGTCTGGAAGAGGCAGCTGTAGGCCCCGAAGGAATGAAAGGTGTGAACGGCATGGCAGATCCGCTCTCCTGAATCTTGCGATTCGGATGCGGTCAGAGTGGACACTTCGTCCGTTTGCACTGGCTCGAGAGGCGTGGGGGCAAATATAGCAATGGGAGGTGGGGGAGGGGGGGGGAAGAAGAAGCCTCGCCGAGGAGAAGCAGCGAAGCGCGCACCAAGATTTGTGATTCTGATCGAACCCGAACAGCTATCGGTGTTGGATCCAAACAAATGGATTGACTCAAGTCACGAGTCAAGAGTCGTGCGTCAAAGTAACGCGCCGACACATCAATTAACACGTGCGCGTGAACGCGTATGACATACGCGCACGCGTCGGTGCGAAAGCCGCTTCACGCTCTGCACCTCGATGCAGTTGACGGCCAACCAGACGCCGTTGAGGCACGTTGCGATGCAAGCGCGCGGTACGTGCAAACGGTAAGCGGCGTGCTTCAAGCATGCCATTCAACTGTGATCAACATCGAGCAAAGGAGAAGAATATCCGGAGAAGAAGAGACACTGCGGCCATGTGAGAGAGTAAGAGATCTGATCTGCGCAGTCGAGAGTTGAGACGGCAAACACAACATGACGAGACCGGGGATGCGAGGACTAAAGAGAGGCGCAAGATGAAAAGGGCGCATATCGCGCTAAGAACATTGACAGGTGATTGGAAGACGAAGTATTAAATGCCGCCTCGGAACGGAGAGGGTCTGATCGGTGTGGAGCGCAATAGGTGATCATCTCTTGCGTTGCGAAGAGACGCCATCGATATAAGCCTCGCTCATTGGTCGTGGCCTAAGGCGCGACGAGGTGCTGGTTGGTGCGGGCAGCTGCGACGTTGGCCTCACGGGTGTCCCTTGCAGAGTAGGCGACTCTTCGCGCACGGTCGGTGGGATGATGCGGCCTTGCTTCGAAAGCTGCGAAGGCTGACGACCTGCCCGGTCTGAAGCTACCATGTCGCGTGAAGTGTCTTTATCAGGAGCTCCATTCGCCATCGCGGCATTCTGTGCCTTGGAAAGGTGGTGTGCGCGGATCAGCTCGAGAGCGACCTGCGCCCACATTGGGTTCGGCGGAATTTCCTGAGAGATCATCCGTTCGAAGCATGCGAGCCACTGCTCCTTTTGTTCATCGGTGTCCGCAAAGAAGTTGATTCGCTCCCCATCCGCAAAGGTGATTCTAAAGGAACGCTCGACGTGATAGGCCTCGTCCGGTTCTTCGTCTTCCACTGCTGCGACGAAAGACTTGGCACGAGCCGACATGGAGATTGTAGATGGCGTGTGAGGGCCTGGGCTGCGAGAATGAGGGTCCCAACTTCCTTCCACCGCCACCGCCTTTGATAGATCGATCTTGACCGTGGGCTTCTTGGTGATTTCATTGTAGCCAATGAGATGCGCTCCCTGCGCCTTGACCGGCCGGCGTCGCCATGTCGTGCAATCGCCGCCAAGTTGCGTTAGCACACCCTCCATCCAAGCTGGGGAGTTGTGCCACGCAGCGTTCTGCATACCCTTGATGCATTCGCTGAGATTGTCGGGCAGCAATTCGCGAGGAACGCTGGGCATAGCAGGCAAGTAGAAGAGTTTGAGCCTCAGCAGACCTCTCTGAGGTCCTTGCGGACCTGCCAACACAGGCACTTCGACCACGTGGCAACGTCCAAGAGATTGCTCGGCCACACTCTCAAAGACAATGCTGGCGCGGCCCAATGTGCCATCCCTGGCAAGGTACGACAAGATGGGCTCGCGAGTTGGAGATGCCGGCGGCGCGACGACTGTGCTCTTGCCTCTGCGTGGGCTGTGGAAAGGGCTGCTTAGAAGGCCTTTAAAGCCCTTCGCCAGGCTAGGAGGCTTCTTGTCAGAGGTCGAGGGCGTTGGCGGCGCTGCAAGCGTCTCCGCCAAGTGCGGCGAGCTGCGCTCAATGACAAGTGTAAGGCTGAATTCCAGGTTCTTGTGCTTGATGAGCTCGAACTCCTGGCCAATTTTGCTGACAGTAGGTCCGGCGCCCGAACCAACAGGCGGCTTCAGCATCGCATCGCCGGTCTTGACGACGTGCAGCCCGTTGTCGAGAATGCAATGGAAGCGTGTGGGCTTGTGCGCAGGAGGAATAGGCAGTTGAGGAGCGGGCATAAAGCCGTCGATGAACACAAAGACCTTGCCAGTAGCCTTGCGAGGGTTCTCCGAGGCGCGGTATTCACGCATTTCCTTGGCGTATTCGTGCATATCTGAAGGTCTTCGAAGCCTGCGCCATGCTCTGCCAGTGCCCTTCTCAACCGAACTGTTGAGTAGACCTAGCTTATCGTCAGCCACGCCCGAAAAGGCGCCCCGATCGCTAACTTTGTACTTGTGCTGTGTGCGGTTGAGCATGTGTCAGTCACACAAAGCCGACAACTGCGGCATTTCCAACGAAGAACAGCTCACCTCCCCTTGCCGATAGATGCGGCTGATTTCGCGTTCGATGCCATTCCCAAATCCTACCTCCATGGCCTTTTGCACGCTCGCATCCAGGAGCCTTTGACTTGTGTACAAATCGCGCGCTACCTCTTCACGGCTCTCCGTCTCAGCGGCATCGTCATCGACGTCCTCCCCATCATCTACATCAGGGTTCATGGCACGAGACTTGCCTCCCATCAATGCAGAGCCTCCGTCCTCTGCCTCATTCAGAGCAAAAGGCTTGGGACGAGGAGCACTGACTTCAGCAAGGGCATCCCCTGTGCTCAAGCTTCTCCTCCCCCGACCTTTGCCGCCATTTTTCGATCGGCGTCGAGCGATGATAGCCTGTGCGTTCTGCATCGGGCTGACAGGCGGAGGAGGAGCGCCCAGTGTGGAAGGCGATAAGCGCCCATTGTCGCTCGAAGCGCTTGTCCCAGGTACGCCGAGCGCTGATCCCGGCCTGCATGCCAGTGGTGCATCTCCGCTCGGCGACTCAAGCTCCGGAGCCGCGCTGTCTTCGCGCTGAAACCATGTGCTTTCTGTTGCCGGCTTCTTGGGGCTGCATCCTGCGCTCTGAGGCTGCTGCGCCTGCTCAGCGGCGACTTCAGCACCTAAGCGCTCCAGCGGGCTCGCGGCTTCGAGCTCGAGGATTGGACTGCGGGCCGGTGGATTCGCAGCAGTCGGTGCCCAAGGAGCTGGGGCGGGGTGTTCGGCGGAGCTGATGCGCTGCGGCTCAACCGTCCTGCGACCACTGCTGATAATTTGACTCTTGGAAGTGGTCGTCTGGTTACCCGATGATGTATGTGACCCCGCAGAGTCTCTGCGGGCTTGTGCTTCCTGCTCAGCACGTTTTTCGCGTGCGACTCGCGAGAGAACGGCATCACGAGATATGTGCGGTCGTCCTCTGCCCGACGGGGTTCGGAGAGGTTCCGAACCTCGCTGTGCTTCCGCGCGAGCAGATGTAGCCTCTTCTGTCTGCTCTGACGCATCTTCTGGTGGCAAGCTCTTGTGATTCATCAACAAAGGACTCCAATCGGGCAAAGTCGGCAGATCTCCGAGGGAGAGCTGATCGGCTTTCGTGCTGGAGTGTTTTTCTGAGGGCGGGAGCGTAGGCAAGGGCTTTGACAGGCCAGCTGCTGAGCCGATCGACGGCGTTGGCTCTGTTTCAGCCGCCCTCGTCTTGTCGTCGCGCTCTCTCTCAGAGACATGATGAATAGACGCTTGATAGCTCTGAGCTGAGCTCATACCCTCAATGATGTTGCTTGCAAGCGTGCGTGGAGTGACGAAAGGGTCCAGCAACGCGCCATCTTGAGTAACGTGCGCTTGGTCATCGGTCCGCACCGGCAAGGAGAGACCAGTCGCTGGGAGAGCAGCATCGGCGGTCGGCATCAGAGATTCGCCCGCAGGAGCAGAGCTGGCTGCGACCTTCGAGCGACGCCTGCGCGGTGGCGAGTCTTGCAGGCTCTCTGAGGCCCCCTTTGCTCCAGCAGGGCTGTTGAGGATAGACGCTGAGAGCAGCTCGTCCACCATACTGTCAACCCTCCGCATACCGCTCAGATCAGCAAAACTTGCATCTCGATCGAAGCTGTCATCCCCATCGTCGCCCGCGGCTGCAAAGCGCTTTCGGAATGAGCGATCTGGGATAGCAAGGCTTTGACCGCGTCTTGGGCTCGGCGGGTCATCAATGGAGGAGACTTCTCGACTGTCATCTGAAGAAGTGCCACTGTACAGGTCTTGCATGGGTTCGTCATCCATGGTGCCGCGGTCATCTTCGGAGCTGTGTGGAGGGATGGGGCTCGCGTTGACCACCTGCAGGGCCGTCTTTTGGGCAGCGCGATGATCGGCCGCATCATTTTCGCCTCGCCAGAATCTCTCTTCCTCTGAAGAGCCTTCAGAACGGTCGGAGGACGCCATGCTGAGTCCGCTCCCCTCGCTTCGCATCGATTCTCGGTCGAACGAGCTTTCCCGATCAAATTCTTGCACGTCGAGAACTTCGTCGAACGTGACTGTCTTGCGGCGCTCTTGCTCGCGCTCGCGCCGAGATGAAGGGCTGGACTCGGGGGTTGGGAGGTGGCGAGGCCCATGCAAGCGGTTGGACACTAGACTTCCGCGAGAAGGAGACGTGTTCAATTGTCCGCCTGGCACGTAGGCGGGTGGAATGCTGCCATTACCGCGTGGAGTAGCCTCAGCTGCTGATCTCCGTGTGGGCGAAGACTCAGAAGAAGGAGGTGGCCGCTTCGCTTGAGGCGTCCTTTCGGGCGTGCCGAAGACATCGTTCGGCACAGGTCGCTCTTCCGTAGGAGTGTGTGGCTCTGGATCTTGTGATCCTCGCAGAACAGAGGCAGACGCGGAAGCCCCTTGTCGGGCAGCTGCGCTTCTCGCCCAGGCATTTTTGGGCAGGTCCAGTGGTCGCGTGGGGCTAGTGACACCGCCATTTGCGACATTTCGGAACGGCGAGTTGCTTACACAGCTGCTGCGAGAAAGCTCAGCAAAGCCTTGACTTTTTCTGGCTGGCTGTGCGGAAGGTGAAAGAGAAGTGTGGGATGAAGGCGAGTGATTCTCGATGTTTGAAGGCTGTCGGGCGTGCCTCGTGTTGGCAAGGCGTTCCACACTCGCTCTTCGTGGAGGATCTGCAGCGGCTGGTGAGCGGGTGCCGGCGCCTCTCCTGTTCGGACTGTCGGGACCTGAAGAGGGCGAGGCGTGCTGACCGCCTTGCGGTGATGCGTTCTTGAAGATGCTGTTGGAAACGAGCCCGTGCGAGCGCAGCGCAGCAAATGTGCCAGCTCCGACTGTCCTCGATGGCGAGCCCTCGCTGTCGCTTTGTCCGGTCAGCTGAGGATCCAATGCCGGACGACGTGGTGTTCGATGAGGTGAGCCCCATCCGCTTGACGAGGCGCCCAGGATGGCGGAGGTGGTGACCTCTGGCGAAGGCATTGCAACTTCGATGTTCGAGGTCATGACGATGATGCCCTTTGGAGAGGCTACGAGGACTGAAGGACGACGGCTGCCTAGTTGACTGACGCGTCAGAGCCTGTGCTGGCGATGTTGGGAGACTAGACAGGAGCGAAATCGCCTGGCTCAGGCAGAGTGGTGGCAGTTCGTATCCGAAGCGTGCCTTGCAAGACTTTCTCCGAACGGCAGCGAGGACCGGCGTGACGGGCTGAGGTCTGCTCGAAGTGCACCGCGAATGGAGCGACGTGGCCTAAATTTGATATGATTTGGATAGCAAGGTGGGACAAAGGGTGTGGTACGATGTTAGGATGTTGGGAGACATGTGCCCGACGCAACTTCGGAAAGAGGAAAGTCTACGCTGGCTGTTCGAGCCGCCAGCTTCTTTCTTTGCTACAAATCGGAATTGGGCGGCAGGCAGGCGGGCAGGCGGGCAGGCGGGCAGGCGGGCAGGCGGGCAGGAGATTTGGAGTGATGAGGCGACTGACCAGGTGGCTATGCAGCTGCTAAAGAGAAAGTCCCGACGCGTAGTCTGTCTGAAGGTTGCCGCGAGCAGCAACAGCCAGCGAATTGGGCGGAAACGCTGGGCTGCTGCATCTGCTAGCTGCTGAGCAGCGCCTCACCTCCGACCCGCCGCCGTGCAGGAGAACAACATCGCGACACAACAACACCTGTCACGCTGAATCGCGCGCGCTCGGAGACGCGCGCCCGCAGACATTATTATTATTATTATAGTGCGGTCATTTGATTTGCGACTTTCGTAGCGTTGAGAGACATTCGCTCTGATTCGTGATTCGAAATCCACCCGCTAATTGTTGTGACATTCGTGATTTTTAAAGGGTGATGTCACCCTGCGAATTCACTTCACGCACATCAGCAGGATATGGAGACGTGCGCAACCTGATCCCCATGCAAGTGAGTACACACAGCAGCCAGCGCAGGAACGCCTGAAAGCGATCGAAAGAGGCAGCGCAGCAGCAGCAGCGCATACCAACGCCCGCGGCACGCAGCTTCTCCGCGATGTAGATGTTGAGTCGGAACTTCGCGCGCGCGCGTCATCATCATCAGCATCACGACTTGATTGCGTGAGTGTCGTTGAAAGTTGTTCGGGCACCTCATGCGCCAAGCGCAGACCCTTTGCGTCAATCCTGCCAAACATTCCACTGAATTGCTGAGTCGATCTGTCACTCACGACTGTGCACAGCGAACACAATGATCTAGGTCCGCTGGCATTTTGCAGTCCGATGCTGCTCAGCATGCAGCAATGAGAGGGAACGCGCGCGCACTGCAGGCAATCGTCAATCGTCCACACATCTCGTGTAGCAGCTAGGAGCTGACGCTTTCCTTCGCGCGTTATCGCTGTGAGTCTCATGTGCCTTCTCGGAGGTTGTTGAAGGGTCTCTCAACGCGCTTCTAAGACTTTATTGCTTGGCAGCGGTATCATCACACGCCAAGGAAGAGTTTTGAGTGTCTCATTGTCGGACAGGCTGAACCCGTCGGTTGATTATTGCCGAAACGCACTCGTGAGTCGTGACTGCAGACGCTGGCTGACTCACGATCATCGCTCCATCGGTTTTGATCACGAAGCCGACGTTGGTGCGTGCATGAACAGAACGAGAACAAGAAAAGCCACGTCGCGTCGTGCGCCAAACGCGTCGTGGTCACGTGTCTCACGCTCTGCCGATTCAAGAATGAGGTGCGCGTTGAATCTCGAGTCTGTTGTGTGAGCGAAGAGACCCGCTGATGACTTGATGAGAGTCTTGACTAAAACAACAATCACTCTCGCTCTTGGATCGGAGTCTGATCACTCGCCTATGCTGCGACCAAGTCCCACACACTAGGCTCACAAGCCAAGTTGACGGAGCATCACGTGCAATTAATGAGGTAGGTGTAGATGCCGCAGGAGAAAGGGCCTACAGATGATATCATTCTTCGTGACGTGACGAGAAGAGGGGAACTAGGGCACAGGTGTCGGCTCGAAAACTAACGTAGCATGTACAAAGGGCAAGATAGGAGCGCAGTGAGATCAGGATTGTAGAAGAACAGCATTAAAAAACCTCAGTTTCGAGAGAGCAAGCCCCTAATCGAGAGGCGACAGCAGCGAGTTGAGCGCCTTGAGACCCTTTGCCACGCCATAGCTTGCAGACGCCATGGTGCGTTTGGTCGCCTTGTCGAATACGGGCTTGGACTGCATTTCAGAGAGCTTCTCACAGTCGCTTAGAAGGGCAGCCAGGATCCTTTCGCCTTCCGCAGCGCGAGGGCCAGTGGGCAAATTGTCTTTAGAGATAGCCACGATGGACGACACGATAGTGGTGATCTGCTCCAAATTCTCGCTCAGCTGTACTCCAGTAGCGCCTTCTCTGATGGCCGATAGCAAGGACTGGATGGCGTGCACAATACTCTCGGTCTGCACTTCGATGTAGTTGCGAAGCTCAGCCCAATTCTCTTCGGAATCGTCGAGCGGACCAGACGGGGGTGTCTGAGCCTGTGTCGAGCCTGAAGGCGATCTGCCAAGCGCAGCAGGACTAGGAGGCGCGCTAGTGTTGGCGGCAGAAGACGGTCGAGTGCTGCTCGCGTATGACTTTTGCCGCATTTCTTGTGTGATGGGGGGAACAGCCGGTATGTTGGCGGAAGCCCCTGCATTGCTAGAGTTGGAGGAAGAGCTGGCCGTCCGCTGCCGACTACCTTGCCAGGATCCTTCGCCTTGAGAGTTCTTTCTCCCAATGTCCGGGCGATAGCCTACGGGCGAGTAGCGGCCCATCACAGGTCCTGAGCGCGTCCTCGGAGACGGAGCATTGGCCGCACTTGGCTGCAGACGATCGTCAAGGCTAGGCCTCGCTCGGAAATCCGGAATCGGGGCCCCAGTGGTTGGCGAAAACGGCGCCTCTCGGCTGTTGGATTGTGCTAGCGCATTTATGTGCAATGGCCTTAGACCGTTGGGGAGCGAGCCCTGAGCGAAAGTAGCTTCGAGCTCCTCTGTCTCTGCTTGACTGGCTTTTCGGACCTTGAGTAGCTTGGCCAGATCCACGATGGTGGTAGAGACGTGGCTGGCAGCGGCGTCCAACAGACTCACGGGCGACATGCCTTGGCTGGACGCATGGTTTCGGCACGCGGTCATGAGATTGTTGAGCGTGCTGCTGGCTTTGCTCTTCAGCAGCCCAAGCTGTTCGCGCTCGTCTGGTGCAAGCTCTCCACCGCTTGCAGCTTCCCATCTGACCACGTCGTCAGTGACCAAAGTTGACGCTAGCACCACCGTCTTCATGCTCAGGAGGACATTGCCTGGCGTCTTTGATCGTGCAGCCGAGAGTAGCTCATCGATGGAGCTTTGGAAGGCGGTCAAGTTGACGTCTGCGATAGCGCCTCCTTCAGTCGACGGCATTACTTCGTCCGCCTTGGGTGGTTGTACGAAAAGTTGCGAGGTAGCCTTGAGTGCGCGCAGTTCCGTCTTCGCCGTCTCATACTTGCGCTTGTACGATTGCATCTGGTTGTTGAGGTCGCGAACTACCACAAGATCGGACTCTTTTTCTGCCATCATCTCGTCGTTGCGAGAGGACAGCTGGCGGATTTCGTCCAACAACGATGTGACCTCACTGCGAAGCTCATTGACAAGATCTTCTTGGTGTGCATAGTCTCTCTGGAGCTCATCAAGCTGCTCCGACAGCTCTGCCGCATTCCCAGTCCCGCTAGCGACGCGCTGCCGTTCATGCTCGTGTTGCAAGTCTTCATGCTCTCGCTGCAGGTCGTCTAGCGCCTTGAGTGTCTGCTCTAGCTGGGTGTGCTTCTCTTCGTGCAACTGGGTTGGGGAGGTAATGCGTGCAGAGGTAAGCACGACCGGCCCGCATCCTGGCCAAGCATGCGACTCACGTCTTTGTGTTGGCGATGCTGCTCTTCCAGCGTGCGATGACGCTCGCGCAGGCCATCCAGCTCTTTCTCGAGATTCTTAGCCTTGTCTCTGTGCTCGTTCGCCTCTAAAAGCTTACCCCGTGCGCTGGAAGCTGTTGACTCGACTTCTTCCTTGAGTTCAGCATTCTCAGTTTCCAAAGCGCCGAGCCGCTGATTCAGGGTCGCTATCCTGAATTCATAGTCTGAGCGTAGCTTTTCTATGCCAAACGTGGCAGAGGATTGCTGATGGGTGCAAGAGCGACGGTGAGCCAGGCATAGGGTGAGATGTGCGATACATGCCGCGGGTGCTCACCAGGTTCGGGCTTGCGACACTCTCCGTGGCTCGGCTGCCAGCATAGCCATTGAGAAATCCTGTGCCGACGCTGGACGCCTGTGAATACATTGTGCTGCGGTTATCAGGCGCGCCATTTAGATCCCTGTTGGAAGCGAGTGAGTCTCGAGAGTGATCGGTATAGCTAGAAGAGTGACCCTTCTTGGGACGAGGACCAGTATCGCCACTCGTCTCATCATCTGGCGGTCGCCCGCCACCTCCTGGGGAGTATGGCAGCGGAATATCCTCTGAGACGAGTGTGCTCTTTGCTGGAATGATCACGTCCGCCGTGGAAGGTTGAGCACTGATTGGTGGCGCTCGACTGCGCTCGGCAGCCACAGCTTCGGCGTCGACGCGCGCCTTCTCCTCCCTTTCGCGCTCAGCTGCATCCGGTCTGAACTCGTCCCTCAGCTCTGGAAAGCGCCTTTCGAGCTCGAAAAAGACGTCGGACGACAGGTCTTTGAAGCGTGTCTTTGGCAACGTCGACAGCTTTTGTCTGGCCTGGTTGCGTTTCGGATGAAACTCATCGCGCACCGCGAGGTGTGGCATGTCGTTGCCACTCCTGTCTAATCGGCGCATAAGCTCATCGTAAACATCAGTGCTGAGCTCTGTAAATTGCTGTTTGCTGAGACGCGTCAGCTTCTCGCGGGCATTGCTCCGGGGGCCGTTTTGACCTGAGAAACATGGAACGAGGCAAGCTCAGAATTGCGATGGGACCGTTTTGTGAAGCGAGCTGCTCACCTTTGGCAAGATGACTCCTCAAGAACGTGAGCAGTTCTTGATAGTGTATGCGCCCAACGCGCTTGATCTCTTCGGTGTCTGGTCTTGGACGACGCATTCTATGTGCGTCGCTGGCAGTAGCGGAATTCCCAGGCTCGCTCGCCATCGAATTAGAGGTAGCAGTGAAGCCCCCATTGAAGCGCATGGCGCTGTTGGGTGGGGAGAGCATACTTCCGTCACTTCCTGCGCCAGATGATGCACCGCCCAAACTTCCATTCCTGCCCATCATGCCCGCGCTGGCAAGGCCGTTTCTCGAACCACTCTGGAAGCCATTACCCATGGGAGGGCCGTTCGTCATCGGCATAGTATTGGGGGAGGGCGGCGAGAAAGGGCCCCCGCCGTTCCTCGCGGGGTACGCCATGACCGCTGCGGGCATTTAGAGACTCCACGGCGTCAGAAGCGCAGCCGTCGCGCGTTCTCAGCAATGGTGAGTGTGGTCTGGTGATGGATCGAAAACTCGGTGTTGATGATCTTGGTGCGCAAGTGAGCTAGACCGCGTGCGGGGTCGATTGGCTCGTGCCAACTTAGCGGAACGCCGTCCCTCGGGAGACTCAGTGTGAGCGCCCCTTCCGGGCTTGTCCTCAGATCGTCAGGAGCAGCGAGGCTAAGGAATCGTCGCTGCTTTGGGTGTCGATTTAAATTCGTATCGCTGTACTGGATGGACTGATGACTGCGATTGTGGAAGATTTGTGATCGCGAGTCGAGATCAAGACTGACTTGGCTAGGTCGTACCTCGGGGACGTGCAGATTACAAGCGTCGCTCTTGATGCTGATGGGTGTGGGAATGAGTGAGAGGGGCAGAGTTCGGGTGAAAGAGTCGCGAACAATTCAGGGGTTGCGACTAATGAAGGCACTCCTAGGCGCAGGACCGCCGTGCCAGCATTTGTGGTGGTGATTTCCGCGATTCCTTGTTGTTTATGCGATAGAGGCGTGGTCATCAGAGTCAACAGTCCATATGGTTGACATGGACCTGCGCCAACCGCTGGCGACTTCATCAGGAGAGAAGGTCAATCTGAATGGCGGCCGCCGCCGCTGCCGCGCGCGCGCGCGACGGCCAGCTTGATGATGAGTTGCTGCTGCTGCTGCCAATCTGCCCGCTCTGCATGGGCTTCAACGACTGATAGGATGCCCCGCGCGCGTGTGTACAGCCAGCAGAGCTGCTGCTGAGGCTGCTGATGCATGATAGTTTCCACTTACACTGTGCGCGGCCTTGTATACATATATTATAGAGAGAGCGGAAGACCCCTGCAGCTACGATGCTTGCCGGCAGAAGATGCCCCATGCGGTGCTTTCTTTGGCATCTCGCGACTTTGCGCCAAGACAAGACAGCGGAGAGAGACATAGTGCCTCGCTCCTGCCTGCCGGTATGGCAGCTCGATGTGAGACGTCGAGATCGCGCACTGGCGCGCACGCGGTGAAAGTATCATGAAACTAATTGAACGCGCTCGGCGGCTGCCTGAGTGCCTCAAACGGGATGAGCCAGGTGAATGCCGCATCCACGACGAGCAACAGCAGCGCGCGGTGCAGTGAGTAAAGGAGTGACGAGAGCAGCAGCGCTGCTGCGCCCCGCTCCTATGATTGCCAGGACAAACGACCCTCGTCAATCTTTAATTTTTTGAAGATCTCACCGATGCTGCTGCTGCATGGCCTGCCTGGCCTGTCACAACTAGATTCCCACCTCTTCTCGGCCACACGGCAGCGGTGGCCAACCCTTCGACGTCGACAGCAATGACTAGGCCACAAAGATGCGATGTCACATTTTTAAGTGCTATGTCCGGGCAAGTCCTTCGTTGTCCGCTGACCTTTGCAGCCGCTTTCATAGCTCAGAAATCGTGATGAAGTCTGGTGGACGTGACGCTCATCATGACCACCACGAACAACTACGAATTGAGCTTGCGCGACGAGGCGCGTAAGTTGTCTCAGCTAGCATGCACCTGCACCTGCCAGCATTCGCGATTTGTTTCAACGCCGCTCGAGAGGCGCGTAAGCCAAGATATGCGCAAGTAACTCATCTCAACGTTCAGCACCGGTCATCAGGTGTGCCTGACCGGTCAAAAAGTCGGACGCACCGATGCGCGCGCGGCGGGGCGGCAGGCTCGCACGTCGTGCGCGGAGCTGTAGGGTGATTTGTGATTGCGGGCACAAGCTAGACACATGACCGGCGGGAATCAGATCACTCAATCACGCGTCGTGGATGCGAATCGTGAGCCTTTTGCATGCTATACGAGAGCAGTTCACGCAGTGTTGAAGTCCTTCATTCTTGCGACAACTAAAGATGCTTTTGTTGGGCGCGTGCGCGCGCGCGCTACCGCGGTACGAAGGGTCGCGAGTCGGGCCCATCGTGAATGATGGCATGGCACGTTTTGGAGTGCTGCAGACTCAACTGGAAGCTAGGCTGCGCGGCATTTGATTGAGGTTCTAAGCAGACACACTTGACTCAAGGCTCCGCAAAATCAGCAAAAATCATGATCCGCATCCACGTCGATCACATTTGTGATTGCCAATCAAATCAAGACAATCCAATTTGCGATTTGCAGGCAGCGCGCTCGAGCAGCATGCCTGCTGAGGCTTTGGATGTTCGCGATGCGAATGATCCAGCAAAAGGCTTGTCTTCTCCACCCGCGCACATTACGTGTATCTCGTTGGATTTCAGGAATCATGTCTGATGGATAGTCTGCTCTCATATTTCGTATCAAAGGTCTGTGTGAGAGGCTCCCTGCGAATCGTCTACTTCAGGAGCCTTCAACGAGGCTCATCTAGCGAGCTCTGCAACTGCAAAGAAGACTCATCAAAAGCGAGGCTTCAAGAGGAGACTTTCACTGCTGCACCGGTACTCAACACGCGCGACGATTCATGACACGTGACTCGAGACAGGTGCAGTGTAGCGCGCAGCTTCTCTAAATTTCGCTACACAGCAGATGGAGCCGTCAGATCTTGTTTGAATTCTGAATGAAAAGAGTCACAAATTGAAGACCGGTGAATCTGGACAAGCCCAGGAGGCTTCGAAACACGCCATGCAGCAGGTGTCAGGTACTCACACCCACGACTCTTTTTCTCACGTAACCCATACGACAGGACTGGTGCTGGCAAGTTCTGAGATGCGAAGATGGCTCGAGTTTGACTCAAGCCTGCCTCTGAGTCACCGCTGCATGCCCGCGGCACCACATAAGACAGCCAGGCCAGCGCACGACCATAGCAGAGGGTGATCTTGTCGCTGCAGCCATTTCTATTGCAAAGACCTGCGTCAGCAGTGGCGAGTCAAGCTAGCTTTTCACGAGGTCGTGGTGCCGGACGCTACCACAAACGATTCTTGGAATGTCGAATATTGCGAATGCATCCATCACACAAACCGCAAGCCGGAACGATGTGGGGAGCGTGGAGGTCGACCAATGGGAGAAGGTGCTTTGGAAGACACAGCCCTTTCCCGACTCTTACGTGCCATCCAGCTTTCTGTCGGGCTTGCGACGGCAAAGTGAGTGTGGGGCTTTGTAAAGCGCGCACAGGCCCCTGACAGGTGCTCATACCGTGCATCTCTTTCAGCTCCGCAGCACATCAAATTACGGTCTCTCGTGGTGGACGCCCTACCGATCACTCAGCAGCTGGCAACGATTCTGATTTTCGTAGGCTTGTATGCGCATCTGCTACTCGGTAACATCGGTCCATTGCTTCTATCGGGCACAGCTCTTTTCGTCATGCTCGCGAGCCCAGCGCAAAATCGCTTGATGCGACGGCCACCTCATTCAGCATCACACAGTCCATCAAATCCCGACGCAGAGCCTTCACCAACGTTGCACGCGCAAGTGACTTCTCCACCTGCAAGTATCAAGGGCAGCGGTGCTCGGGGAGTAGCTCGAGTGGTCTTGGCTCTCCTTTTGCTATCGCTTTCCCCCATTCTTCGCTCTCTCAGCGAGAGCACCTCAAGCGACAGCATCTGGGCCCTCTCAGCGACGCTCTTCTTCGGACATTTTGCCTTGGCTCCATACGCTTCAGGCAGCGCTCATGGAATTTTGGACGCTTCGAGTCACAGCTCGCAGGTCGCTCCAGTACGCTACGCTGTTAGCGTGAACGCAGCCATCGCTGCGAGCGTCGTTCTTTCTTCTCGCCTCGTCCGTCCCTCTTCTGTATTCTCATTGTTGCTGCTGTCCTGTGTGCTGTTCTCTCCTTCCACAAACACGCCTTTTCCGGCAGCAGACCAGGTCGCGCAGCGCTCACGCGTCTCTAGAGCTGTATGTCTGTGCGCAGCATCCATAGCCATCCTCGCCCCATTGAGCTACACAGCTGGTATTGCCTGTGCACTTGTTCTCGGCGGAGTGGCCATTCTCGCCCCAATGGCGCTTGGCATAGCTCATCGATCGGGCTGGCGAAAGCCTCTGCATGGGCCGTGGGACCCGGCCATTCCTATCATACGGACGCGAGCGATACAATAGCATGAATCTGACGACACTTGGCTGAAACCTCTCGCATCATTCCACGGTCTCTTTTCAAATAGCCCTGCCCGCAACGTCACGCCAGAAACAGCGGCTCGCTCCAAGATTGCATCATGAATTGAAATGGGCCAACCCGCTGTCTCTATCAGTAGACGGGAGGTACAGTCACAGGCGCTGCCTGCGTGATACTCCCAGTACCCGCGTTACAATATAGGCGTGTCCGCAACCACAATGGCCTGACATTCAAGTAGGTGCGGTGACAAGAAGCGGCACGATTCTAGGCCCGCCCGGCACGATCATCTTCGATGCTAGCGTGATGGCCAGTCCAGCACACTCACCCTCCTGGGAAGGGTTGGAAGGCACAGATGCGGTTGCCTTGCTTCTCTCGCCGGCGTGAGTGTGGGGAGCTGTGCTGGATCGCTCACTGCTCGTGAAGTCAGAGTGTACGCGTCGTGAGTGTGGTATAAGACCCTATCTGGCTTGTCGATCCTTGACGCCATCTTTTCGGCTGATGAAGCGCCGGCCTAGAGCAGAGGCGTGTCCCAAAGCGGTCCCGGCTGCTGCCTGAGGCCGGGGTTGTAGCTGCAGGTCCTTCCCGATGCGCGACGTGCAGGTTCGAGGTCCGGCCATGTCGGGACTGCAAGCCACACAGCACGCACCTCGTGCTGGAGGCTGCCTCACCTCCGCTGGACGACCCACTGGGCTAGCTCTCGACGCTCAGATTTCGAGTGTGAGACAAGGGGCGACATGCTTGAGCTCCGATCGTGAGAAGAATCCAAGCGTGCAGGCACGACGTCTCCTGGATAATCGGAGTTCAGCTCGAAGCCACTTCCGGCCTCGCTGCGCGACCTACACCGCTCTCTGCATGCGAGGCCGCGTCAACTTTTCGTGTAGGTCCAGCTGCCCTGGTGTCGAGGTGCGCCGCGAACGTGGGTTCAGCACTCGTGACTGTGGCACAAGTTTCTCTTCGAGACCGCTCCAGGCAAGACTTGCGCCTCGCTTGAGTCCCGATGCCGAATCGGAGTCGATCATTCCAGACCTCTTCTGTCCTTGATGATGCAGCCTGTAGCGTGTCGCCCGTCTCTTCGCCTCTATAGGCACTGCACCTGGAACACCTTCGCAGAGGAAGCCTGAACATCCAAGGAGATGAGCATCTTCAGCAGAATCGTAGGAGACCCGCTCAAAAATGCTCCGGGACCGCAAGCATCCTTCGCTGCATCGGTGAGCACGCTTCCCGACGCCACGCCGATGCGGCCAAGTCTTTCTTTTCTGGTCAGACACAGGATTGATTGACAGCTCAAAGCGAGCTCAGGAGGTCTATAAATATGGCATCTCTCAGCGCACCCCGGAGCGCGAATCATCCAACAAAGCCTTGATCGGAACCTCGTCAACTACCTCCTTGCCCCCCAATCGCTGCAACTTGACCGGTCTCGCAACGCATCAACCTTTCCTTCTTCGGCATGCGTTTCCTGTCCCTGCTGACGGTCGCTCTCGCGGCGATCTTGTTGGCGCGCGTGGACGCGGCACCAGCAGTGGGCTCATCACAATCGTCTCACCTTGCCCCCCGAGCTGCAAACTCTGGCTTCGGCACTGGCCGCAAGATCCGCGGAGTCAACTTGGGCAATTGGTTGGTTTTGGAAGCATGGATGCAGCCAGAGCTTTTCGCGCCCTACTCTGCTCAAGGTGCCATAGACACTTGGACCTTGATGAAGATTATCAACGACCCTGCGAGCTCCGCCTCACTTCTACAAGGTCACTACGACTCTTGGATCACAGAAGATGACTTCAGACAGATTAAGGCGGCTGGTCTCAACACGATCCGTTTGCCAGTCCCCCACTACATGTTCGGAGATGCCGCAGGGGTAGCGCTCAAAACTACTAGTGGCGAGCCCTACATCGGTTCTGGGCTCGAAATTCCCTACGTAGACAAGGCTTTGCGGTGGGCCAAGCAGTACGGCCTTGACGTCACATTTGACATGCACACAGCTCCCTACAGTGAGTGACGGGAGTAGAACGCTGCCAGATCGTCTCCTTTGTTGCCTTGTCTGACGAGCAAGTTCAACATTTGCCGCAGGTCAAAATGGCTTCGACAACAGCGGCAGACAAGGACCAGTTGGTTTCAGAACTGAAGGAGGTAATCCTGCTGATAACGTCAACCGTCTGATTTTTGCTCTCACCGAGTCCGTCAAGAGATGGGTCAACGATCCATCCTACGGAGGTGTCATCAAGTCGATCGGTGTCCTCAACGAACCTCAGATGTGGAACGGCAACCTCACCAGAACATGGATGGTCTCTCAAGTACACAAGCCTGCGTACAAAGCTATCATGGGCAACATCACCTCAAATGCCCCCATCATTCCTTCCATCACCTTTCACGATGGCTTTGACCAGCCGCTGAGCGACTGGGACAGCTCATACACTACAGCACAAGGTTACACCGCAGGTACCACCTCTCTCGACACACATCGATATCAAGCTTGGGCCCCTCAAGTAGACTACACGTGGGACCAACATATCAGCTACACCTGCGGTCTTTCATCCGAGCTCAGCAATGCCAATCGAGTACGGCCTACATTCGTGGGAGAGTTCAGCCTTGCTACACGGTGCACCAACTGTAGCTATGCAACGATGAGCGACAACATCAATGCTCAAAACAATGCGACGCAGAATCTCTTCATGCGGAGGTTCTGGGAGGCACAGCAAGTCACGTACGAGAAATCTGCAGGATGGATCATGTGGTCTTGGAAGACGGCTAGCAGAGGCGAATGGTCTTACAAAGACGCGATGGCGCAAGGCTGGATTCCCTCGAACCTTGACGACTATGCCTTTGCACGCGACTCGAATGGATGCCCTACCAACAACCTGCGCAAAGCAGTCACCTTTGCTACCACATCATACCCACAAACCAACTCTACAGGCAATTCTACCATCACAAACACCGCTACGATCACCGGTACCAACACCGCCGCTTTGCCCAGCACCACTACAAGTACCACTACCTTTGTTGTCACACCCACCACCACGACCACTCAGGCGCCACCTGCGCCGACAACGACGACCGCAGCGCCGCCAGCATCTACACCAACGACTGCCGTCACCGCACCCAACGGATACAGAATCAGCTGGACTATTCAAGGCAAGCGTTCTTCGTACGCAACCTCTACCGGCTTCATCTCTCGCGGTACGCTGGGTCAGACCTGGCTCGGTGGGTCACAAGCCAACACGTGTGCCGCGAATTGCGAGAGGACCAAAGGTTGCGCTATGGCCGAATTGATTCGTTTCAATGGCGGTAAAGAAGGAGCAGCAGTGTGCGCTCTGTACAAGACTTATCAGCAGCAGAGCACGGTCACTTATACCACTGGACCAAACGGATCCGGGGCAGTGGTCACCAGCTATGCTATCCGACGAAACGCCGGCGCCGTCAAAAAGCGGCAAAACCTTTGGGACGAGATCATCGGTCAGGTCGTCGACGCACTGATTCCGCTCATTCCTTCCACGGGCAAGCGCATCGACCAGAACGCATATCCTTTCCTGAAGAAGACCACTTTCAACTTTGGACCGTACTCGCACTGAGCGGGTTCTGGCCCGTCGAGCGTGCTTGATCTTCACACCACTGCTTTATATATTGCTCTTCGCATTCCCTCACCCTCGGTGGTTGATTCCCCGCCAAATCAAGCCGCATTTGACCTGCCCTATAGAAGTCTCCTCCCTTCAATGTCACCCTAGTCACCGTTGTTCTTTTGACCAGCAATAGCAATGCGCTCGTGCCCATCTGCGATGTTCGGTGGATGAGCCGCTTCTGCCAAGCAAGTGCACAGTGCCCGCGCAAGGCACAGCGTCTGGAGGTGTCCCCGACATGGACGGGCGGACTGCTTGTAGACGCACAGACCTGACCTGCTGATCTGGTGGCGGATGTACGCTCTTCCCGATCTAAGTCTTTGATGATTCTATGTTCTCAGCAAGGGTCCATCGGCGGACGACAGGCTTTACGCGGGATTGCAAGCCTTCGGCATGCGAGTACCTTGCCAGCAGCAGAAGCGCTCACTAAGAAGTCCGCGTCGTGCATTGAGGAAGGCTTGTAGCTTGTATCGAGGCGATCAGCTGCCACGGCTCTGTCATTGACTATGAGGGAGCTTGTTGGCACACACCAATCGCTCAGCCAAGCATCTCGTCCAAGAACTCCTGGTGGGACTCGAGAGCGGTCGTCTTCGCTGTGGAAGTCTGAGGTTTCCTCGCATCGCCCTTGCCTTGACTTGCATGGCCAGTATTCTTGATGCCCATGTTTTGAAGGGCTTCTTGAAGCGCTGCCTCGCCCTTTACACGACGCTGTTCCGCCTCTTGGGCTCGACGTTTCTCCCGTTCGAGAGCAGTCAAGGTCACCTCCGAGGTGGGGCCTCGGGATGCCGCTCCGTCCATGGACAGCAGCCCGGCAGAGGACGCTAGCGGCGAAGGCGGTCGGGCTGGAGACCGAGAGGTTGCTGACAATGATCTGAGTGGGGAAGATATGCCGAGCAGGGCATCTAGATCATCTGTATTGGTCGATGTCTGCATAGCAAGAGCTGGGCCATTGAGTCGCTTGCCTTCTGGTTGCTGTGAATGCGCAAGAGAAGCGCGTACTTCGCCGCCTTTGGCAGCGGACGATGCGGAAGTTCTCGTCGCTGCAGCTTCCCTTCGCTCCCCTACTTTGTGCCCCCTGAAGCGCTCTTTCAGAGCTGGCGGAAGGAGCAGGATAGCCACGCCGTCAGCCACCGTTGATGAAGAGATAGAGATGTGCGGCAGTCAACTCAAAAGGACTCACACGTGACAGCCTCGGCCTTTTCCCTCTCCTTTAGCATTTCCTCCTCTTCCTTCCTTCTTCTCTCTCTTTCTTCCGCTGGCATCTCAGTGTCCACACCAGATGCCCTATCTTTCCTGAAGCTCTCGTCTGCCCGCTTCATGGCGCTCCGTGTGCGGGCATCCCTCGTCTGTTGCCTCGCATGGAGATACGCCAATGATTGATCGGTGTCTTTTTGCACGTCGACATCCTCAGAATCCTGACCTGTGACGTTGCCATCTGCGCGCCTATCGCCTGCAGCGAACCCTTGGACTGGCGCATCTTCACCGAGAGCAGACACTCGAGCAAGCAGATTGGAGATGTCCACTTCTGGTTCTTCTGAGTCGGACGCTTCCTCTGTCGCACTCGCTTCGAGACCTGTGGATTGGTGCGAAGGGATGCCTCCCGTAGTCTGCTCACCATCCGCCGTTTGATGGGCGGCAGTCTTCGTGACATGCTCAGCGTTATGCGATGTGTGACGCAATCCATTCTTCAGCGATGGAAAGGCCGGATTGAGCTCCACTTCTTGCTCGTCGTCCAGCTCCTCCTCTTCACCCCCACCACTTCCACCATCCTCTTCGCCCTCATCAAACCTACTCCACCGCACGTTTTCACCATCGCCGCCGCCGCGGCCTCTCCCTCCCCTCCCTCTGCTCCCTGTACCTCCCCTTGCTGCTCCTCGACCTCCGCGGCCCCGGCTGGATTCTGCACCTTCCGAAGAACCTGAACGGGTGGCCACGTACCTTCGAGACGCTCTTGCTTTGTACTTGTTCTGCAGCACCATTCTGCTGCGCCCTACCGATCCAGCGTATGGGCCCAAAGAGAGGAGTGTTGTGGAAGCTTGAAGCGCCTCGAGGTGTGATTTGACGCGCAATGCTTTCCTATGCGGAGCGATGCCTTCAAGATCTGTAGTATTCTGATTTCAAATTTCACAATTTAGCGCAACCTCATGGTTCCAAGGCTTGAAATCAAAGATTTGATGTGGTGAAATTTCCCTGGGATTTCTATCGAGAATTACCAATTAACAATGGTGAATCGACGTTAAACTTGTGAACTTTGAATCAAGAACATCTTGAATCTAACTTTGCCTTCCACTCAAGACTCAGACTCACCAGTCGCCGCGTGACTTCGCCAGTCACGAGTCGTGCATTGAGGTGACGCGCTCAACACCAACGACGCGTTTGGCGCGTGGTTCAATCGCAATCTGAATGTGAATGATTCACAATTTTGAATCCGCAACCCCGCAGCTTGCGAGACCGCGCGAGGCAATCTTGAATCGTGAGCTCTTCAGAGAATCTTGGGTTCTGCGCTCGACAGTCACTAGACATCTGCGTCTGTACACACCAGGGAATGCTGATCTCCAAATTCTGGTCCCTTCGCTCTTCTTGGTAGAGATGACACTTTGACTTGAGACGAAGTGCAGCAGCAAATCTGAATGACAATCACGAACGGGATCCCTCGTCTCAAAGCCATGCGCAGGCATGCCGAATCGAGCGCACGTGCTCTCCCTTTGTGGGGCGTTAGGGTCTCGATCCGTCACGCAGCGATGGATATGACACAAAAGGCATGCATTACATTGGTGTCAAGTCAGTCGTCGCTCTCCCCTCGCCACACCCCTCCCAACATCCAGCGTCGGCAAATTCGAGTCGGGGCTCTGGAAAAACGACGCGAACAGGGATGCCTCGCTTGATTAACCCGGTAGGCTGGACGCTTTGGCCGGACACATCATCCGCAGGAGCTTCCGGCCCCTCTCTCGAGGATCCCAAGTCCCAGGTCTGGCCGATTCTTTCCCTTCGCAACGGCTCGGGCCACGCCTTCCACATTCACGCGATCTCCGACCAGCTAGTGCGCGTGATTCACACGCTACCTGAAAAGTTTGGAGGTCGGACTTACTTGGGCGGTCAAGCTGGACGTGCAGGCCGGGGGCGAGACGGAGTTGCTTGGGAGCGAGCACTGGGACAGGGCTGGTCGGTGAAGCACGATGAGAGCCGCAAAAGGGCGACGTTGACTAGTGCTGCCGTGTTGGGTGGACTGGCTGGCATTCGCATACACGTCGACTACAGTCACGCCATCCTCCTGAGCTGGATGTGGGTCGACGCAGGCGCAGAGAATGGTTTTGTCTTCCTGAAGGACTTTAAGCACGCATACAGGTACGACGAGAAATCAGGTCGAGCATTCCACTACGTCAGTCCCTTAGCTCGGGCTTCGAAGCACGCGGTTCGTATGAGACGACGCCACGGTCCCTCTGACTCCCACGCAACCCGCCTCTGCGCAGGTCTGCCGCGAGTCGTACATGCCACTTTGTGAGGAGGCGCAAAGCGCAAACACCAATCATCCTGCTCATCCTGCCCAAAACGAATTCGTCTATGGGCTTGGAGAGACTAAAGGGCCGATGATGAAGGCCGGCAAGCGGTACATCATCGAGGGCCGGGATAGTCTGGCCGCAGATCCAGAGGAGACGGATCCTCTGTACAAGGTGCGCTGCTTGTAGAGAGGCGAGCTGGCGTCGCTTCCCGCACTGACTCCCAACGCCGCACCCCGATCCCGCGCAGTTATGTCCTTTCTACTCAGTATACAACGCGGAGACGCGCTTCTGGTACGGGCTCTATTACAACACTCTGTCTCCATCAATCTTCGACCTTGGTGGAGAGCACGACTTTAGCACTGGCAATTTCAGATCTTTCTGGTGAGTGCCTGAAGCAACTATCTGGCATTGTATGGCGGTGGCTAACGGATCCTTAACATCACAGCGCGGAGCAAAGTCCTTTGGATTACTACGTCCTCCTCGGCAGCCATGAGCTATCCGGCAATGTCAGGCCAAGGCCAAGCCTGCCTGGCATAGTCTCGCAGCTTGCTCACCTCGTGACACCGCATCATTCCGGTGCGCTCGGCGACACGTCCAATGGTCGTTGGCAAGCGAGTCCTCATCTTCCCCCTCTTTCACAATTCGGCTACCTGGCGAGCAGTCTGACCTTGTCAGAGCGGTCTGACGCACAGGCTGCAGTAATAGACTACGTCGCCCAAACCAGAGCGCGCGGCTTCCCGATTGACGGTATGCATCTCAGCTCGGGTTACTGCCAAGATGCCGTCTCTGGTGACCGGAATTATTTCACGTGGGATCGCAGCAAGTATCCGGATCCAGAGGCCATGGGCAAGGAGCTGGAGCGAGGGCAGTCCTGCCAATTGATCATCAACGTCAAGCCTTGGTTACTTGAGTCGCATCCTTGGTATGACGAGGCTGCCAGAGAGGGTGCTTTCGTTCGCGCCGCTCCGGACGCTAGACCTCTAGAAGGCGGCTCTGCGCCGACAGATGCAGATCGATGTGGGGCGTATCACACCCATCCAGCTAGGACGCTGCATTGGAGTGTGAACATGGGTGACACGGGCAAAGGGTCGTACTTTGACTTTTCCAGCGTGCGAGGCTGTCAGAGCTGGCAGCGAATGATGCAGCGCGGTGTGCTCGACAATAATATCACTGGTCTCTGGATCGACAACAATGAATTCTCGACCCTAGTCGATGATGATGAAGAGCTTGCCGGACAGGTCGCCGCATGGTCCTCGCCCTTCGAAGGCGCTTGCGATGTACCCAGTGCAACCGGTCTGCACTCAGAAGCAGATGCCATGCTCAAGGTGGAGGTGCAGCAGAGAATGGGAGGGAGTACGGGAGACCACTTCACGGTGGGAACGTTTGGCCGTGGTGTGCTAACGATGGGCATGGCGCGCGCAACGGCAGAGCATCTCCTTGTGGGTGGACAGCCTGGTCCAGAAGCGACAGTGCTCTGCTGCTGATACTTGCCTTCTTGTGGTCCAAAACAGCGCGCGAGGCCGCACGCGCGACCGGTGGTAGTGACGCGAAGCTTCGTGCCAGGCATGCAAACCTTCGCGCACGGAAGTTGGTCTGGCGACAATTCCACTACCTGGAAATCGCTCAAATGGAGCACGAAGATGACGTTGAGCACCGGCATCAGCTTTGGCCCTGGCCTCTATGGGCACGATATTGGCGGTGGGTCACCCACATCTTGATGAAGATGCAACAGCTTTGCTCATGCACTGACCTCAGATTGGCAACATTGACCACGTTGATCAATCGCAGGGTTTGCTGGTGCCCACAGCCCGAGCCCCGAACTTTTGGTCCGTTGGTGCCAGCAGGCACTGTGGCATACGCGCTTCACTGTGCATTCGTGGAAAAAGGTCCGTTGCTTCTCGCACCCGGACCAGTGCCAGCGCAGTGCCTGAACCTCTTTGCCAATCGATGCAGATCTCCACGACGCTTTGGATGTATGATCACGTCCCAGACGTCGGTCGCATCTTACGTGAGGTAATCAACTTCCGATATCAGCTCATTCCGACACTATACTCTCTATATGTCACGTAAGTGTGTTGCGGTGATCCATCAAACGTGATGTCTTGGCGCCGGCAGGCTCAATTGAAGTCTTGATGAAACATCTCTGCAGCGATTACCACCGACGTGGTTGGCCAGTCCTCAAGGTAAGTTGCGTCTTCTGCGCTTGCCATGATCTTCGCTGCTCATCCTCTGTTGCCACATCCTGGTGGCATTTTAGCCTCTCTTGTGGCATCACTCGTACGACCGAATCACGTTGACTCAGGATGAGCAATTCCTGCTGGGGTCGCATCTGCTGATTGCGCCAAACACAACGCAAGGAGCAACAAGCGTGGACTTTCACCTGCCAGGCGGCCAAATCGAGCCAATCTGGTGGTGCAATTTCCACACGGGGGTGTGGACGCGCCTCCCAGTTGGAGGCGCTGATGTCACGGAAGGTGAGTGTCGCCAAGTTCGAACAACGACCCGTCGAGCGCTCATCGGCTGCTTCTTGGGCGTCCATCTGTACGGTTGTATCAGATGCGGCCCTCGACCGCTGTCCGGCGTTGATGAGAGCCGGAGGCATCCTCGTCCTTGCCTCCGAGGTCGGACAGGATGCACTTTCAACCAGTCGGTCGGGCAGAATCGTATCAATTTACCCAGCGCCCATCGAAGCTGCGACAAGTTGCAGCGGATCTTTTGTCGTCATTGAAGATGACGGGTGCTCAAACGCAGCGACTACCAGCGGCGAGTGGACAGAGTACGAGGTATTCTTCCAAAGCATTGCCGGTTCCCAAACCGTGCAATGCGGCTTCAAGCTCCTTCATGGTGGCTTTGCAGGACACTGGGATCTCACTTTTAAATTGCCACGGAGCGACACGCGCAGGCTGATGCCCTTAGGAGATAGTGCTCAAGTAGCAGAAGTCACCGACGACGGCCTGCAGATCAGGGTGACAGTGGCAAAGCCTTGACCTCGTAGGCACGCATGACTGACATTTAATCGGATGCAATTTTCAGATCAGAGATGTCCTTTCGGTTGGCGCTCTGCTGTTGCCACGAGAAGTGTTGGTGCTTGACGACGAGCGCACAGGACGGCGCGGTGTGGTTGGAGCAGCAGTTGGATGCGCCATCCAGTGGCGGACAGAGCGCCTGCTGGAGGTAGATCTTCGCAGCGATTCGCGCGCATCTCTTGGACGACTCATGCTCCTCGTCCTCTCCACGTCGTCGTAGGCGCTTCGTATAGAGGAGCGTCTGGAAAGACCTGGTCTTGCGACGTAGCTGCCGGGCTCTGGCGCGATGGGATCGTCCTGCTCTTCGTCCAGTCTTAGCAACTCAGCTTCAGGAGGCAAGTGTCTCCATGCGATGGATTGAGCAACAATGATGGCGTCAAAGATCAAAGTGCCGCCCGAGCCGAGCAAAAACGGGAGCGATTCAATCAAGTAGGCTTTTGCACCTCGTCCAGTTGCTAGCGGCGAGACCAAGATACTGATAGAGTAGAGCGTGTTGCCCAGCGCTGCAGCTACGAACAGCAGCATCGATAGCCCCTCCACACTCTGGCGGACAAAGTTGGTCCATATCTGAGGGATGCGCGATGTCATGTAAAGAAAGCAGCAGATCCATGCAAAGAGTCTTCCGACAATCCGGTCCCATTCTTCACGTGATGGTGGCGTTTCGAGATCGCCTTCACGTTCTGCTTGGACATCTGCTGGGGCGAGCAAAGGATCCGTCAGCCTTGGGACGATGGTCAGCAGATGCTGGCTTGGATACACGGGGAATTCCCCCCGATTCACAAATTTGAGGGCATAGGCGGACCCCACGGTGTTCGGAGCGAAAGGACCGAGTGCTGCTGACGGCCTTGTCTCCATCGTGCGTGCTTGTCGCATAGTGCTGAGATCTCCTGCAGCAGCCTCCCGCAAGCTAAAGAGGGCCGTGCCGCCTGTTGATGGGCCCACGCCCCAAAGAGCCCCAAGGCCTAGCAGAGCAGCGCCCAGCCCGCGACTCGCTCGTCTCCGACGCGACGGCGAGATAGAAGAGGAGCGACTAGCCTCTCTGTGGCCATCCTCGAGCGATGGAGCGACAGAAGGATGCCTCGATTCGAAGTAAGAAGAGCTCTCCTGTTCGACTGCCGAGCCTGCTGCTCCAAGATCGCCAATCGCACCGCCTCTGACCAGAATGGCGCTGTTGCCTCCGGGAGACTTGCCAAGTAGCGCCGCATCTTGTTTGGGTGTGCTGATACGCTCGGCCGTCCGGATCATTCCTCTTCCACGTCGAGGCTCGGCATCTGGACTTTCAGAGTCGGAAACCGCAGTCGGTTCCCCATCTTCCATCGCAGTGACGCTTTCATCAACTGTCGATATGCGCGAAAGCAGCTTCGCACTTGTTGGGATGGACCGTGCTCGCGCTTGCTCCCTGAACCGCGCAAAGGAAGCTGCAGGTCGAGTCTTGTGTGCTGCATCGCTTGAGCCCCATATGCGCTGAAGACTGCCACCGCTGGCAGTAGATGCTTCGCTCTGTAAGCTGTCTGCCATAGCGCCATAGTCGTGAAGCTCTGCCTGTGTTTCTGGCCCAACGCTTTGCTCTCGCGTAGGACTAAGGAGGTGAGGAGCCCACCTTGTAGAGCCCGCTCTTTGGCGACCTAGCGTTGAAGGTTGCTGCCTGGAGCCAGAGCTAGCCCTTCCCTCCGCTTGTTGCGAGCTGAGCTGGGCAGCTCTACGTGCTGCAGCCACGTATTGCTGTGCGTGAGCCAAGCGAAGATTTGCATACTCCTCGACGGTGTGTCCAGCTGCGCTGACTTGACCAGCATCCGTCTCGACCGACTGTATGCTCGAGGACCGCGGCAGTCGCCAGCTGCCTGATCGCGCCATGAAACCGGGACTCGAGCTATCGCTTCGCCTTTTAGGCAGCCGGCCAGAAGACGAGTCAGTCAGCGTGGGGACGCTCGCCGACATGTCTCTACTACTCCATCGCGGAATGCCAGCGCGCCTGACGAGGGGGGAGCCAGGCAGGGAACGTAGATCTCGCGCTGTGAAGGTCGACGCAGTACTGGCATAGCGTGCTCGACTCGGCGCGGCAGGCATAGCTTTCTCATTCCGTCTCGAGTAGTCTTTCGTTACGAAAGAACAGCGAGATTCAGTAAAGCGCGTTCCCATTTATGACTCAGGTAGCAGATCTCACATACGAATTGGATGCCTATGATCGCATCCACAACGCAGAAATACACTGCGATGGCGACCTGAAAAGCGAGTTGGTTGGTGAGTAGACACCCGATTCTGTGGAGCCGGTGAGTGAAGGCAGGGATGTCAGCCACGTCGACATGATTGTGCAGCATACACAGCGCTTACAGATTCGTGATATCGCCTCCCATCCATTGCAGCAAGAAAGTAGGGCTGAGCCCGTCTACCGAAGACCTGGCGTAGTTCTCGTAGATCTGGCTGCAAGCGACAAGGGCAAGTGTCAGACTCAATGCGACTTTTCGAGCTCGGGTAACGAGGCGACGTTTGCGTACTCACGGACTTTGCGCAAAGAGCCACACGAAGAAGCTGGCTTTCCCAGCCGCGTCACTGACCGCTTGCCGGTCCCACGCATGCCACCATCGATGAGCATAGCACAGCACGGCGTGCAAACCTTCGATGAGAATGCCAGCGTGGCTTTCGCTCGGTGCCGATTCACCTCGCCAGCTCATCAATGCCAATTGTATTCTGTATGGGCGCCTCAGGGTCTCGACTAGGGCTGATGTGTGCTCGCGAGGTATCCGTCACGCGAGAGGCGCGCGTAGTAGGGCTGCTCGTGATGTCGCCAGGCGAGACCGGATATCATCATCGGAGCACGTCTTGACGCAAGTTCGAGCATGTGGAGTGGACAATCTTTGCCTCCCTCGTCCCAGCAGCGTGGCGGTGGGGTGCAGGGCTTGGGCATGTGAGAATCATAATCATGAGAGAGGGCGCCTCTCACGCTGCACGAAACCCCGCCGTTCAGCGACACCAAGGCGGGAAGGAGCGCGCCGTGTGCTGGACGGTACGGCGCGCGCGACACGGTCACGCGACCGACCGCGAGCCGATCCGCTCATCTCCCTCACGTGGTGCCCTTTCCGTGGCACGTGCTGGTGCGCCGAAGCGCGGTCTCATCACCCACGGTAGTCGCGATATTTAGGATTACGGTAGAGTCAAGAGACACGTAGAAGAGAGTCCACGGCGTGCTGCACCGTTGGTAGCTGCTGACTAGCTGGTAATAAAATCGAGAATGCCGCAGTGTGCTCGGAATGAAACTTGAGCTCATAGCAGGCATTTTCAGCGGCGAAGAGCCTATTGTGTTGATGGAAAGAGGTGTCAATTATTCCAGTGTGCCAACAATCATCAGGGTCATTTCGCGATATCAAATCTACACCTTACCTGAAGCGCCTCTCGGGAACTGCATGTGTACGGTCCACATTGATCATACATCACTCCAGAGTATATATGATCAAGCTGTACTCAAAATGCCTCCAACATTCGGCATCTTCCCAGTTCAAGCTCACAAATGAGGTTGAGCGACCGTCTGCGACCGTGAGGCTCCTAATCACGTGCTAGACCCGGGCTGATAATCAATTCAAGATTCTCGACCTTGAAGATATTCACGATTCGAAGTTCCAAATTCACGATTGCCCGCCTACGATTATGCCGTACGTATACATACCTTTAATTTCGACTGTACCTGCGCTGATCCGTTTTATCCGTGCGGAGCCCTACAGCTTACGCGCGTTTGCTTTCACGAATTCATCATTCATATTCACGATTTTGATTTCTCGCCTTCGCCGCGAGGCAAACCAATATCTGGACAACCGCTTCGAATTTGACACAACGCTCCTCGTGATTTAGGAGAAGCACGAATCAAGAATCCCCAGCTCCACGACTGCGATAGACGGATTTGGAAGCTGCGATGCTGCACGTGCAATGTGAATCACGAATGTATGATGCCGCGCTTCCACACACCTTCGACCTGCCTACTGGGATGAAGGTGCTGCCTTAGTGATGTGGTCCGCTTTTGGAATGCGCGCGTGTGATAATCACGGCGCACTAGCCATGTGGACAACATCACCCGCTCGCTCCCTCCTTCGTGATCACGTCTACCATCCTCCATCTGACTGCGCAGGATCGTCGTGCAAGCTGATTGCCTACGACGTCTCCACCAGACCGTTTGATCAGGATGAGCGACATCAACCGGCCTGCCAGGCCGTACGTGTCGATCCAGCACCAACCATGGAAGGCCATCTACATGACCAAGACTCTCATATCTGTCCTTTTCTTTCAGTTGCCCTTCTACGCAATCACGCAGCTGCTCTTTCGATCTGCCCGTCCCCATCCCGACTTTACCTTTGCTCAAGCAATGGTAGTGCGCATCGTGCGTTTCATGGGTCTCTTCAGGCGCGCAGACTGGTACTCCGATAGATGGACCGTGGAGAAGCTGTCGAAGTACACGAACGCAAAGTCAGAATCTCTCGGTAGGCTCTTGGCCAAGGCGGTGTGGGTGCCAAAGCTGGATGGCGCGCTACAAGGTGAGGCGGGTCAGCTGGAAAAGAGAGCGGGAACGCGCAGCGTGCGCACCCACGGCTGGTGGTTTGCCATCCCGTCCAGCCTGGACTCGCACGGCAATGCGGCGCAATGGCGGGAGCTGTTTGACGAGGAGGATGTAGAGAAGGCAGCAGTGGCCAGGATAAAGGCTGCCAAAGGCGAGCAGGTGTTGCTCTACTTTCACGGGTCAGTCACGCTATGACAGAGCTGGCCCTGTCACCGCTCCCTCCGTCCAGACCACATGCTCACACTCTTTTCGCCTGTACGCCAATTCTCCGCAGAGGAGGCTACTTGGAGCGATCTGCTGGGCCCAAATCCCAAACTACAGCTGTACCTCGTCAGCTGCTCAAAAAGATCGAGGAGCACCTTGCTCAAGGATACGAAGGCGATGCAAAGCTCTTGCCGCGCAAAGCGTTCTCGCTCGAGTACCGGCTCAGCGACAAGACATCATTCTCGGGCATCCTTGCCGACGCCGTGTCCAGCTGGCGTTATCTTGTAGAGGACTGCGAATATGAGCCGGAGAACATCTATGTTGGAGGCGACAGTGCTGGAGGTGAGAGATTTTGAATAGGCGTGATGGGCCCTCCACGTCTGCCCCGCTGCGCGCCATCTGATCCGCTGCTCCTCGGGCCCACGCCTCGCCTCAGGTCACCTCAGCCTCGCGCTTACGCGGTACATCCGAGACGTGCGACCTTTCGGCAAATCTGGGATGCCCCGGGGTCTGATGCTGTACTCGGTCAGTCTAGACGGGCGTCATGTTCCATTCCTCGCGCGCGCGCCCTAACCACTTCGAACCCCCCACTCTTCTCGCCTTTAGCCTTGGGTCGACGCCTCGCTGTCGTACGGCACCAAGCCCAACGCCTCGCATCACCTCAACGCGCCGTATGACATTTTGAGCCTCATGGGCCTGGCGACCGCATCCTCGGAGCTTCTGCGCGGCGTGGCAGCAGGCGACGAGAAAAGCCTGTACATTTCCAGCCTTCATCTGGGTCGCGAGTCGCCCGTGCACGACTACAAAGGCTTCCCTCCCCTCATCGTCATGGGTGGAAGTCTGGAAAAGTTCATCGACGAGATAAGGGATCTGGCAAAGGCGTACAAGAAAGATGTGCAGGCTGACCAAACGCTCGTGCACAGCTTTGAGGACAAGAAAGCGTCGCACGACCCGTACAACATTCCCATCTGCTATGCAGAGGTGCAGAAAGTCGGCATGGATCGCAACTTGAAGTGGCTACTCAAGCTGAACACTTGAAGACAAGTTCAAATCCCAAAGGAAGACGAAATGGAAGACGGCAAGCAGCGCGTCAACGACAGCGCTCCCATACCGCAGATCAGCACCTCTCACCCGTCCGCACTTCGCCTCACCCCGCTGTGCTCGGGTCGAGAAGTTTGTGCGTTGGATGACGTCTATTTGGGTACGAGTACGAATTACAACATGTAGAACGTAGATATCGTGTGCAGGCAGCTATCGTGTACAGTGACGCTCTGGCAAGTGGATGCATGCGGGCGCGATTGCTGTCTGGCCAAGGATCATGCCTTTTGCTGCTGTGCCAGCTCGGTTGCTTCGTCAGTCGAGCTTCGATGTGCCTCGCCCGCCTGACTGTCCTCGCTTGCATTGACGTCCTCCTTTCCTCTCGGAACGGTCTCATCCGCATCCCTAGCAAATGCAGCCTTCAAACGCTCTTCCACCTCTTTCGTCTTCTTCGTTTGCTTGCCTCCTACAGCGATGAGAACCGCAGCGGCGATGCCGCAGCTAAAAGACAGGACAATACCAAGCGCTGTCATCCAAGCTGGGCGATCGTGGTACTTTTCAGGACCAGCATAACCCCACATGGCCGCGCACAGACAGCATTGAAAGATGCTGTTGCCGACGTTGAGGGCTGTGATGGCCACAGCCATGCTGATCGGAAATGCGGTATGGGTACTGGTCTCGGTGTACCGGTACCAAGTTGCCGATGCTGCAAATCTGCTCTGCAGCTCCATCATTCTCTCTGCTTGTCGCGGCTTGAGCACATGCTCAGCATCGTGATCGATGGACGGGAGCGTGGACAGCTGATCTTGCGCATTTCCAGCTTGTCCCTCTCCCGCAGCAGTAGGTGAGCTTGGCTCCTTTTCATACTTCTGTTCCAGCCTTTCTTCTGCCAGATCTTCGCGGTTCTTGAGGGGAGGAAGACCTCGCTCTCGCCTTAAGCGCCAGGTGAGGTTGCGATAGTGGCAGATTCGCGACATCCGGCTGCATCATGTACATGCGCACTCGTCGTGAGCGGCGCTGACACAGGAATGGCGAGAGTTCAGAATCTGTTACTCACTATGTATCGCGTACGCGCCAAGGGATGAGGCCGACACCGGTGATGGTGAACAACCCGTTGATCGCTTGACTGAAAGCCTCAACCTGACTGTCGAAGAATATGGTGGGGATGATGATCAGCGTGGATGCCGGGATTGAGGGAAAGGGTGCGGTGATGCTTCACTCACAGGTCTTTGTTTCCAGGCACCCACCCAAACAGGCAGATGACCAGAGCAGCTCCAGTGAATCTAAACGCGATAGGGAAGCAGCTTCGGGTAAGGAGGGCAATCGAAGGAGACCGAAAGCTCGTGAGGCACTTACACAACAAGAAAGCCGTAGATGGATACGATGATGCCAAGTGGGGTCTTCATGAATGTCCAAACACCCGAGAGCACCTTCTTGAGAAGCGCAATGCGCTGCTGTCTCTTTGTGAGCAGATGCTCGACGTGAGAATCGAGGAGCGCTGCCGACTCATCCGCACTGTCGACGTGCTTCCGTGTCCGCGCACGTGTGACCGCGCCGCCACCCTCCAGCTGGCCTTCGACATCGTCAGCGAGTCGCTCTTCGGGGCTTGGAAGGTCGACGATAGGCTCGGAGCCAGCGAGAGCAGCAGGCACAAAGATGCTCCGCGTGATGTCGGAGAGCACGGCAACTGTGCCAACGCGGGGGTCGATGACGTCCAAGACCTCTACAGCTTCCCAGCTGTGCTCGTCCTCAAGCTCAGAAGCTCGCGTGCTGTTGCGCGTGGGTCCTCGTCGCAAGGAAGCGGTAAGGGCCTCTGTTGAGCGCTTCGCCTCTTTGGTGCGCCCTGTGGGCCTTTGCGATGCCTCTTGGCGGTGTCCACTTCGCCCGAATGGCCATCGAGACGCAATCCTTTTGCGCGATGCGCTCTCTTTGAGCGAATCCTCATCGACATTGCCTCTACCGTCTTCTTGAGCTTCGCGTATTTCTTGCAGCTCATTACCGATTGCAGCGAACCTATTGAGTCGGCGTACACGTCGTTCTTCGGCGCGGCGCTCCGCGATGGCCCGGTGTCTGGATGCGATGCCTTCTACGATGCCATGCCTGCGGTGATCTCGATCGGGATGCTTGTTGTGGATGGCGTGATGCAGAGGCCCATGTGCATGCCCAGCTTCGCGATTCAGCAGGTCGTCAGCATGGGCTCGTCGCTGTTCCACAGCAGCGTTGGGAGCGGGCGAAGGGCTTGACGGAGAGCTGACCGTCGACCGCCGGCGCACACGCACCGATGGTCCTCTGGGATTGGACATGTTGATTTCGATATATGGATTGATGGTGGTCGTTGATGGTCGTAATGATGCCAGAGATTTCCGGCAAGTCGCAATCGTGAAGCCAATTTCCCAACCAGCCTAGCGCCAGAGGTATCATGCAGGTCTGCCAGCGCGAGTCAGTTGAGGGTGAGACAAGATCAGTCGAGCGCACGAACGATTTGTGTATCGATTGTGGCCTTTCTTGCGCACATCAGGCGGCTGGCGAGTCGTGTCGCAGTTGACAGCGACGGAGAGTCGAGAGTGCCCCGTCCATGAGCCGTCGCGGCTTCCCGATCGTCTCAAAGAAGTCGTCAAATCACGAATGGTAAATTGAAGCAAGCGTGCAAATACCGTCCGTCTATCTGAGTCAGAGTCAGAGTCAGCCGTCACGAGTCCCGATGCAGGCGACAACTTTTTGGATGTCCGCTATATCGCTTATACCCGCCCTTGGCCATGCAGCGCGCGGGAATTCGAGCCGGCTAGCCGACGAGGGTTCGCACAGGGGCGGGAGCAAGCAATGAGTGAATCTTGAATCCATGCTGCTTGCGTCCATGCTGTGTACGGTACCGTACATGTCAAGATGCATAATCGGCAGAATAATCACGAATATTCGCGCGCAAGTAAGGGACTTGCGGCGCGGTGTATATACAGCATAATCGCGCGTGAATAGGAAGTGGCCTCTGCGATTTTGATTGCTTAGCTCTCCGCTTAACGGACGCGTGCTCTCGGCTATAGCAGGACAGGTAGCGCTAGTTGCCATCATGATGCTTGTCGGCCATCCATGCACCCACGATCATGATATATGTGCCATGTCGAAGCATACTCACGACTATCATAATCAGAGAGGGCGCGCTTAGCAATCGGAAGTCACATTCAATTCGAATGAACCAGGTGTTGCGATTCGAATCAAAGATTCTTTGACTGGAACGTAGACCGCGACGTGGTCGACAAACACGGAGACGCTCCCCATGCTTGACGCTTCATCACGCACTCGGACCCTTGCATCGCTGTAGAGGATGCTCATGCCTGTGCCCACTTTGCTGCAAGACCATTGTACAGTCAAGGTCAAGAATCGCGAGTCTCGATGGCATGATCATCTTCTGAAGAATTGGAACTCCCTGCTGCCGCTTTGAAATCTTGAATGTGAATCTTGAATGCGGCTTGAGCCCCAATCAAAACTCAAAATCGGCCGCCGAATCGAGTACCGGTGCACGTAGACTACGATTTTGATTTGAGTTGTTGTTGTTCAGATGACTTAGAAGTTGAAGTAAATTGACCACAGTCAGTCAAGAGTCAAGCGTCAAGCGTCCTTGAATCCGGCAAGCCGTGAGGCTTGGCATCTTGGAATCAGGAATCTTGAATGCAAGATCTGGATTCAAAGTTTCAACTCTTTAATTGATTCCTTGCGTGAGGCAAGCCAGGTGTGCCTGCTTGTCTTGTACGCTCACCATCGACTCAAGACTGTGATCCGTGACATGGTCTGTCATGATCTCTCCACCGTCCGGCGCTGCCCCACAGCTACCTCCGCCAACGCCCAGACTCGCCTTTGACGTTCGTTCAAATTCAAAAGTTGACATTCACATTCAGATTCCTGATTTACAGATCCGCCGATGGAAGTTGCGAGCGCTGTCGAGCGCTGCACCGCTAGTCAGGCAGTGAGTGCGCACGAGCACACGGGACCACCGTACCGGCGAGCGGCGCTAGTGGTCTTGCTGGCACTTGGTTTTTGCATCCGAGGCTGGTGCTCGCGGCTCGGGGCGAACGAGGCATTAGTAGTCATGCAGAGGCAAGAGCGTTGGCTGCATGGCGGGGAAGTTTGCTCAACATTGATGAGTGGTAGTCGCAGAAGCAGAGTAGTCTGTGTGCAGTACACACTACTAGACTGTAGACTCTACACACTCACCAATGATTGTTACGGATAGTCAAGTCACAACAACATATATGCAGCCATCAGTCGTGAGTGTCTGCGCAGGAGGTTCCTAATCGACGAATGCCATGCGGCGTGTCACGTCTTCTGCATGCAGCTATTATAGACTTGGGGGACGTGCAGAGCAGCATATATACCAGTCATCGCGCGGTCACCGGAGCCTCGAACCGACCGTCTGGGCGTTCCGATGGGAAGCAAGCAAGGTTCCTCACCCAGCCTCAACTCGTAGCTCGTGACCCGCGAGAGGAGCCTTTGAATATGCTCCTCATTGCTTCTATGTGCATCGATGTGGCAAAGTCGAGTCGTATGGACCACGTCGTCTTGACCTTCTTGTCTTTCTGGAGATCGGGCGCTTTCTCAAGTCGCAGCAAGCTAAGTATAGGTATACGCTCAAGACTCGAGACTCGAGACTGCATGTAGCTCCAGTCGAGGCAAGAGCGACCCACGGCCGAATTGGCGCTAGATAAGATGCTTACAGCCGCGCATGCTCTGGGTGTGGCCGTGCTCAGATGTGCCCGCAGGCACTGCAGCACTGCAAGCTTTCTGCACGCTCTTGGCTCGCGTGCTGCAGCGAATCCGGCTGATGAAGGAGACGCTGCTGATGCTGGGTGTTGCAAGCAAAGTCTAAGGTTTGCCGTGTGCGTGCGCATTCAGGTGATTCTATCTCTACCCCGCATGGTTTTGCATGGATGGGCCTGCACTTGCAGGCACTCAGCTCTTCCGAACTCTCATTTCAGAAGTTGGTCACACTCGTCGAACTGCATCTCGGGCACAATCAATGGCAGCTAGGCATCACCTATCGCACAGCTGCCCCGCACTCATCTTCGAAGTGCAAGAAGTTGATTACTCGTTGTGTGAGGAGCAAGGGAAAGGCCATGCAGCATTCGCGCGGCAGCGCGTGCGCCGTCGCCCACACTTCTCCACACGCGCGCTCCATTTCCCACACCCCTGCGCATGCCGCGGGAGCAAGAACAAGAAACACAGCAGCGCCACGCACAGCCCGAAGTTTTGCGGATATTGAACTCAAAGTGGTCGCAGTATAGTGCTGTAGCGCCAGTGAAGAATGATGACGCCCGGGCTAGGCTGCATGATGAACCATGCAGCCCGCGTTAAGGGCGGTCGTTCGTGCAGCGCGCATGAATCAGTATAGGGGGGCCACGACAGCACACTATGACTGTCAAACGCGCCTCTCGCGACGTACCGCGTCAACCTCAAGCTCCGGCATCGCGGCCTGCATGATGTGCAAAGGCGCGTAAGTCGAGGCTGTGAGCGGCATGCAGCCATTCGCGGCATCGAGACCTGAGCTACGAGGCCTTGGCCTTCGCGAGCTTTCGCGAAGCACTTCCAATTTCGCATCGTTTCTCGATCTGCGCTCTGCCGAGTTTGAGTGAGCACTACCGGGACAGCGGTAACCACTTGCAAGCAGACGTGACATTTGAGGAGCCTGATCCTTAATTGAAATAGAGCAGGAGCTATAAGCATAGAGACACTTCGAAAACAAGCCAACCGAGGCTTGACGGCGGACTCATTCATATCTGATTGAGCATCATGCCCCGACTCAAACGCAGCCCAACAGCTTGCAGCTATTCTTGATTCTATACGATGCATACATCGATCATAACGCCGCGCTCCAAGCCCCGGCGAACTCCAGTCCTTCGCGGCATGCAGCAGCAGGAGCAGCAGCAGCTACTGTAGCAGGATGTACTGTACGCATCACCGCGCTTCATCACCAGCTTGCCGTACGTCCGCAGCATGCAATCACGCAAAGCATGACTGCATGACAGGTCCAGTGCCGCGTGCAGACAAGTGGCATGCATCTTCTTGTCCCTCGCACGCGCTCGCTCGGGCCTCCTTTTGCGAAGGGCGCGGGCGCACACAGTCGGGCGCCCGCGCCCCTCTCCTCTCACAGGCGCTCGCCTCTGCCAAGCGCCACACGTGGAAGAGGCGCTTGGACCTGCTTCATCTCATTTCGCGCTGACCATTGACTCTCGACCACGACAATCACTGGTCATCATAGACGCGTCGACCTTTGCACCTGTATCAGTCTCGTTTCCGACTCGTCGTGACCCGACCCGACTCGACTCGACTCGACTCGACTTGATCCTTCACCGTCACTAAGTAACCGGCATTTTGGGCTCCCCGTTGCGTATTTCCACTCCCTCGACACCTTCCTATCGGCGACAAACGCCTTTCATTGACCGTGTGTCGCTTGATTAAAAGCTCGAGTGCTACCGTCTGCTCGGCCAGACACGCAGCTCGTATCGAGCTCGAGCAATCCTCCGCCCTCGATCCTCCAACTTCCTATCTTCGTGTCCGCGTGGTTGCGGCGTCATCGACCAACGTCACCCTCTCTCGCTCTGCTACTCTTATCCGTTGGCATCGTCATCCTTCCTCTTCACAGCAACTCCAGCTGCATGACATTCTTCACGCCCTGACGTTTTGAACGACTTGTGTTATTCATCCAACGCCACGGTTGGCAGCGTGCGGTCTTCTGAACGCTTCGTCCCCCAACCAACAGTCAGCCCCTCTCAGTCGCTACACCCAAGTTAACCTCGTCATGTCCTTGCTCAACATGGCATCCATCGACACTGGCGATCTGGACGACTTTCTACACACCGAACAGATGATGGAGAGCGACGCGACCGATCTCAACGGGAATGTGAACACAATTACGCCCCCGTCCGAATACAAAAGATCGGATAGCGGCACTCAAGCCAAGCGGAAGAGCAAGCCTGCTCAACTTGCCATCTCTGCGGTGCCGAACCATCTTCAGTCTGGTGCTCATCACTCGAATGGACGAATGACTGGCTCCCCCGCTCTTTTGCCAGCTTCGCCGAGCACCGCCGATGTCTGCTTCCCAACTCATATTTCCACTCCTAGCTCTCACAGCGCCTCTCTGCATAGCCTCTCATTCGAGTTCGGCGAGAGTGGTCCCGAGACGAGTCCAGACACGGGCATGAGCATGGTGCAGAGCCCGAGCGCTGCCCTGTCCTTGGCCCTTCCATCGCCAAACCCTCATTCGTACACCTTCGATAAACCACCGTTCCGAAGCTTTGGCATTCAGTCGCCGGTCGCATGGCCTGCCGATGGCTTTGGAGGTATGGAGCACGATGCTCGTTTTGTCCCTGACCACTTTGCCATGCGGCTCTCGCACGTTGATGCCTACCCAGCCGGACCCTTCCGCGACATGGATGGCGCAGAGGAGATGCTGACGATGCCGAATGCGCCGGTGGGTTTCAAGATGGAAGCTTCCGAGCACCCAATGGACTTCACGCTGGAGAACATGCCAAGCCCCTTCTCTGAAGATCGATCAAGCCCTAGCTCATCTGCCCATGCTAGCATGCTAGGCAACGTGAGCCCTGTGTCAGACAAGCGCCGCCGACTCGGTAGTCCTACCGGTAGTGCCAGCACGGCAAGCTCGAAAGTAGCGCATCGCTCCAGTGACTCCAAGCGACGTTCTGGCGGAGGCGCAAAGCGCAAGCAGACCAAAAAGGGAGCATCTCCACCTCTGCCCACGAGCGGCGCCGATGTCCCCGCTGAAACGGATCCTCCCAATGGTGAAGCGCAAACAAGTGAAGCCACTGCTTTGCCTGCTCAGCCTGCTCTGCCTGCTCTGCCTGCTCTGCCTACTCAGCCTGCTCAGCCTGCCGCAGTGGACCCATCGCTTGCCACAGACAAGCAGCCAGAAGAAGCCAAGCTAGCGCCTGCGAAACCATCCAAGAAAAGGGAGCCTCCTTCCGCATCGCAGATCACCGAAAGTGGCCAGCCTTTCCCGGTCATTGACACGTCGGCCACTCACTCGTCGCTGTTCGTCCATCCTGACACATCTGGGCTCACAAAGCGCGAGGCGAGGCTGGTCAAGAATCGCGCTGCCGCCTTCCTCAGTCGTCAGCGCAAGCGAGAGCAGTTCGAGGAGCTCGAGAGCCGCTGTCGAAGCATGTCACGACTGGTCTGGCGTCTGTGGGAGGTCGCTGCTGGTCCCGATATGCCCTGGTCGGCTTTCGGACAGACAGTGTTGCCAATGTTGCTGGGAGAAGAGACACCAGACGTTCGCGAAGTTCTTGAACTGGTGGTCAACGCCAAAGGAGCCAGCATCGCACCTACCGAAGACCCCTCAGCAGGGTCTTCTGTGCCGCCTCTTTCTGATCAAGCCAGCGAAATTTCGGAAAGCTTTAGCACACGCGGTGTCAAACGCGACCGTGGAGAGGCGAACCACACAGCCAACGCAGCGACTTCAGATCAAGCGCCACAAAACGAATTATTCTCGCTGCGCTCGCAAATGGAAGCGTCAAACCTCGATGAGGCTGCCTCTGCGTCGCAGTGGCCTGCATCGATGAACATGCTGAATGGGGGCAGTGCTGCACCCAGGCCTCAGACCGGTGGCTCTACTGCACAAGCAGGCGATGAGCGTCCTTTTCGATCAGGGCCGCCAGCGTCTGTGACTGACAGCGACACGCTGGCCTCTGCCCGAACGCTAGTCGTCGAACCTGAAGCTGCTACCTGCAATCAGCTCAAGCAGGCGACCCAGTCGCTGACCCCGCCAGAATGTGGTCAGGAAGACCAAGAGGCATTGACTGCTTTTGTGAGCCGGGAGCCGGCTTCCGCCAGCCAGGAAGCCGCGGAAGACTATCAGGATGCTCGTGAAACCATGGATGGCACTGATTCGGTAACGACGATCGCGCACAAGTCACACCCAAAGCCAGTGCGGGCCCCTGCTGTCAAGTCAGGATCTGCCGGCCAATACACTCCTCGCAAGACAACAGGAGGCGTTGCCTTGATGGTCATGCTGTTCAGTTTCGCGTTGTTTGGAGCTACCTCAGCTCCAGGAGACGGGTCTGCACATGCGTGCGGCGACAATTTGTGAGTTTGTTGGTACTGGACTAGTCTGATAGAAGCCGCTCAACTGAGTCCATCGCCTTCTTCCAGCTTCAACCTTGGCCAGCAGATAGATTCTGCCGGAGCGCCACTGGTGCACTGCGTGCTTCCAAAGCGCAAAGACGAAGAGAAGGATGATCAAGAAGCAGACAGCGGGCACGCCGCTGAGGACAAGAGCAGCGCAAAGGCATCTCAGAGCCAAAGCAGCGCAGAATTGGAGCGCTTGCTCGATCTTCCGCTTGACTTGAGATGGGTGCGCGACAACGCACCAAACGACTCGATGAGCATGCACGCTCTGGGTGAGCACTTGGGGCGCAGCGGGCTTGACGTGGAACGGGCCTATCTCGACGTCGACGTCGAAAAAGAGTCAGAGCAGTCCGCCAAGAGCTCGCCAGCTCCGGCCACGCCTGTGCGCGAGGCCGCAAGCGATGTCAAGCCTTCTTCGTCCGCGTCGAGACGGGTGACGCTGTTCATTCCCGCACCACGCACAGCTAGTCAACGTGCTCAGCAGCAGTGGCGAGCCAGCGCGTCCGGCGGGTCTATTTCCAAGTCAGCACCGAGCAAAGCACGTAACTCCTCCAAGTCCTTAAGCTTCGTCAAAGCAGCTCGTACTGCCTTCCGGCTACTTGGCGCCACTGGCAGCCCTCGCACGCAGAACGGCGACCTGGTCCAGCAGGATTTCTTTGCCTTGGAGCTGGGTCTCACCGGGCCGAAGGATTTGCGCTCAAGCGCGGCGATTGTGGAGCAATTGCTCGCTGGTGCCAGATCTGTGCATCACGCTTGAAACTCGCGTTATCCATTGATTTGCCCACAAGGTCGCACGCGTGGCTTTCAGATGGAGGCAATCGGTCCTGGCACTCGACTTGCGCCTCTGTCCGCTCCGAATCGCGTCACGACTTCAGCCGACAGAACGAAATTTCTTGATCTTCTTGGTTTCCCTCTTTGGCCGTGACGGCCTTGCACAGCCACTCTTTATCATCGTTGCGCCCGTTTACTGAGTCCACAAAATCACGAATCAAAGGTCAAGATTGAGGGTCTCGAAGGAAGTCAAAATGGAACGAGGGCTGTTATATAAGGGCTGTGAAGGGCAGGCGATGAGAGTGTCTAGAATGTCAAATGTACAAAGCAATTCGATCGATGAAATTGAGTCATTTGGCTTGAGAATTTACCTCGCATGATGCCATCATCTCTGTTCGCATGCTCAGCATATATAGTCACGAGTCACAGTGGAGCGCGCAGTAAAACCCAAGCCACGAATGCGCAGCACGCCGAGTCGTGCAGATGGCCCACTGTCGCGCACGACTGCTACGCCCGAGCTTTTGACACGATAGTCTGAGTGGTAAAAGCTCAGCAGCATGGGTGCATGCATGGGCTCCTGACTTGCCGCTCGGTAGTGCCCGGAGCGTGGCGCATGAGATCATTTCTCGTTAGCGTGATCACAGCCACTTCTAGCAAACGTGTGTGTGTGTGTGGTGGGGGATGTCTGACAGGAGGGGGGAAGTCTGGAAGCGTAGGGAAATGCGGCGCTTTGGGCAGGTAGGCAGACATTCACAATGTGAATGTTGCAGGCATTGAGTGCGGGCTTTGGTTGGGAGGTACGTCTTCAAAAGGCGACCACATGGATTTTGCTCCCTGTCCAAGCTGGCATCTCACACAAACATCGAACCCGATCTGCTCGAGCCGCACTATCGACACCGCACAGAACCATGTCCTGCAGAAGACGAGATCGTGCAAACGGACTCGGCTGCTGCCCCGACGCCACTGGCACCCGTCCGTGGATCGAGTACGACGGCTTCGACTACCTCGTACAGCTCGAGCGAGGACACTCTGCGCCCCGGTGCGAGGCACATGCGAAGCGGCTCCCGGGTCAAAGCGCTCTGAGCTTGCCAGCGTATGATGCCTGTCTTCAGCGCTATAAGACAGAGGCCAAGAAGTACAGCCAATACGCAGGGCAGCAAGCAAGCATCTTGCACAAACCAAAGTATGCCTGCTTCGATTGCAGAAGGGCGTTCAAGCCCACCGCATGCGACGGAAACGAGAGCTTGTACGGCGCTCGAGGGCTGGCCGACCTGACCACCGATGGCCAAATCGTGCCCCCCACAGGGCAAGAGAGCGATGCAGAGCTGAGCTTAGCTGTAGCTCGCACACAGCATCTTAGTCGCAGAAGGCAAGATCGGGATGGAATTTACACGCATCCACCTGGTGCCAGACCGACCGACCCGGTGTGGTTGATCCGCACCGCGGCACCTTTGGACGAACGAGAGGACGCAACTGCTGAGCCAGTGGGCGATGTCAATTTGCTCGCAAGCCCTCAACGGATCGAGCATTACAAGAAATTTGGTCGCGCAACTGTCTCGCAGGCGCAAGAGCTCTTCCCAACAAGGACTTCCCGCCAGCCTTCCTTGGAGGCCGGAAAGACGCTCGAGGCGCGTCAGTCGTGGATTGCGAAGCATTCTTCCTCAGCGGCGCATGTCTTTTGGAGGCAAGTAGTCACTTGTTGCCCCGGCTGCGGTAAAGAGGGAGTTCGAGTTGGCTCGACCTTCCGCGCGCCGTCGAAGAAAGATGCCAAAGCGTGGGAGAGTATGCGCCGCTCAACGCTGGAGCAGGGCAATCGCTGGGACTTTTGCAAGACGAATGGCCAAGTGAAAGACTACAACGAGCTGGCAGGTCTGTTGCAGGCAAGGTGGGACAAGCAAGAGGGTGGAGGACGAGTGAGATGCAAAGATCGAGATCGAGAAAGGGTACTGCGCGACGAGTTGGGCTTGAGCGATTGCGACATCAACATCAGCAAATTCGCGCCCAAACTTTGCTTAGGACCTGATGGGCGCTGGGGGAGCATACCGCCAGGGACTTTCTGTGACGATCGTTGGATCTCGTCAAGTGGCGAGAACTTGCTACGCTGAGTCGTGCATCCGCTCGCGTCGCGGCCTCAGCACGACCACGCCGCCGCGCTACAAGACCACTCGCTCAAACGTCGCGATTTTACAAGTTGCGCGAGCCTCAACGTTGTCCAGCCAGCGGCAGCGGGCGTCCTTGGCCGGATCCACCGATGTAAGGGGCGGAGATCTTGTGGAGCGCAGCACTTCGATACGTGATTGGATCTTCTGGATCGAAAGAGCTCGGATCAGCTCCTCGCTGTTTTCTCCTTCGCAGTCAAGCCCAAGTCGTTCAGCCGCCGCACTCAGCGCGACCTGTGGTACGGTGAACGACTGCAAACGCTCCTGCTCCGCTGTGCCCTCTTCATCCCGGCGAATGAAGACCTCGAAGCAGCACAAAGGCGACCCGCCGAGGTTGTTGCCGACAGCGCCTTCTTCCCACTGCGCCTCTGATTCCTTGTATCTTCTGTAATGTTGAACGTCGAGCCTGCAGTCGAATCCTGTGGAGTCTGACTTGAGTGCATACACGACTGGGTAGTCCAAGAGCCAACCAGCCAAAGCTACCCCTGCCGAAGGCGCACGTCCAGAGAGCGAAAGGACGTGACCAGACAGAATCGCAGTAGATCGTCGGCAAGCTTCGCTAAGCAATTGGATGCATTTGAGGCTCTCGATCGCCGATGATGGGTGCTATCAAGATACAATGGTACTGGTCCAGGTCAGATGCTATCGCTTGGGCACTTACGCCGCTCACGCCGCCACTGACCAGGATGGTGCCTGCAGGAGAGTTCGAAGATGCGTCCATGACGCATGGCGGAGGGCAGGCGAGTCTGGCTACAGCCGCAACGTTTAGCACTCCGAAAGAGCCACTCGGGCCATGAATCCAGACCCTGAGGCCAGAAGCTCCATCCTGCGCTTCGAGGCTCTCGAGCGCTTGCGCCAACGGGACTGGCGCGACGCTACCGTCGTCGATAAGCTGCGACGGTTTGATACCTTCGGCGACGAAGGTGAGCGCCCGCGCTAGCTGTCTTATTCGACTACGCTTGCTGCGAGGGTGATGCTCGATGAGCTTCTGCAGAATGGCATCGTGCGTGGAAGTGATCATCTCCCGGGCTCCGTCCGCATTTTGAGAGCGCGAGCGAGCAGACCGAGCTTTGCTGTGGTTCGAGATGTTTAGGGAGATGGTGGGAGAGGTGCGATGTGCAGTGGCTGCATACAGGTCAGTGTGGGCTAATCGTGGCTGGCGTGGCGTGGCGCGAGAGATGCGGCGCGCGTTACGCACGGGACAATTGTGATTGTGATTGCATGTCGAGCATTCACAATTTTAATCACTGAACTGATAGCTTGACAGAGTACTCGCTCACAAACATGCTGGACAGCGTGAGCACGCGCACAATGAGAAAAGACACACGGAGACAGGCTCATGGATGCTAAGAAGGCATATAGAAGTACACGTGTGGGAGTTGAGACGGATACAAACGCTGAAGTGCATGGGTGTTTGTGCGTGTGAGAGCCCCAAAGGGCAAGTTTGTCGGTTTGATGACGGTAGACAATCTCCTCTTAGGCACCGAAACCGTCTATCGAGGAGAGTACAGAGAAGCAGCGGTCAGCACGGATGCTTAGACTGCACGCCGAGACATCATCAAAGCTAGTAATCATACTCACAAAGAACACGGCCTTGGCGCTTGAGAGCGTAGACGACGTCGAGAGAAGTGACAGTCTTGCGCTTGGCGTGCTCCGTGTAGGTGACAGAGTCGCGGATGACACCCTCAAGGAAGATCTTCAGGCATCCTCGAACCTCGTCGTAGATGAGACCAGAGATACGCTTGACACCACCACGACGCGCGAGACGACGGATAGCGGGCTTGGTGATACCTTGGATGTTGTCTCGCAAGATCTAAAGGGAGCGATGATTGGAAGAGTTTGTGTAAGCTCGAGTCTCGCCGCTGTTGAGATGTGCCAACCCAACTACGGAGCAAATAGTAACGATGCTCACCTTACGGTGACGCTTGGCACCACCCTTTCCGAGACCTTTGCCACCCTTTCCGCGACCAGACATGTTTGCTAAGAGTTTGTTGGGTGAGTGGAGGGTTGCGTTGAGCTGCGTTGAGCTTTGAAGCTAGATTGTGGTGTGATGCTAAGTGAGGGGAAATGAGTTGGATGATGCATCTCGACTGGTCTCCTTTTGAATACCTCGCCGCTCTCCCTGCTTAGCGTCTAATTTACGTGCGGTGCATCCTTGTCACGGGGGCCGCTCGTGAACGAGTCACAGTGACGATGCATCCACGCCGAACGATGCTTGGGGCACATGCGGGCGCCACACCTTCCGAAGATGTTTGGCCACCGATCCCTGCAAGATGCGAATGAGTGAGTGGCCCAATGAGAATGTCGCACGGAGCTGAGGCGCGCACGGAAATGCGGGTCGTGATGACGCGGTCTACCCACGCCGCGGCGCACGCATGCTTGCCTGCACCATCGACGCGCTTCGTGCGGGCGGCGGTGCGGTTGGGCCACGCACCGCTCGACATGCGGACAAAGCTGTGGCCCAACAGCACGCAACACGCGCATCGCGACGCGTGTGCAAGCGCGCCTCCACCTCTGCTGAGCGCGTGTAAAGTGTTGGACTTTTTGCATCGCGTTGTGGCCCAGGAGCACGACGGGCAGCCTAAGCACGCAGCAGGTGTGGCTGGGCCACAAGGGTTGCACCTCGGCAAGCGTTGCACCGTGCAAGCGTTGGTCGTCGCTCAGCACTGCTCGACTGCTTCATCAAGCTCCCTTCCGGCCGAATCGCGCTAGGGAGGCGCCGCGCATCGTGGCTTCGCGCCCACGCTGTTCACAAAATGTCCTGGCAGGCCTTTGGCCAAACAGATACGTGTGTGGCCCTACGGCTCGCTGAGCGGCTAGCCACTCACGAGTGTGGTGAGGAATGTCGCCAAGTCTGTCGAGCATGCACATCTCTCCCAATCTAATGACGTGCATGAGCAACGCGCCCCCCCTTCCTGCTCGTCCTCTTAAACCAAGCCCATTCTCGTTCACTTACACTTTTATCCTCCTTCCCCACAACTATCATCGTGATCTTCGCACGCACTCTGTCACTCACCAAGACACATCACTCAACCCTCAAACAACTCAGTCACAATGTGAGTATCGTCGCATCGAGCACACCCTCATCCGTTGTTGCTGTCCGAGGTCCTCGCGCTTACCGCCACTGGCATCATCTTCTCGACGTTACGCAGGGCTCGCACCAAGCAAACCGCACGCAAGTCTACCGGTGGTAAGGCACCCCGCAAGCAGCTCGCTACCAAGGCCGCTCGCAAGTCTGCCCCCTCCGCTGGTGGTGTCAAGAAGCCTCACCGTTACCGCCCTGGAACTGTCGCTCTGCGTGAGATTCGTCGTTACCAGAAGAGCACTGAGCTCCTCATCCGCAAGCTTCCGTGAGTACCTGCGTCGAGCACTGGTGGCAAGGTGCGACATGTCGCAGGCGAAGTGCATACCGCCGACAGATGGGCGAGGAAGGGTCTGGTGCACATCAGCTTGTCAAATGCTATCGCTCACTGTCACTGACATTGACTCGCTTATCCATCGTTGCATCCGCTTTCAGCTTCCAGCGTCTCGTTCGTGAGATTGCTCAGGATTTCAAGACCGACTTGCGCTTCCAGTCCTCGGCCGTCATGGCTCTCCAGGAGTCTGCTGAGGCCTACCTTGTCTCTCTCTTTGAGGACACCAACCTGGCTGCCATCCACGCCAAGCGTGTCACCATCCAGCCCAAGGACATCGCTCTCGCACGTCGTCTCCGTGGCGAGCGCTCTTGAGCGTTTCTCAGCTTGGTCACAAACCTTGCCACTACTTCGTACATCTGGAGCTCAGCTCATCAAGCTCTAACTCGTACACTGTCAATCTCATCCGGCGCACCCACTCTCGCCAGCTCGATCAGCATCATGCTCAATTCAACCCCATGCATCGTGCATTCTGCACACTCGTTCTCCCGTAGCGCAGTCCTACACATGTACACTTAGCCCAATATTCCATCGATCTTAGTTAGCCCCTCTGCTCGTGTGATGCGTAGACTTGAGTAGAATGACCAGCGTGCGGTTGCTGACGCGACTTGTCCATCTACGCATGCATTCCGTCATCACGACTGCCGGGCAACGTCTCTACACCAATACCACAGTGCCATGTACACGGTCAGGTCCGTATCGCTTGCCTTGATCACTGGGGACACCTGCACCTTGCCGCCCTCGACCGACTTGAGAAAGACGAATTCGTCATAGGTGGACACCACAGCGTGTTGAGCGTCGGCAGCTTGCATGAAGGCGATGGCGTCTCTCAGAGCCTTGACGTGAGGTTCGTTGGAGGAGGTCTGATCGTCGACTTGCACTTCCTGATCTTGCGCCAAGTTTGACAAGGTGACGTTCCAGGGAGGATGAATGCAGACGGGGGCGAGAATGTTGCCCGCTTGAGACGAGCGGAACACGAGCTGTCGAGGAATGGCAACGCCCGAAGAGGCGTGTACTGGTAGATGGTCGCCGATGTGCAGGGCACCTTTTTGCTTGCTCGTCGTGCTGTCAAAGCCGCCAAGCGCCACCTCGTCCTCCAAATTGAGCTGGGAGACGGAAGATCGTGCGACGAAGAATCAGAAATGGTCGACCTGCCCCCACGTCTCTGGCTGGGGCACGTAGGCGCATGCATATTCAACTACTCCGCCTCGCCACTCACCACTCTGAGAAAAGGCTGCCAGACTTGTACGATGCACCAAAGGTGTACAGTGTGCAGCAGCGTGACTTCGGGCAAGTCGCCCTTTCTAAATGCGGCTGGAGGCAGCACGTGCTGGAACTTGGCAGCGTCGTCCAAACTGCTTAGCTCGGCTTCGATAGCCTCTTTGAAACTGAGCGAAGAGGCTTCGCCTGCATTGCTGGGTGATCGCCAGGGCACGAGGTGCACCTTGGACGTCGTCTTGAGCGGAGGAGCTACTTGGTAGGGCGCTTGATAGTCGGCTGGAAAGGGATGCTTGGGCATCTCGGGCAACGAGAGCCGCAAGAACCGCTCGAGGAAGATGGGATCGCGCTGAGCTGCCATCTCGTCCGGGGATATCGAAGTGTCTCACACCAATGAAGCTGCTGCTGGTCCTGCGGATGCTCAGCTGAAGAGCACTGCAGGGCGAGCGCTTGCTGTGTGATTTGTGACTTGTGGCCGCGAGGAGCAAAGCACGTTGCTGCAGATGAGAGCGGATCAATCAGCTCGGTAGGTATCGCGGGCAGCCTGTCAAAGTGAGTGTGTCTGCGTGTTCAGCTCAGCTCCGAGTGTGGTGGTGGGTTGTCATGAAGGGCGATTGACATCAAGCGATTGCTAATGGGGCACAAATCGTGGCTGGACGCATGAACTGAACCCTTCCCTGTACGTCCTTCTAATCAGCTCTCCATACAATCACGGGCGCATTCGCTGTCACGATTCGCATTCACGATTCTGGTCGTTACGAAATCGGTGTTGCAATTGATTGGCTGCAGATCGTACATCTTCTTCGCTGCATGCTTGACACGCAGCCTACAGCTATCACTGCGATGGTGGGGTGGGCGGTCATCGGTTGGCTGGGGCAGCAAGGGCGCCCTTATCAGTGAGCCGTGCGAGCCGAGGTCGAGGCGCGATCGAGTGGTAGATAAGCTTGGCTGTAGGTACAGGCTGCGCTGGGCTGGGCTGGGCTGTGGGCTGCCAAATTGTCGAGACCGAAAATTCGACTTTTGCATTCGTGATTCTTCGCGTGCATGCTATGCTGGCCGCTCATCTCTTTTTGAAGCGGAGCTCGATTTGGATTCACGACGGGTGTGAGTGAATACGATCGATGCTGATGCGCTCGCCTATAGCCAATCAAATCGCGTCAATTCCTTCCGCGGGTACCGGTACCGTACCGTACATGGACGCGGAAGTGGAGGGATCGAGGCTACGTAACAAGGCGCGGCCTGACGCGCCATCTTAAACTCTTATTGTGCGCATAGGGCTGATCAGCTGTTCACACTCATGATCAGACTCAGACTTCTCCTACAGTCAAACGTGAGATTGTGGTTCGCGAGTCAGTGAGTGCATGGCAGACAACTGCAGTCGTGAGTCTGAAGAGTGCAAAGCAATCTTCTGAAGCGCTTTTGCTTGTGCCTTGCCCTACTGGACTGACAGCGACGCTAGCATACGCCATCCATCTCACAACAGAGAGGAGACGTTGTGGTCGGATTCGAGAGCGAGAGCATTCAAATTCGTGATCGCAATGCCGACTTCACCACTCTCTTCTGGCGCCGGCGCAGGTGTGGGACGAAGGACGACGGCGAGGATGATGTTTCAGATGAGCCACCCCGCCTGCACGTCTTGGCCACCACGTCTCCTGCCGCGCTTACTGCGAAGCCCGTCGTTCAGCACGCAGACAAGCTGCTCGAAGTGCCAGGCAAGCCCAAGTAAGGCTGGCCCTACGTTGCCCGCCAGGACGCTTGCTACTGCCACGTTACGTGAGCCTCGTGTCGCGGCTCATCACTACGCATCCAAGCGGTCCTTCTCTAGCAGCGCTTGGCGACGCTCCACAACCCCATCGTCAATCTCTGCACAACTCGATACTCGGACAGCAAAGCTTTCCCTCTACCTCATGGCCGCAGCGCTGGCAGGATGCTGCACGCTTTGGATGATGGGAACCGGCACCGTTGCCGCCGACGCGGGTGACGACAATTTGGTGAAAGCTGAGCGTCGGAGCATCGCCAGTGGCAAGGTGGTGTCTGTCGATGATCTGATCAAGCACGATGGCAAACACGGCAAAGAAACCTGGGTGGCCATCGATGGCAACGTGTACGAGTAAGTTCTCTGGTGCAGCTGACTTTCCCCTACGCAGATCAGCCTCTTGAACGCAGCCTTTTTCATGCAGCGTCACCAATTTCCTGACACAGCATCCGGGTGGTGCCCATGTGATTCGGAAGGCGGCAGGAAAGGATGCTACGTGAGTGAGCTTCTTGCGGCCGGGCTGTGCAGAGGGTCAGGTGTGAGATGCTGCAGCATGACGCTGCCGTTGCCTCTTTCCGGAGCGCGCTGAGCTCCATTCGCTTCCCTTCATCCTGTGGACACGCCCTCAGTGAGCTGTACACGCCTATCCATCCTCCAGACGCCATAAAGACGTTGCCCGATGAGGCTCATGTGGGGTCGCTAAGTGGCGATGAGCAAGCACCCAAAGCTAGCGATTCCGATGCGCAAGCCCCAAGGAAGCTGGCTGCAGACGAGCTGCCGGTCGTGGGCAGCGTGCTGAATTTAGACGAGTTTGAGGTGAGCTAATCTCATCAGCATATGATCTTGCTTTAGCGTCATCCATCGCCAGGTCGGCATCCACCTCAAAATGTTCTGCACGCGCTATTCCTTCTCTTCCTACAAGTACATAAAGTTGTGGATGGCACTGACTACACGAACCGCCTCTCACGCGCACTCTGATCATTGGCAAATAGAGCATAGCAAGAAGGCACCTGTCTCAGCAAGCCTGGGCCTACTATTCCTCGGCTGGTGACGATGAAGTTTGTAGGTTAAAACGATCATCTCCAGAGCTTGGTATCAAGCCGTTGCTGACGAGCTCACACTGACTGCTGAATTCTCTCTTATCCCCAGCTGCGCACAACAACAGAGCTGCGTACAATCGCATCATGTTTAGGCCAAGGATACTTCGGCACGTTGGAGAAGTAGACGCGTCAACGAAGAAGCTTTTTGGCGGCGGCACGAAGGACCATCTACCTTTTTACATTTCCCCAGCTGCGCTTGCCAAGCTCGGCCACCCCGATGGCGAGCTCAATTTGACGCGAGCAGCTGGTCTCGGAAATGTGGTCCAGGGTGTGAGTCTCTTTGGGGATGAACGCGATCATCCTTCCCAAGCCGCTTCAGAGAAGCTCCCCTGACCTATGGCAGTGTGCTTCTCTCAGATATCTGCCAACGCATCTTGCGGCTTGGATGACATGCTGGATGCACGAGCTGATGGTCAGGGTACGTTTGCGGCTGATCGAGTTCTCGACCTCCAAGCGCTCGCAACCACTCACCTTTCGTGGCCCCTGAATGATGTCAGCTGTTGTCTACCAGCTCTACGTCAATCGCGACCGTTCCGCGTCAGAGAAGATTTTGACAAGCTGCGAAGAGAGGGGCGTGAAAGCTGTAATGCTGACAGTTGACGCAGCAGTAATGGGCAAACGGGAACGTGATATGAGAGCAAAGGGAGAAGTTGTTGATGTGGGAGGTGACACCGGACGGGATGAGAAGGCACAAGGCGTAGCTGCCGCCATCAGTGGCTACATAGACCCGAATCTGGTGAGTGTGGTGGCTATTACTTTCTGCCCTCACCGCCTTGTCATCTGAGTTGCTGACGTAAGGATATCCGGACTTCGTATAGGATTGGAGCATCGTGTCATGGTACACAAAATCCTGCTCCCTTCCTCTCTACATCAAAGGCATACAGAGCGTGGCCGATGCGCGCTTAGCTGCCAGCACACCAGGGGTCAGCGGAATAATCCTCTCGAATCACGGCGGCCGGAGTCTCGATTATTCTCCTGCGCCCATCGATGTTCTGATCGAGCTGCGAGAGCATCATCCTGAAACATTCGACAAGCTGGAAATTTACATCGATGGGGGCATTCGACGAGGCACAGATGTGCTGAAGGCACTCGCTCTCGGCGCTACCGGAGTAGGTCTAGGTAGACCTTTCCTGTATGCTCAGTCAGGATATGGCCAGGAAGGTGCGATCCGAGCAATTGATATCCTTCGAGATGAGATCGAGAGAGGAATGCGCCTGCTTGGCGTCACGAGCTTGGACCAGCTTGGACCTGAGTACGTGGATATACTACCCAGGATGCCGCCTCCATTGTACGCGCAGCCTCGCGAACCACAGGACGCTTTTTGAATGCATTTGACATTGCGCTAGCGCCCAGACTGGCAAGAACTTGACAGAGATCCGCGTGTCGAACAAGGGCTCGGCTTTCCCATCATCTTCGTGGGTTGTCGCGCGTTGCAGAGGCTATATAGCATATGGATGTGTGACACGTTCGGGCACAAGGTCGACCTGATCAGACCCGCCGCACTCCAGCCAGCCAACCCGAGGATACATTGCCCCGCATGCCTACGAAGCCCCATGCCGTCACGCCCGAACAGCAGCGAGCGCGTGGAATGACACGGGATCGTGTTCGAACTCCGTCGGCGACGTGCCCGGCGCTCCTTCTGAAGATCTTCTCGTTCGCGTTCGCGACTCTTACCGGGCGCGCAAATTAGGGCAAATAATGCCATATAAATGCCGTTTTGGTACGTCCATATATGGCGTTGTCTCCGAAAATTGAACGCGCGCGTCTCCGAGTAATATCTGCCCCCTAAATTCCCGCGCGCAAGAAGCATTTAATCACGTGATTTATTGCATCACAATCGGCAATGAACGATGAAGGCTCGCTTCATTCTTCGCGCACGGGTTTATAAATGTTAAAGTTGATCGATCGTTCGCACAGCGGCTTCCGAGTGGTAACACGCGGAAACATGTCATTCCTCGTTGGTCCAGTGGTATGGATATCCGCCTCTCATGCATAGTCCGCGGATGACCCGGGTTCGAACCCCGGACGGGGAAATTTTTTTTTTTTCCCCAGCGCAACACACTCTTCTCAGCCCTCCGATGACCTCTGCAACCATTCGCATGAGAGTTGTGCTTTGGAACCACCGTTTCTAGTAGCTAGACCATTAGCAGAACCTGCGCACAGAATGCACGATGAATCAGCAGATCTGCAATAGTCGCGGCCCGCTGTTTCCTCACCAATTCCGCGTCACCCTTGTTTGCAACACCTGATCTTCGCTCGTGACACTTGACAGCAACAGCAAGTTGCACCTCATACTGATGGCTAGGATTCCTCTCAGATCCTTCAGCATCTTGGGTTATCTAGCGGGGGATGTTGAGGACCAATCCGGATTCACGAATGGTCTAAGGCCAGCTTGTGGAACACCTACCAGAATCATGACAGATTTTTGGGCTTGCCTTCAGGTATTTACACACACTGCGGTCAGTTCGTCAGCGTCCATACCTCTCCTTTTGGCGCAACAAATAGTGGTGAAAATGGGGAGGATGTACAGCTTGGATGACAAAGCCTCTTGCTGCGCGACGATTTTCTAATCCCGGTCCTGTAAAGTCTCTGCTGACTACAGCGCGGAGCGGAATTCTCGGAATGTTGCAATGCGTGATGAGGTCTTTGACCTCAGGAAGAGCAAGTACTGTGAGGACCAGCCAAAATGTTGCGCGAGACTGCCCTTGACTGCACGCCTTGCGCAGCGTGCTACTGCCTGCAGTACCGCTATGACAACCACGCCGACTCACATCCCAGCTTACGAGTCGCGATGTACGAGGGGCCCCGCCGCGCCCTTCGCGCGACTGTGAAAGCGACCCGTCTTCGAGAGCTTGCTGTTCGGTGCTTCGCTGGCGTGAGTGTGGTGGGCTCCTGATCATTCCGAGCATAGGCCTCTACGACAGCTTATCAGGTACACCACTCCTTTCTATGCGGAAGCAGCCTTCGATCACGTATCCAATTCATGCTGTGGCGACGTTTCGCCCCTCTGTTAGAGCCAAGTGATACTTCAGGTGCGCCATCGAGCGTCTGGTACACATGTGTGACGAGCCGGATGTCGCGCTCGCAACTTCGGCAGTGCCAATCGGATGCGCGATTCGGAAGCGATGCTTTTCATCTTGGCGGAGGACCCGTGCTGTAAGCGTCTGGACGATTTCCCCAGCGAAAGGCATGGACATGAAAAGTTCGGCACAGGTGTCCCAGTAAGAAGGCATTTTATTGCAAAGGTGAGGCAAATTGAAGACGATGCACGGGTATGGTTGAGATAGAGGTGCGCAAAAGAGAACGAAAAGGTGGACCGTGTGGACGCTGGTACGACCAGATGAGGCCAAATAGTATTACAATTGGGGATCGCTAGTGCTCCTAGCAAGAGGATCTCGAGCATCATGCTGTGGAGAATGAATGGAAGGCAGCGTACCGGACCTGCCTGCGCGAGCGGGAAAAGCGAACCCATTCGGGTTAGCGGGCGGTGATCTAGACTTGGCAATGCCGGCGCCAGTCTGATCCGTAGAGGTAGGAGTGGGAGGAGCGGTGGTGGAAGCGGAGGAGAAGCCATCGTCATCCGAGCTTATGATGCTGCTTTGACGAAAGGGTCGCGAAAAGGAGATCGGAGAAGCGGCACTGGCTCGTATTTGCTCTGGTGAGGGAGAGCGGCGAGGCGGTCGCTCTGGTTTCGTTGAAATTCGGCGCGCCGCAGCGGCCGTGTCTGTGGCAGGGATTGTCGGTGTAGCTGGACTTGCTGCGCGGGGTCGGGGGGTGGCGTATCCTGGCCGTGGCGTCACTTGCCCATCACCTTGAACAGTGATCTCATCTGCCCATTCCGACTCGACCACCCTACTTGATCGTCGAGACTCTGCTCGTTGCTGGGACGGACGCCGGCGTAGGGACGCCTTTTTGCGAAGCATCTGCGACTCTGCATCGCTCATAGCCAAGGCACGCTGTATGGAAGAGGAAGAGGAGCTTGGTCGTACAGCTTGAGGCGGGCTCACTGGCTGATCATATTGAACTTCATCTGCCCAATCTGACGAGTCGTGCCTAAGAGGAGCTCCGGGAGGTGAGGTTGGCTCGACCAGCTCAGAATTCCGTATCACTGCTGATGCTTCCTGGCGGACAATAGGTCGAGATGCGGCCTGCATTCTCCGGCTGGATCTGCGTGCAAGGGACTCATGACCACTTAAGTGTGTGCCTGGCGGGGGGGGCATAGGAGAGGGTGGCGTCGGCCTTGCCTTCGATGAAGCGCTGAAGATGGTCAGCCTTCGCAGCGCTCTGCTTGTGGCGCTCGCGCCTTCGATCGCATTCCCGCCGGACTCCGAAGCACTCTTTCTCTCTCTACTTTTGGCTTTTGCCATCTCCTTTTGCATTTTTCTGTCGTGCTCTCTGACCATCTTGTCCACCTTTTCCAGCTCTTTCATCAAAGACTGCTCCTCTTTTGCTTTCGCCCGAGCCTCTTTCTTGCTCATGATGGATTTTGTAGGAACGGGGAAGCGCGAAGCACCGGGCAGGGTAGCTACGCTTCCAGCAGATGAAGGAGGCGATGGCTGCTCGTACACGCCTTTGCCATCTTCCTCTGTCTTCTTGCTGCCTCCGCCCCACAGCAGTGGAAGAGACACCTTTCTGGCGCGTTTGACCTCTCCAGATGACGAAGATACTGTAGAAGGCGGACTGTGTGTGGGTCCTACCGCAGCAGTCGGCGAGCCGGACATCCCACCGTCCTTGCTCGTCAGGTGAGCAATATCAAGGTCTAGCTTGATCAGAGGTTCTGTCCGGGTTCGAGGCGGCTGGACTCGCTTGGGACTGCTTGGCTTTGGTCGCGTTGGGGACGCGGGATTGATCTGATCCTTTGGCTGTGCTATGACGAAGCTGCGACGTTTGGCGATCGGCACTTTGACCTCGAAGTGCTGCTGCTCGCCTTCTTCCTCGCACGATGTCACAACAACGTCTGGAATGCTGAAATGACTACGAGCCCGTAGGTGCCTAACGCCGGCCGCAGGAGCACTATCTTGCCGAGGGCGGGCACCTTGGGCAGGCAGACCGCTCAGCTTCACGATCGCTGCGTCGCTGACGTGTTGCGATCCTGTGGCTCTTGAAGTACCAGTTGCATCCTCCGAGGCGCTTCGCGAAGTTCTGAGCCCTGAAGACCCAATATAAGGCTCGACTCCAATCTCAACCCCGCCTCCGCGAAACGGATCCGTGAAGTTTGTGGGCAGCTCTACAGCGGTGTAGATGGCCTCAGCTTGCGCCGCAGGCATGGCACTCCGCGTATCTGACCCAGGGGGAGCCCCGCTAGGTCGAGCCGCGGAGCTGGGTGACTCAGGACGAGGAGGCCGAGCCGGTATGGCAGAAGCGGCGTACTTGGGCGAGGCTGGCTCACGAGTAGTGCTTTGCCCCGCGCTCCAATAGTCTCCGCCGCTACTAGTGCTGGGCAGGTCCGAAGCTGCTGAGCCAAACGAGAGAGGTGGGAGCTTTTGAGGAGGCGGTGAGCTGACCCGCGGCTGCTCCGGAGCGGCCCGAGCGGCCCGATGTGGATCATCGCTGGGCCAAGAGTGCTCCGACGCATCATTGGAGGCGCTCTTGCGCCCAATACCGAACAGAGTCCTTCGCTTTGAAGGTCCTGGCTGGGACATGGTTCCCCCCGCTGCGCGCGTCACTGTGACCATGTCGACCACCAGACGTTGGCGCTGTGCTATCACCGTTGATCACCGGCGAGGTGCGGGTGACGCGTATAGAGGAGTGAAGAGGTACGATGCAGAAACCTTCCTGTTCCGGAGGTGTTCTTCGTGTAGCTGATCGGCCAAGGGCGAGCGCAGGCGTAAATGAAAGACGAAATGAAAATGAGGCAATCAGAGTCCAGCAGGTCTTGGCAGCAGACTCGCGCGAGCGCCACAGTCGCACTCGGGAACAGTCGGCACAGTAAAGGTGAGTACGGCAAGCAGAAGTGAGCACAGCGGTCGGCAGATAAGTTTGTGAACGTGAGTGACTGGTCGGACGAGCAAAATCATGGGCTGCGTCCCTCCAAAATCGTAAATCGACAGAGAAGCAGGAGAGCTTGGTGTGATGGGCCGATCGACCGTGCGTCGCGTGCAGCATGCATGAAGCCTCCCTCCGTCAGAGATGCTGGCAGCGAAACGCAGCAGGAGAGGTGCAAGGTGCGGGGAGGTGGATGATCAAGCAGTGATGCAGCGGCAATGGCAACGGAAACACAAAAAGAAGCCTGGTTGTAGTGAGTCTCGTGCCAGGTATATGTGTGTGTAGGTACAGTCACGAGTCTTGAGTCGTGGGTACTCACGACTGTACGATGAGGCTGCGCACCGTCACGAGGCATCGAGCCAGCAGAGCGCACGGAGATGGCTCGATGCGCCGTCATCTCCTTGCAATCGCGAATCTCGTTCATCTGCCGCATCTTCAAAAGACTTGTCTCGTCCGAGGTACTGCTGTACAAGTAAGGGCCAGAAGGCCAAGGCACTTTGGGTGCGAGGCAGTCAGCGGGCATCATGTCTGCCGCGCACACGATGCCAGTTCCTCTTCCCCACCCATTCCCCCTTCCCATCGTCGGAGTTCCAAACAAACACGCGATTTAGGCATCGATGCGCAGACGACCGCTCGGACACACACGCAGAAGGACGAACTTGCTTTCCGCCTGCTGCGCCTCTTGGTGCATGCATAGGGCACGCAGGAGCAACCCGCAGGTATGCAGATCGCGTGGATGGTGCATAATAAGCGCAACTGTGATGACGGTGCTTGCCGGGCACAGTGCGGCAGCAATCACTCTCGCGGCCGCACTATGGCTGTGACTCCACTCACGACTCTTGCTTGGGAATCACACTCAACTCATGAGCACCCAAGCCATGCAAAAGGCAGTCTGATGAGTGTACAGTAGCAGCAGAGAGTAGTACTAGTAGTAGTAGTGCAGGCTGGAATAATACCTGCGGCGCGCGGTTCAAATTCCTAATCACCGTTGCGGTCAGATCATCAGTCACAGTCGTAAGCGTTTGCTCGTGACTCAAGACTGCTAGTCAGTCCACAGAATCAAAAATGTGTATGTACTAGACTCGTGACTGTAGTCTGAGTGAATGTTAGATCTGTGAAAAAGGCATACTCACGTGGATCGTTGAATTTGTGTGGACGCAAGACGGAGATCACTCTGCCGAGAAGGTAAAGCGTGTACAGTACAGTACAGTACAGTACAGTACGTCCATCCATCCCTTCCTGAATTGCGTACGCCACCTGACAATAGCGAATCTCGAACGCACGTCAAACGCTCCCACAGTCACAGCCGTCTGATGTCCAACGCAATCACGAATGCTAAGTTGGCGATCGAGCAGCAGCCCAGCATTTCCTGCGCTTCGAGGGCGCGCGCGCGCATGACAGGACAATCAATCCAACGGCCGTCAAAGCATGCAGGCTGTTGGACCAACGCAGGCGCAAATCAAGCAGCTTCTTTTTGCATGATCGTGCTGCTGGCGGACAGCCCGCCTTTCGGCCCCACCCGGCACAGACGAAAGCTACGCGGCCAGACCACATGCGGTGGGTGATGCACTACTACTTGTACATACAGGTAGGTACAGCAGATCCGCTCACGAAGAAGCACGCAAGGCCTCATCGAGTACCACATGATCAGCCTCGCCTTCTCGCCCTCGCCCTCGCCTCGCCTCGCCTCGCCCCCTTTGCCGCGTTGGGTGGTGCTCGCATAGCGCTTGACCCCGCTGCACGGCGCGTAACAAGTTAGCGACGACTCGCGCCAAAGCTCGTGGCAACGCGGCAGGACCGCAGGATCTGTCCACAGGTCCACCAAAGCTTGGCGATCGCTATCGCGCACTGTTTACACGAGTCCTGTCTACTAGTCCCAATCTCACTGTCAATCACAACATGAACATGCGCCAAGCCATGCAACCAGATAGGCAGGCAAACATAATTCGCCGCACCAGCACCTTTGCTGGGGTCTCTATCTCTACCGCCACATTATTACTGTGGGCCTTGCGGGTTCACTAAGTGGGACTTGCACATCGAAGCAGTATTCTACAGATCGGCAAAAAAGAATGAAGTGGTGACAGGCAAGGGCGCAAGCGGCAAAGACTGTGGTATCTCAATCTGGACGTGGACAGTGGAAGGCAAAACGTCCGCACGTTAGGAGCGGAAACCACTTCACCTCGCGATCATCGAACTCACCCTCTCTCCCGTCAAGTCTAGCAATTTGACCTTGACGGCGATGTCCGTCAACGCCTGTATGAATTCGGCAGTCTCCTTGGTGCTGACAACTCCTCCTTCACCGCGAAGCATGCCCAGCCCGTCCACCCACTCGCTGTACTGGCTCGCATTGAGCGCCACAAAGTCCGCGAGACTGACATCAGGAGCGCGCAGCAAACTGAAGGCTAGAGAATTTTCAGCGCTCTGTCCGGTGGGTTGCTGGACCGATACTTCTGACACCAGACCCAAGTCGATGCGCTCAGGGAGGTCGTCCAGCCCGCTTCGGATGGGCCCAATCTCCAGAGCTTCGCAGTAGTGCAGTACTTTCTTGTTCGGACTGAGCCTGTAGAATCGCCAGGGTCTAGCGGTCACAAGGCCGTATGGGCTCGTACTTCCTCCAGCCATTCCTGCGCGAGATACGCGACCAGAGCTAAGAGGCTCACTATTCTTGGTTGTCTGCGGAGGGCTTTTGAACCAGGCTCCTTCCAGCAAGCACTGAATGCGCTGTTGCCTGACAAACTCGTAGCTTTCTCGGTACAACCTTCCACGAAGATTTCTGACACTAGCTTTGCTGGCAAAGTCGTCGCCAACTTCCAGCTCTCGCATCTGCCTATCTCTGACCAGGCGATAGTCAGATTCGATGAAGTCGCGCTCGACCTCGAACCACGTCCTGGATGCTTCCGACCGTAAGGCTTCCTTCACCTGGCTGCGCACCAAGGCGCTCACCCTTGCGAAATCAGATCGCGCTGCACCGCTCTCGCTCCACATTCGCAGAAAGAAGCGTAAAGATAGCGAGTGTACCCTGGAAAAGGACAGAATGTAGGGCATGAACTCTGTCGAGCTGGTGTATCCGGAGTCGACGTCGTAATGGTCGGAGAGTATCTCGACTACTTCGAGTGACGCGAGACCCCAGGGACAACGCCTGTTCGCCGGACGATTGATTTGCTCCAGAATGATCTGTTGCGCTCGCCCCGAGCTTCAGTGTCAGTAAGTCGATGGTGACCCACCAGCATACCTCGCAAAGCAACCCACCTTGGCGTAAGCTTCCGGATCTCCATTGACAAAGCTTTCGCAGCATTCCAGTCCAAGCCATCCGGTGCGCGTGAACTCCTTACTGATGTTCTCCGTCTCAAAGCCCAGTCTTCTCCATTTGAAACGATTGCCGGCACTGCCGGGCACAGCAGGAAGAGACCTATTACCGTCAGGATCGGTATCGTCACTGCTGACCGTCTCGGTGACTTGCGCCTGGAGCCAGATGTGTGACAAAGCACTTGCGTGACGCTGCTTGGTGGGGCTAACTGAAGTGTTGAGCCGCTTATGAAGAACACGAATCACGTTGTTCTGGTATTCGAGAATGGATGAAGAGAGCTCTTCGCCTCGAGTGGAATCCATCAGCCTCGTCACAGCTTTCGACACATTGAGCTTGTCTAGCTCAGCTGTGAATGTCTCGAACAGGCTCGGCGAGGCATGCCGCATGAGACTGTTGATGAGGCTCAGACTGCAGAGGGAGATCCAGCCAGAATGGGTGAGTGCTCGAGGCTGGCGTGTCCGGGCCTTGTCGCTCACCTGTAAAGACAGAGGGTTGTATCGGCGCTCCCAAGTCTCTGCGTCAATGTGCTGAGAAAGGCTGGCTCCCGTCGGATCTCGTTGTAGACAACTTCGAAGCCGTACTGAAACACGGCTTGACCCCGAGCAGCACCTGGCGGACCGCCTTCTTCGTCCTCTCTCTCCCCGCGCGCCACGCTTTCCCGTGGTAGTGACGCAGAGTCTGGCCCCGACAGGACCAGCTTTTTGAGAATCGCCGTCGCCGGTCTGCAAACATTGATGCGATCCTGCGTTGCGAGAATGTGCACCACCTGTGATGAGCGGGCAGCCCGAGTGAGCTGTTAGCGTCAACTCGCGTCTCGAGCCCGGACTAAGGCCGGCTTACCTTTGCAATGAAGCTTCCTTCCAGATCATCCCATCCATCGTCGCTGCTTTCCATCAAGTTCTGCATGCATGCTAGAGCGTAGGCCAGAGTGTTACCGCTGTCCAAGCTCATGGTGATACCAATGAGTTCATCCGCTCCGCCTCTCCTGAGGAATTCTTCCAGGAATGGCGGTTCCCTTATAAGTCGCTGCAGCGTATACGTCGCCATCTTGAGGGTCCGCTCTTCGCGCGTGGACAGCTTATCGACCATCTCGACAGCTTCGATAGTGGGCGAAGAACAGAGTCTGATATCATAAGGCAAAAGTCATCCATCAGAGATTCCGCCACGAGCTGTCCGCGAGGCATGCGCTCACCTCAAGTTGCGGCCTGCGCGAATCTTCTTTGCGAGGGTTGCATCATCAATAAGCTCCTCATTCTCCTCATCACGTAGGGCGAAGAGGGCGGGAGGCTCTTGCACCCCTAGATGGGCGTTTGCGCACAGTTGGCGGATGACATCGACCACCGGCAGCGTGGGATCGATGAGGGCTTTGATGGTCGCGTTCTACGATTTTAGAGGCGATGTCCGTCAGGAGCACGTACGCGACTTTCATCGTCACCATTCGCTCACCTTGTACGTGACCCTATTGATTTGTTGGTCCGTCAATTGCGGCGACAACGCTGCAGCAGGCGTGGATCTGTCCCTAGGCTGCTGCACGAATGTCGAGCCCCTTTGTTGCAGACTGTCAGCCGAAGCAGAGCCCCTTTGATCCCTGACTGACCCATTGCGCACATCATCGCCGGCATCCGGAGCAGATCCGTTGCGCTGACTCTCGGAGGTCTGAGGTCGGGAAGGGTACGCGCGTGTCGATGCCCCAGTCGACCCTGCTCGGGGAGGATAGCTGCGACCTGAATTGGAATTCCTCAGCGACATCTTTGGATGCACTGCTACTTTGCTGGGAACTCGCTCAGAGTGGGCGGATGCGCCAAGAAGAGGAGACCGTATGCGCAGAATGAGCACACCTAAGCGCTCTCATCATCGGGTGGTTGGTGAGTCAATGAGGAGCATGACAGCTGCTCACCGGTAGCCAAGACGTTCTTGAGTCCAAATCACTCACACTCTTCAGAAATATATATCTTTATTATATATTGACAGGCTCACGAGTCACCACTCACAGTGGCCGCTTGACTCACACTCACGACTGCATATTCTGATTCACTCAAGACTCATGACTGATTGACGCGCGGTGCACACACTCGTGGACGACTCACTTGACTCTGACTGGACTGCCACGGCAACAGAAGGGTGAGTCCAAAGTCTTGAGTGCTTTCAAGCGATCACGTGAGCGCCATCGCGCGGACTAACCAAGACCTGACTGATCCGCGCGCGATGGTGTAGGTACCTATATACGGCTATACACTAACTACTCGCCCCTCATCATGTTGCTGTAGAGGCAAAATTGTATCGCATGCACAGCGGCGCTGCAGTCCCTCTAAGCATCGTGCCTTGTGGAGCCACGAGTGCAAGGGGACATAACCGCAGAAGTGTCAGTGACTTTCGCACGCAGAGGGTCACAACGGAGTTCAAAAGTGCAAAGTTGCATGCGTGCAATTTCATTGGTGATTTCCGAGTACAAGCGAAATGTGCTCACTTCCGAACAATCCAGAGGAGGTACAAAGATAATCGAGCAGCTTCGAGATGGTGATTTACAGCACATGGCATGGCGCGGAAAGTTTCGTGATCGCGCAAGGTCGTGATTCAGACTTTGGCATTCATGCTTCCCGCTGAAGCTCAACCCCGGAACGTTTCTTGCTCAGGCTCCTGCACAACAGGGAACAACGGAGACAGACGAGTCAATCAGCGACGAAATGTACAAATTGGGTGTGCATGCCGCGATGAAGAGACTCACGCTGCGTTGTCGGTGCCGCCGCCTGTAGCGAAGACGCGAACGCCACCGACACTCCAGTAGGCTTTGTTGTATGAAGTGCCATTGTAAGCCACTTGGTCGGTCTGCATTTCGCCAAATGTTGCGCAAATCACCGTCAGATTGCTAAGCTCTGGGTATGCTCAGGCAACAGCGCTGTCCGGACTCACGATCGGCCGGTTGCCATACTTTGCTGCACAGCCTGAAGAAACGTAAGTATTGAAAGCCCAGTCCTGCAGATGCACAGATCGTTCAAAGCGTCAGTGGCAGGCGCAGAAGAGAGTGGAACGTCAGCGACGGGTGCACTCACTCCTCCTAAGGTGATGTCAAAGACGCTGAGAAACGTCAAGGCGAGGCATGAGAATCGAAATGTCAGCGAATGAACCGAATCCGACCCTTGCCTTCAAAATTTGCATCGCTTACATCTTGTGCGCTTACGAGGAGGATTAGATGGCCGAGAGAATCATCAGCGAATGGGAGCGCTGTGGACGCTCGGCAACGACGACTCACGTCCGAAATCGGAACGGCAAGAGTTGGCAATGTTGAACCATGCAGCGGGCTTGCCCCAAGCATCAGGGTTGACCGTCTTTGAGCTTGCCTTGAGATCCGCAGGCTCACTGCCCCGTGGCCAGTACCACACTCTCACACCCTTGCCTGTAGATCCGAATGACCTCGCCATTGCGAAGAAACCTCCCTTGGCGCGGTTGAAAGAGGCTCCCCACGTAGGTGCTGATCCGCCATTCATGCGGACGCGGCAGCCCGAATTGTTATTGACGTACACTGAGCACGTGGTGTAGTCGACGCTTCCTGTCTGGCCCGAGATCTTCGCCGGAATTTGACAATCAGACTTGGTGTGAAGAGAGACCAGGTTGCTTGTAAATTCGTCATTCGCGTTCTCAAGGATATCAATCTCGCCTCCAATTGGCCATTTTCCGTTCTCCTCCGTAGTTGTTGTCCAGAAAGCTGGCCAGGTGGAGCAGCCGGTGGGAACGTGCGACACGTTGAGGCTTTTTCGACGAACATCGTGCGTGACAGTCAGCATCCGTCCGAGTCGCCGGACGGCGAGCGAAAAAGACTCACACATAGACGCCATCCCCAAATCGCTGTTTGCTCTCAACTCTGACGCTAGGCCGTCCTTCCAGCGCCACAGCTTGGGTGCTGACGGCCATCCTATATTCACCATTCACTACACCCGCAATGCCCATATTCTTGGCGGCAGCTTCGCTCTGATACACTACTAGACCATTTGTGAAATTGTCAGGCCCGCTGTAGAAATTGAAGTTTTGACTCCAGGTGTTCGGTGTGATTTTGGTCGTCAATCCCCAGTTTGTGGCGATGGTAGGCACTACGGCGACTGCCGCAAGGGCGGACAGTAGGGAAGCTGCTCGGTGCATCGTGAGTGCAAGGGTTCGGACAAGAATGGAAGTAGGCAATCCGGATAGCGCGCGTCACGATGATGGCCAGATCGTGAATGGCAAGATGGTAAAGCTCACGCGGATTGACCAACACGAAGTGCCTCGCTTCTATACGTTGCTCGGGTGTGCAGATGATGACTGGGTTTTGCTTTCCTCGCTCTCGGGCCTCAAGGCAGTCAGCGCACTCAAAGGGGAGGCGAGGGCAGTGAGATTCGAGCTCCGCCAGCACTTCAGAAGTGCGAAATATTGTTGCCCAAGCTGGAAAGGTCTGGACTTGACGCTTGCCGCTCTTGGCGGAGAAAAGAACAACATTCTACGGTGCGGATCGGCAGGCGCGCTAAAAATCGATGCATGCCGAGACGCGGGGAGCTGCAGTTACAGTCACGAGTCAAGTACCCAAATGCACACATCACCAATCGCGACGGTTTGCGCTACCCAAGCTGTGACTGCATGCAGCAGCAGCGCTTGTGTCCAAGAAGCCACACGCAGCGCTCTGGACACCGGCTGCAGGCACGTTCACAAATGGTTCGGTCCAGCCTTTGCCGAAGCAAATATGAGTTTGAGTGCAGCGTTGGAGAAGGAGAGGTGTGGATGACGGTCAGGGTATAGAGAAGCATTTCGTGCTCGCTCCGCGAATGCTACGTTCCCACCCACTCTTGACTATGTCCACAATAATCACAATCTTGAATATCTGCACGTTAGCCATTCAAGATTCTGGCTCCACAGTCGTGAGTGCGTGGCACAGCTGCAACACAACCCAAAATTAGTGGGGGAGATGCGAGCGGCCGAGAAATCGTGCATTCACGATTCATCCATCTCAACCGTCGGGACTTGTCGAGCCTCTCTTTCGCAGCAGCGCGCTGCGCGCGGCAAACTTGCGGCAGCTTTGACCACCAAGGGCTGATGATGAACATCATCCGCTTACAAACACGATCATTTCGTGATCATTCTTGAATTCACGATTACCAGTCAAGAGTCATGAGTCATGAGTACGCAGATGGCCAGACTCGCACGTGACAAGGCTTCGGTTGGAAGTCATAAAAGAGTTCAAGGCTGTACAGAGGAGTCATTCAAGATTCTGATTCACCATTCATCAATATTTGGTTATTATTCAAGTTTGAGTCTGGGTTGCATCTGCCCAACTTGACAACTGCTGATCAATCTTTGGATGAGGACTCGTGGCGCTCTTCTAACCGCACCGTGGCGCCGTAGGTACTTGACTCATCAGATTTTGCTGTCTGACTCCATACATTCACGTGATTCGTTGCTAGGGCCAAGGGCGCGGCTGCGAGGATCGCGAGTCAGAGTCAAAGAGTGAGTCTTCAACGCCGCTCGCTCTGCTTGATCATCCTTGACCAAAAGGGCTTGTGAGAGAGTCAAGTCTTGAGGCTGTCCTCCTGCTCCATCCTCTGCGACTCGCATCGCGGGGTGTCCGTCGAACTTGCCGCGACGGGTCGAAAGGTCTGGCTTGCAGCCCGCGCCATCATGAGCAGCCTTGCCAGCTCGGCGAACGGATCAGACGGGCTAGTGGTCGGTGTGCTGGCGCTGCAAGGCGCCTACGCGGAGCATGCCTCTTGTCTCCACCGGCTCTCCACCTCATCCGCTTCCAGCTTCGACAGACCGCTGGAAGTGCGGCAGGTACGAACACCAGAGCAATTAGCAGAGTGCTCGGCGATCATCATACCTGGTGGGGAATCGACAGCTATCAGTCTGGGAGCTCAAAGAGCTGGACTTTTGAGTCCACTCCGAGAGTGGGTCAGAAGTGGTAAACCAGCTTGGGGAACATGTGCAGGCATGATCCTGCTGGCGAGGGAAGCTGTTGGGGGCAAGAAAGGTGGTCAGGAACTGCTTGGAGGCATGGATGTGCGAGTCGGTAGGAATGGATTTGGTAGTCAGGTGAGCCGAAGAATGGACATCCGATGGTGCATGTGTGCAGCCAGACAACAACAGCGTGCTCAGTATGGGAGTGATTCTGCGCTTGCCACATCAGGTCGCGTCGTTTGAACAGTCTATCGATATCCCAGCGCTGGCCAACCTCGGCGCGCGAAAGACGAATGGTAGCAGCACTAGCAGCGAGACGAACACTTTTCCAGCTCCATTTCCCGGCGTCTTCATTCGAGCACCAGTGGTAGAGTCTCTCTTGCTGTCTCAAGACATCCAAGCTGTCCCGCCAGAAGCAGCGACGTTGGTGAAGCGGGGAGAAGGAGAAGCGCACGCCGAAGCGGTAGTGTTGGAGCAAGGACGAGCCCCGTTGACGCCATCTGGTGACACGGCAGGGGGAGCACAGCCTCCCTTGCTGAACGCTCAAGCCGTGCCTGGTGCAGCTGTTGAACCTACACTGAGGTTATCGGTAGCACCTCCGCTCGAGAGGCCCGGGCAGGAAAGGGTGGCTCGACCGCCCTTGGAGATCTTGTGCAGCCTTCCGACATTGCCAGCTGGCAGTGCCTCTCCTCTGATTCGAACTATTGATTCAGCAGTGGCGACCGCGCACCAAGGGGAGGTGCGAGGAACGAGACCTGCGCACGACAGTCAGATCGTCGCTGTTAAACAAGGAAGATTGATGGCCACCAGCTTCCACCCGGAGCTCACCACTGATGTCAGATTACACGATTTCTTCATTCGATATTGCGTCCTAGGCGATGGAGGGGTTGTCCCTACGCTCAGTGCCTAGCCCGCAGTCCGCTCTACAATAGACCATGTCACCGCAGAATGCATACAGCAATGGAAAATAGATTGAAGCGAAATTTCTCGTTACTTGATACAATGCATACGTGCAGCCTTGACGCTGGGTATGATAGGTGATCGGCGGCTCCTCATCCAAGCGCTGGGCCGCCCAGCACACTTGCAGTGGAGGATGCATTTGCAGCGCTTGCAGCAGTAGCAGGCGAAGACTGTTTGACGCGAGAACGACGTTCCTCATCCAAGGCCACTGCTTGCTTCCACGCATCGAAGCTCAATTCTCGTTGACCTCTAGAGATCGCCACCAATCTGTGTCATCGATGCGTAGGCTGGTGTGAGCGATAAACCCCGAAAATGTGAGCGCAAGTGCTTTGACCCACCTAGCAACGGCCATTCTTCTCAAGAGATCTTCTTGACCTTCGCGCACGCCTTCCTGACCCTCCTTTCTTGCTTGGACAAACTCAGCTTGAATCTGCTCTGCCACGCTTTCCGGGATGGACAGATCGACATGTCTTGCTCTAGCCAAGAACGTCCTCCAAGACGCCAACTGCGAGCTGGTGGGCTGGACAGCTTGAGCTGCAACGATGTTTTTGGACCTCAATGGCACTTGCACATCGACGGGAAGCATCGACTTGCCCGCGGAGAGCACAATGAAGGGCAAATCTGTCTCAAAGTCGAATGAGCTGAAGGGGAATGCATACGAGAGCTTGCGAGTGCTCAACAAATTTGCAAGCTCGCGCACATTCGCAACGCCTTAGGAAAAACGTTGCGCACACAAGCGGCCCGCGAGTCAGTCAGCACCTATTCGCGTGCATGTCTTTGTCTAAACGGAAGCTCTCACCTCGATCTTTCAAAGTGCCTTCCCCCATGCTGGATTCGTCGCACAGAACGATAGTTCCGTCTGGCAACTGCAGCCGGCCGGCGAGCAAGCCTGCTTCGCTGCCGTCACTAGCAGGTGCCATCCGCGTTGCAGGATCGTTGAGGTGGTCCAAGCTCATCTTTTGCAACATGACAGCAGGCACCAAGGACGTCAAAACGTCGAACAACTTGGGCGCAGGAGCGCCAGACAAATTGAGTGACAGAGCACCGAGGGTGAGGGAGCCCCTTCGGGAGTGACTGCGCACAGCATGTTCGAATCATCAGTTCCTAGGCTGACGATGCATAGGCTATTCTCCTCGGGAAGCTAGCATTCACTCACATCCGTGCCAGAAGGCCCAAGAGCGTCCATTCTGCTGCTAGAAGGTCGCCCCCCAGCGCTGATGCAAGGTAGTGGACGAGGTCGTCTCGCGATGAAGCTCCGGTCAAAGGGCGCGGAACCTCGTCATTGTGCGCGATAGGCGTAATATGAAGGACGTGAAGCGCTGGGAGCTGCGCGGACGAACTTGAGCTAGCTGCCCCCCCTTGCGACCAATCCGCGCCAGGCAGACTGGAAAGTGACGTGTGATGAAGCGTTCAGTCAGCAGATCCCCCTGCGAGCCGTATTTGCTATTCTGAGCGTCACTCACAGGCTGAAGTCCAGCACGCCAAGAACGTCGATGACGTCGGTCACCTTCAATGTTTCTGCAAGCTCATGATCGTAGATCTTGAGCAACGCGCCCAGGCCAGGGGCCTCAGCCAGGGAGTGTTTGCTGAGGTAGGCTGGCTTGTCAGAAGGATTCCGGGAGAGTGCGCCGTATTGTCGAGGGTCTGGATCCAAGCTAAGACCAGACATGGTTGAGAGTACTGATGCGCAAAGGCGGCCAGATCAACTTTCCTGATCGAGAGCGCATAGAACGCCGCAAAGTACGCACCATCGTCACTTGGCTCGCTGCCAGATTGCCAAGCATCCCTAGCCCATGCTGACCAGGCGGGCGGAGTGATAGCATACAAGACGGTCCGTTCCGTGAGCGTGGTCGGATCGGGATCCTGCGCAAGCCAGGCGTGTCAGATCGACTGCGCGCAGTGAGAAGCATGGCCACGCGTAGCATTGCGACCCACCTCATCCGAGGTTTCGTGCTCATCGTTGCCCCACAATGTGCAGCGCTTCTGTCCGTCTGCTCCCTTGACTTCGCGCATCACCACCTCGTTGCCGCAAGACGTGTCCTGGACCATGCACCTCCACCTTAGTAACTTTCCGCGATGCTCAGACCTGGCCTGCGGAGAAGACAGCGCATCGTCCAAAGTTGGAACTCGTGCTCGTGCTGCTGAGTCTGGAAGAAGGGTGCCGTATTTTTCTGAGAGCGCTCGTGCTAATTCTTCCGTATCCGCGTGCTGAGGCGAGAGCTCTGCCACGGCCGTGGAAGGCGACTGCAGCAGGGTCATGTAGGGCGTCTCGGGTACCATGTCTTAGCGAGGGGCCTGGACAGGGGTGCGAGTGGAAGTAGATTGTGGCTGTGTGGCAAGGACGTTCAGGGCCGCGATGGTCAATGAGCAGAGCCGAGAGAGCGACCGCTGAACATATAACTGGTTGATGAAGATCAGTCGTCAAGATTGCTGTTTCGATTTCGCGTTGCAGACCCTGCAGGTTGTTCACTCGTGACTTGCTGCTTGCGCTGCGTGCCTTGATTCCGACGCGTTAAGCTCTCTACGCGTCAAGCAGAGTGACGCGCGTCGGAAGGCGCGACGCGGTGTTGGATCGTGTTGAGCGCGCGACGTATGCGCGCTTGCAGACGCGCTCATGAAGCGTCTCAATTCAGCACGTCGCGAAGCTTTGCACGATGGCCGCCTATAGAGGTCACCGCCGTGATGATGATGATGCGTAAATACGGCCGCGCTGGAGGGATCACCCTTATAGCTCCATGAAGACGTCCACAGTCGTCTTCGTCACATTTGCCCAACCAGTCACACGCTTCGTTCCCTCAGTTCACCCCATACTACACCAGAGCATCACTACTAGGACTGCATAGACGCTGCTGACGTTGCGACACCGACTAGTGCGCACCATGTCGGTCGCGTCCTCCTCACAAGTCTCGGCTCCCGGCGTCGCATCACCACAGCGTGCCGTCTTCTTACGCGGCAGCGCCCAAGACTCCAAGCAGTACTTTACGGCTCTGGACTCGGATCTCGAGGTGAGTGATCTAATCAACCTTTAGGCGTGAGGTATGACAGCTTCTTTGACGTGTGCATCTGCTGTTTTCGCACCCCTCAGACTCTGGTTTCAAAAGCTCGCAGACTGTTTCCAGCTCCATCCAACTCGGATACCGCTCAGCTAGCTTTGGCATCCAACCAGGAAGCCATAATCTGTCCAGACTCGCTGCCTTTCATACAAGACCGCGAAACGTTGATTGTTCGATGGGTACCAAGCACGCCACGCTCAGTGCTACGTGCCAGCTCTTCCAAAGGCGTGAGATGGGACAGCACGATTGACCGCAAGGATGTCACAGGCTCTGCACGCGGTGCTGACTCAATGGCCAAGATTAACGTAGGCCCAACGCCTTCAGGCATCAGGGGGCCAGCAGCCAGAGCTGCCCATGCTAAGCGCGTCTTGGCCGAGCAGAAGCGTATCCGGGAAGAAGAGGAAGCAGCCGAGCGCCACGCGCAAACGGAGTCTGTAACAAAAGGAGCAGCCGCCTCCGGCTCTGAAGCTCAGTGCGCGGAGCAGCCCATGCCGTCGGCTTTGGCAGAAGCTAGCACAAATCCACCTTTCGACGACAATCGCAGTAATAGGCACCTAGAGATCAGCGATGCGATCGTCGGCGCCACGTCCACATCTGCCGGCGGCAAGGAGAATGTTGAAGCAATTCCATCACTTGCACCACTGGAAGGTATCGATGTCTCAAATCTAAGCAAGCTCGACAATGTCGAGACGCATGGGCCAGTGAGCGCTACTGCGGACTGTGACCCGCCGTCTGCCCCAGGCTCTGCACAGCTCACACAAGAGCCGAGGCTTCGACATGGCGCCGCTTTCGCGACAGACGCTTCCACAAATTCAGAAGGTAGCAAAGATGCTAGATCGCCTCCATTGGTTCATCACGAAGGCAGCCCCTCCGAGAAGGCGGTCGACGTGGCTAGACAGCGCGGCTCTCCTTCCACCATGCAGCAGGAGCTAGAGCCAGGCAAGTCGGCTTGTGGAATGCCAACTGACGCTGCTCATGGCGTCGCTGCGGCCAGAGACTGCACAGCAGAGGGCGAAGCCGATGCGGTCGCATCCACCGCCTTGGTCGGGACACTTCCATCAAACAGCCCTCCGCGGCACACGTCTCCTCGTGGGACCACACTGGTCGCTATTGACACGAATGCGCGCGAGTCTATTGACGACAACGATGGCGATAACACTGGCGGATCGAGTCCAATTGCAAGTCCGACTCGGGACATTGGTGCGAATCCCTTCCGTGGATCGACCAAATCTCAGGTGCTCTCTGCCGGACGTAGTCCTGTTCTCGGACCCAATTCGGAGACACGGTCTCATGGCCCAGTCAAGTGCTCTCCTGATGCGCAAGATGTTTATACTGAGCAATGTGAGTCCTCGTGATCTCCATTCGTCCTGCACGCACTGATGGACAAGACTGATCTCCTTTTCCCATCTGACGCTAGTGAGCACTGCATACCGCAGCATGTCTGCCATCCTTGCGTCGATGCTGGGTCATCCAGCAAACATGCTGACCAAGAAAGGGATGCCTTCAGACTTCTCTGCGTACTCAAAGCAGAGGAGCCGTTATCTTGGTGAGCCATTGAGCACCAAGCATGATCAGCCTACTGACGCTGAAGCTGATGGAAGGATCTCTGCCGCACAGACTTTGATATCATAGCCCACAACATCGATTCGCGAAGCTATTCGGCGCTTCTGACTCCGTCTTCGACGCATCGAAGCGCCCTCTCATCATTCGACAGCTTCACGGACGACCTTTCCTGCTTCTGGACTAACATTCGAGGCTTCTTCGGGCCTCATAGTGCAGAGCACAGGTGTGCTACTCAGCTTGAGCGTTTCGCTGGCTTGACCATAGCAGAGTGGCGCAAACGGATTGAAAGTGCATCTCGCGCTTCAGAAGCCAGAGCTCGGTCGATGCGCAGCAAGACCTCTGATAATTTGCATTCCGACGAAGGCGTGAGCGTCACTCCATTTGCTTCTCGAATCCCCTCCAGCTCTGCACGCAAGGCACCCAGAGAGAGTCCCGCGCTAGTCAGGCTTCGCAAGAGGCCTGCTTCGAGCGGGGAACCTACAGCTGCGCAATATGCTGCCTTCTTGGCAGGCGCCCATTCATCAGTCGCCAAGTCTTTCCAGCCTCCTCTCTACAGAGCAGCAGTGCAACGCGAGGAGCCCCACACCAAGTTCGCCTCAGTATTGCACGATTCCCCCAATAGCGATGCGCGCTCGCGACTTTCACCTTCGCCCTCGCCTGCGCCAACGTCGACACTCTTCAAGGCCTCGCTATCTGGCACGGAGAATGCATTGAGCGTGGTTCAGAACGATAGACCGCAGGGAGCTGTGGATGCGCTACTACCTTCGTCGCCTCTTCTCAGTCGGGCATCCTCTCCAACCGAAGCTAAGCACATAGCCGAACTAGCAGTGGCTGCGCAGCATGGCGGCTCGTCGCCAGGGCGCCAAGCATCCCCTACGCCCTCTGCTTCAGCTGCACCTCCTCAGTCGACGAGGCCGGTCGTGTGCATCGGCGGCAGCTCTGACACTGAACTTACTCTCAGCGACGAAGATGATGCTTCGGCGGTAGAGGAAGAGCTGTTGTCCCAGAGCAGCGCTGACCAATCCCCTTCGAAAAAAAAGCGCGCCGCGCCCCTGCACCGTAAGATCATGGACTCCAAGCTTGCGCGACATTCTGGGGCCGAGCACGACCTCACCTTGGGGCGGCGCATGCTTCGTTCGAGATCCCGCCGTGAAGCTGGTGGAGGACTCGAAAGTGCACCTGCGCCATCTCAAAACATGCAGAAGGCTACTGCATTTACCCTCAGCGGGGTAGACACTAGCGAGGACGAATTGAGCCCGTACGAAAGCGAGGAAGAGCCAACTTCGGGTCCCAGCAGCGAGGGGGAAGCTAGCGACAGCGAGGCTGCTTGCAGCAGAGCAGGCAAAAGACGCCAACGGAGAGTTACGACGACCCCCAAAGCGCTTCTGACTGGGCGACGCAGCGGCACGCAGAGCGCTCAGGACCTATCGCAGTCCAGAGCAAGTGCGCGACGCAATGTTGCCAAGCCTAGATTTTCGCCCGTGTACCTGGCCAAGTCGCAGAATTAGGGGATTCACTGCGCCGTACGCTGCTTGACGAGCCGCGCATACCTCGGCTCTTCGACAGTTCCAGATGGACGTGCTCTCGGCTGCATTGCACGCCTTCGCTTCTACTTTTACCCATGATGTGATTCCAATCTTGAAGCCAAAGACACGCATACTCTCGACACTCTCACACAATGCAATGATGTTATCAAGTGATATTCGTTTGTGATTACTTTTCGGTGCCAGCTGCAGGTCCTGGTCTGAAGCGGGCATAATAGTCTTTCGTCCTTGCTTCATGGATGACCATGAAGTTTTCCGAAAGCTCTCCGAGGCATTTCGCTGGGAGAGGCTGAAGTCAGGTCGCATCGCGTCTTTTGACTCAAGCTTCGCAGGCCGGGCGATTGACCAGGGAACTCACCTGGGCTGCCACCCCACACTGTACCGCTAATGACAACCTGTCCTGGAGCCAGAACGCTGTTGTCCAGTATCCTCACACCGTCCTTGATCACTGCGAACTTGCCGATGATCACATTACGACCGATGTCCACGCAGCTGCCCACCACCGCCGCTTCCAAAATGCTGCCCGCTCCAATGATGACGTGGTCTCCAATCTTGATAGGGTAGTACGAGAAGGCTCTGGGCGTTTGGTATGAGAAGGGGAGCTGCCTGATGAGCCAGCAGAAGTGAACGACTTTTGGAGTTTTTGCGCCCAGCTCACCCTTTGTATGCTTTGTACGGCGGCCTAATGATGCAGCCCTCGCCGAGAATTGAATGCCGACCTATACTGACGACGATCTGCGAGCCTTTTTGCGCTGCCCTTTGTTGAGCCTCGGTGGCATCAGCGGCCAAAGGAGGCATAGCCGAAGCGGCTTTCTTCAGATCTCCCCGAACGATGACGTGATGATGAATGACGCATTTACCGCCCAGAATGATGTTTGAACTGCCCATGATGTGACACTTTCGAGACACCCGATTGCCCGTCATGTTGGTTTGAATGTATTGCGCGGGATCATAAGGCTGGATGGACAGGTTGGAAGCCAGATTGGAGTGCGGCTGAGGCGCCATCTTTGGCAGGGATGCTCTCGGATGCAAAACGCAAGATGGATTGGTTGAGCAAGGCCGGTGCTAGACGTCAAGAGGGCTGCTGCTTGTATGGCCTAGCCTGAAAATAACTCTATGGCGCGACGCGACTGCAATGAGTTGAAGCTGGATGATCACCTTACTGGGCCCTCTGGCGCACGCAGATTGTTGGCACCGAAAGGCATGCCTGCGGAAGGCTCCACTTTTGACTTTCACCTTCTGACACGATTTGCCGCTCTACTCAGCCTTTATTGTCCGTAACAGACTTTCAAGGTGTCACCAAGCTTACAAATTCGAGCTGCTTCTTCCTCTGGGCGTCCAAGCCACGGGCTGGTGAGTGTTGGTTGCGGAGGGTCAAGCCGTGAGTCGTGAGTTGTGCTGCTCGGCATGCAGGCTCAATCGTCTGGAGACGCGTTCTGTGTGGTCCCCGCCGCCCTGGCACGCGTTGCTTCACTTTGTGGCCATGCAGCATGCAAGGCCCGTGCAGACAGCTAACCAGCTGATGCTGCTGCTCCCTGTGATCAGTTGCCTGCGACTATTACGCACCTACTCCTGAACCGGGTTTCCTTCCCGCCAAGCCTCCTGCAGTCGGGGTGAGCAAGTCTCGAGTTCTTTCAACATTCAAGATCTACGAGAGCTACATACACTGCACCTTCCTCACTGAGCTACTCCTCTCAGCAAGATCTTGTCACTCTTTATGGCAAGCATCAACCCTCACGACGACCGAGCACGCCCTCTGATTCCTGGGCTTGTGCGCTCCGTTTTGCGTCTCATGTGCATGCTACAGTAGACAGGTGACTGCTCGCGCAGAATGTCGCACTTCGTGTCGCACAACACGTCCGACTTCGACGCACTGAACCAGCAGCTGCTTCAACGACAATCCAACGTCGAGGGGCACCAAGATGATGGGGAGGATACGGACGCGCTGACAGCCGAGCATGCGTCCTACGCTTCCCGCAGACCTGCGAGCGTGCACGATGCCTCTCAAGATGGAGAGGATGCGGACGTGGATGAATCTTTGTCCATCACCCCGACGGCGTCCACCTTTGGTGGTACAGTCGGCACGCCGTTTGGAGATCGCAGTCAGGCGGAAGCAGGCTCCACCAACAGCCCTGATCGGCTGGGCTTGGTCTCGCCCCGCACGCCTCTTGTTGCGCAGATGGACAATGGTCGCAGCGCACCATCCGCTTCATCGATGCAAAGCAGATCTACCTCGGCATACAGCAGCAGAAAAAATAGCCCCGAACCAGACCAGGTTCGACTACCTACCTCGCCAAGATCGCGTCCCAGCGCCGCAGGTTTGGCCCCACCTGGCACACCTACTTCGACGGTGAGACCCTCCAGCGTCGCCTCCACGCCTGCGCGAGAGAGCAAAGGCAAGGAGGGTGGCAAGTCACGCAGCAAGGGTAGAGATAGGAAGCTTTCCGATCCTGACGAGCCAATAAGGCCAGCTGAGCAATTCTCTTCCCATCGGCATTCCACGGACTCGGGCGCGAGTGGGGACGAGTCGGAAGCAGGAGCGCACAGTTCTTCGGGTGGCAAAGGGTTGCGTTCACGCCTCAAGCGAGGCTCGAGCGCCGCCGCAGGGTCCCTCAAAGGCGTCTCATTCTCAGATACGAGAGCCGGTCCAGGCGAACAGCCCGCGTTTGGCAGGTCCGACTCGAACAGCTCATCGCGGACCAGAGCGAGAGAGGCGATGCGCGATGCGAGCGGATTGGAAGAGCTCGGCAGGCACATGCTCGGGCATCATCAGCATCATCATCGCAGCGCCGGAATGATCAGCTCCTCGGAGATGCCACCGCGTAAGCTGGGGACCTGGGACGGTGTCTTCATGCCGGTCAGCTTGAATGTAAGTACCTGCGACGGGATGCCATTAGTGGAGACGTTGCCAGAGCAAGTCATCTTCTTTTTGTCCCACAGATTCTCGGCATCATCCTCTTCCTCCGCTTTGGATTCATTCTTGGCCAAGCTGGTCTCTTGGGAGCTTTGCTTCTTCTTTTCGTATCCTATGCAGTAGATGCGCTCACAGCGATGTCTGTCTCAGCGATCAGCACCAATGGACAAGTGCGGGGTGGAGGCGCCTACTATCTGATCTCGCGGTCGCTCGGCCCTGAGTTTGGAGGATCTATCGGCTTAGTGTTCTTCCTCGGACAAGCTCTCAATGCTGCCATGAACGTCTTGGGTTTCGTCGAGTCCCTAACAGATGCTTTTGGCGAATCGAGAGGTAGCGGAGGTTTCCTGCCAGAGGGGCCGTGGTTCAACTTCTTCTATGGTAGCTTGGTGCTGGTACTTAGCACGCTGGTGTGCTTGACCGGCTCAGCGCTTTTCGCGAGAGCGACGCTAGCGCTTGCTATCGTGCTCGGGGTATCCATTCTCAGCATTCCTGTCTCCAGCTTCGCCGTAGCTCCCTTCTCGGACCCAGAACGTGGAGCTTACTACACGGGCTGGTCCCTTGCCACACTTCAAGGTAATCTTCTCCCGCGATTCACAACGGGTGCTGCAGGAAGTAGCACAGGATCTGAAAAGGAAAGCTGGCAAACCGTCTTTGGCGTCTTGTTTCCAGCTGTCACCGGTCTCCTAGCTGGAGCCAGCATGAGTGGCGACCTCAGAAAACCGAGCAAAAGCATACCCAAGGGCACCAACTGGTCCCTCGTCTTCACATTCATAGTCTACGTTCTCTGCTTTGTCGTGTTTGCGAGCACGATCGAGCGAGAATCCTTCTACTTGGACGTGGGCATCGTTTCGGATGTCGCGCTGAGTCCACAGATCATCACCTTTGGTGCGCTAGCTTCCACAGCGTTCTCGGCTCTGATGGGCGTGATGGCTTGCGCCAAGGTTCTGCAGGCTATAGCTAGAGACAATCTTCTGCCAATACTCGACGACTTTGCTCAAGGCACAGAGCTGAGCGATACGCCAACGTGTGAGTCTCGCTCCTAGCCGCGATCGACCAGTGACCACGAACAAGGAATTGACTGGCGTCACACACACAAATCGCTACAGATGCGGTCTTTGCGACGTACGTGCTTTGCCAAGCCGTGCTCTTTGTGGATTCGGTCAACACCATTGCTCAGCTCGTCACCATGACGTGTAAGTGGGGCCGATTGCATCGCCGCGTGCCAGAGTCCCTCACCAGAGTTCTGTTGTCTCGGCAGCACTGCTCACCTTTGGGGTTCTGAGCTTCGCCACTCTTGCCCTCAAGGCGGGAGGCGCTCCATCTTTCAGACCGTCTTTCCGGTACTGGAACATCTGGACTGCAGGTGGCGGCACTATTGCTTGCATTGGGGCGATGTACTTCACTGATCCGCTTGCGGCGAGCGCTTGCATCGTCTTCTCGGTGTTCCTCTTCGCCGCCATCCACATCTGCTGTCCTCCCAAGCCATGGGGCGATGTTACGAGAAGTGCGTGCGCGGAAACGCTTAGCTTCCCTCTACACGTCGATCCTGACCTTGTTGCTTGCCACAGACCTGAATTACCACATCGTCCGAAAATATCTTCTTCGGCTTGATGAGCGCAAGGGGCACGTCAAATACTGGCGTCCGCAAATACTGCTACTGGTCAACAACGCCCGCACGGACTGGAACTTGATCATCTTTTGCAATTCTCTCAAGAAGGGCGCGTTATATGTCTTGGGCCACGTGCTCAAGGGCGAGTTTCAAGAGTGCTTAGGCGAGCTGCGTAAGCAGCAGGTCGCATGGCTGAAGCTGGTAGATGTTTCTGGCATCAAATCTTTCGTGGACGTCATCATTGCTCGGGACGAGCGCGAAGGCGCTCGCAATCTGGTCCTCTCTTGCGGGCTAGGAGGGATGAGGCCCAACGTGGTCGTCATGGGCTTTCCGTCAGACATGCGGTCCTCGCGAAACAGGAAACAAAGCCTCACTCCGAGTCATCGCAGCGACGGCTCCGAGATCACTATCAAGCCCGGTAACCACGAGCCGCGCAACACCGGACCCCACAGCGTGATCGAGGTGCGATCGCTGCCTACCGACATAGCTCGACGAGAGACGCCCATTCTGCCTACTACATTCGTCGGCATCATGGAAGATACTTTGGCATTGAACAAGGCGCTTGCCGTCGCTTATGGTTTCGAGTCGCTGTCCCTCTCAGCACCACCTAGCCGTGCTAGTCCAGCATCTGAGAACCCAAAGGACAAGCAAGAGCCACAGTACATCGATCTTTGGCCAATCCAAATTCAAAGTCCTGACCAAGATCCAAGTCATGCTTGGGACACCTATACCATGGTGCTTCAGCTTGGGACCATCCTCAGCATGACTGGAACATGGAAGTCACATCAACTCCGCGTCTCTGTCTTTGTCGAGCAGGAAGCTGATGTTGAGAATGAAAGGTAAGTCAATTTTGGGCCGCGCCGACCTCTCGGATGCTAAGACGCCCCACCCCTGTTAGACGCCGTGTGCGATCTCTGTTGGACAATTTGCGCGTGCCTGCCACCCTTCGCGTCTTTCACCTGGCTTCAGGAAACATCACAAGCTATCAAGCCATTGTGTGGGGAAAGGGCGCTACTTCACCTTGGATCGAGATGACATTGGGCGGCGATCCTTGGTGGGAGGCACTGAAACAGCTTCGAAGGGAAGACGAACGGCGAAGGAAGGAAGCTACGGAGCGCCGCGCAAAACCTTCTGCACAGCCTGTGCCGGGAAGCGCGACACCCAATCCAAACAGCGAGGCGGCGCGAAAACAGTCAAAGCGCGAGCAAAAGATTATGGGCGTCAGTCTACCAGCAGAGCATCTCGCATATTTCAAAAGAAACATCCGCATTGGCCTTGCTCATCCGCGGGTGAAGGAGAGGCTAGGTACCGAGAGCGATGCTGAGAGCACAGAATGGAGCGATAGCGATAGTGACAGCGATTTGAGCGACGAGCTTGCTCGACTCGGTTTTGAAGATGGCTGGGATGCGGGTGATTCATCAGGCCTCGGTCTCAAGCGATCAAAGACCTACTCTTCTTCGCCCGGCCGAAGAGGAGGAGGCCGATCCCACACTCGTCGCAATTCGCTAGGCAACCCAGCAGGATTGCCAGATGAGCCTCGTCGCCGGCCGCTGCTCCACTCACGCGAACAAAGCAATGAGAGCACCTATGGATCCCTGAGCAGCACTCCTCGCGCATCCGCGCTGATGAATCGGCCGAGCGCAAATAATGTCGCTTTCCCGTCAGGACCCACTAGCTCGATGCAACGCACCACAATAGCAGAACAGCCCGAGTCGGATCAGGAGGGTACTTTGAAAGCGTCGGACCGAATGAGAGCTCAGGCCCAGCTCCTCGCTACTTTACCTCCCGATCAACCGTCGTTGTCAAGCAGCGGCGCAGAGTCGAGCAGCGAGACGGAGGAGGATGATTCGCGAAGGCCTTTCCATGTGCGGAGCCGCTCAGAAGAAGGCCCGAACGCTACCAGCGGACGCAGGAAAGCGAAGAAGCATCGACAGCCGGGACCAGTCAGTGCCACTGCGGTCGCTGCAGTGCCCCTCGTGTCCTTCAACGGGCTGCCCAACAAAGCGCAATATTTGATTCTGAAGTAAGTCTGTGGTGCTTGAGTCCCGCCGCTGGGCCGCTAGTGGGATGCAGGACTGACAGAATGCATCCATTTGACCAAATCACAGCGAGCTCATTCGGGTTAATTCATCTCCTTCAACATCAGTCATCCTTACAGCTTTGCCAGCCCCAGAGCCTGGCACGTCCAGCGATACTGCACGCTCGCTTCGGTACTTGGAGCAGCTGGAAAGCTTGTACTCCGGTGGTCCACCCATGCTTGGTGTTCATGCCAAGCAGCTCACCATGACCTCGGCTCTGTGAGCGCGCCTCGTCTAGTCACTTGTCACGCCTCTTTGCAATCTAGAATCTTGAATCACAACGTCGTTCCATTGGCCTGACAAAAGGTTTCCGAAGTGACATCTCGGCTCGCCCGCATTCATATCGCGGCGGACATCTTGTGATAGGATGCTCCAGATATCTTCTGAGTGTGACTGATATCGAATCCAAGACTTATGCTGTGGCGGCTCCACACCTTCCTTTGCACCTACCATCAGCTCGCACAGGACTCCCTGCTCAGCTTGCAAGATCTGCTCACAGATTGAGCTCGAACTCAAGACTCTTGACTAGAACTTGTGACCCCAACCACCTTGGATCGGGACTTCTCCTGTCACGTGACTGCTGTGCTCATTCCGAACTTTTCCCCGAACTGCGCCAGGGATTTCCGCCCTCCACAATCAGGAATAAGATCCACGCACCTCACTGGGACACCAAGATGATTGTAAGTAGAGCCTTTCTCGGTCCACTTCCACTTTTCCCATTGTAAAGGGTGACCTGACCGCGCACCGTCTTACTAAGCCTACATGTCAGCATCGCGAAAGCGTAAGGGCTGCGCTGTGCCAGATGAGGCGGACGGCACTGCTAGCGAACATCCATCAAGCACGAGCACGGCGCTTTCAAGGCGGGGCCGGAGCGCACCAAGAACGTCCAACGCCTGTGATCCATGTCGGCGGTCTCGACTCAAGTGTAATGGACAGCGCCCGACATGCGCTCGATGCCTTGAAAGAGAGATGTCAAGCAGGTGTATTTGGCCTACAAGAGATGGCCGATCAGAGAGGGGCAGCCAGAGACGCGGTGAAGAGACTCGTGCGAGATCCCCGCATACATTCACCAACCAGCCTCACCCAGGTGCCCCGTCGTTGGATCTGCTCGCAAATACTGCCGCGGACAACGCTACCTCGAGCATGGTCCTGCCTTCGCGGCTGGGCGCCTTGGCCCCTCATAGCGCCAACAGCTCGGCGAGAAGAATGTGGTTCGAGTCCGCCCTCAGCTGTGCGCCTCCTGCACCGAGTTCCGAAGTGGATCCGGCTGGTGTTGACTGGACCAGCTTCGGCGTGGCTCCCTCCGACCTATCTAAAGAGATGATTGATGCTCTGACGGGGCGTATAGGCTTTATAAGCAATCAAAGCGCAGCTTCAGATCCGCAGCGTGCCAATAGCCCCAGCAGCTCCACAGGGCTTTCCAGAGCAAGCAAGCAAAAGGGTGACAATGCGGATCCCGTGGTCAGACTGCAGTACTTCAGACTGCTTGGTGCAACATCCATCACTCCTGGAGTGAAGAAGATATCGCTGGAGCTCCGCTTGACCCCTTCTGTACGCAAGGCTCTGTTTGCCAACGAGGGCTGCCCCTCCGATGTTCCGCTCATTCCGCAACGACTTGACCTAGATAGTCTGGTGGCTGTACCAGGTCTCTCATCAACAGCGAGTCGTGCATTTCAGGTGGATGTCGCAAGTGCAGAGTCTGCTGGCAAGCCAGAGCTCTCTGCTAGCTGCATGGCCAATCAAGCAGCACTCTTTGATGGTGACATGCCAGCCGAGTGGGTCTTGGATGAGCTCGTACCGCTCTTTTTCGTCAAGCTCGGCGATCACTTCCCATGCCTCAACTCTGACGGCCTGATGGGCAGACTGCGTGCACGTCGTCGACAAGCTCTTTCAATGCTTGTCAATGCGATCTGCGCTCTGGCAGCCCGCTACTCCGAACATCCTACCATCGTGCATGCGAGCCGCTCGCGGAAAGCTCATACGTATGGCGTACCATTTGCCGAAAAGGCAAGGGGATTCTTGGCCACCAGTCTTTCTGTGCCTAGCCGAGCTACTACTTTGGCCTTTCTGCTGTTGGCGTGGGAAGCCTTCGCTTGCAATCTAGACTCGGCTTTCTGGAATTATGCAGGTATGGCCCAGCGTATGGCTATCGACCTTGGCATTCACCAAGCGCCACATAGCACGGCACAACCACGTGATTTGGAAGCTATTGACTTCATCGACGATTCCCTACTGTTCTGGAGCGTCTATCAGATGGATCGAGCCTTGTCGCTCGGCACAGGACGCCCTGCCAGCATCAAGGACTCAGAAGTGACTTGCGCACTTCCTGAGCCTGATCTAACAACTTGCCCAGTCTTTGCGCACCATCTCAGACTCGTTCGTCTAGGTGGGATGATTGCCGAAGTCATCAACGCGGCACTGCAGCCGCTGCGTGCGAGAGGCGAAAATGAAGCAATGAGCACGACAGAGACGGCTTCTCGTTTGGACGAGCTCGAAGATCACTTGGTGGATGCATACGAAGCCTTGCCCTCGCAGCTCAAACTGTCGGCTTCAAATTTTAGAGCCAGCCGCGAGAAGCACGTCTTTTTGGAGATGCACCTTCTCTACCACTCTTTGCTATTTGTGCTGAACAGAACACCAGTAGCATCGTACCGAAACACGGTCGGAGCAGGTGAGAACAAAATGGCATACGTAGTGCGACGAAGCGCACAGCGGTGTGCAGAAATCGTCGCTATGGACGAAGCCGCAGACCTCGATGTGCTAGTTTGCGTCCCGATGGCCAATCAATCTCTTTATCAAGCTGGTTGTGCGGAGCTCGACGAGCGCAAGAGCACAGGTTCCGACCATCAAAACAGCGCGGGCCTGACGCGGTCAGTCAAGCATTTCATGGCGGACAATGTTCAACGCTATCACCGCTTTGTAATGACTCTTGAGCGCATGAGCATGTACTGGGACGGCATAAGCTGGATACAGGGCGTCCTCTTCCAGAAGCAGCGTGGATTTGCGGATACCGACTTGGTCGAGCTCGCTGTTGGCACCGATTCAATGGTTTCAGAACGTGAACTGGTGAGTCGAGACTGCCTTGACCGACACGGAGACAATGTCGGCTGATGAAACCATCAATTGGTCATAAAGCAACTGTTGCAAAAGCTTCATGCCGGTGGACTTGAAAATATCACATCTCAGGAGGTCTCCGAAGTTGCGTCTTTGGAGGAAATTAATGCATTCTTGCCAGAGCTAAATGACCTCCTTGCTTCGTTTGCATGAGAGCGCACTCCTCGGCAGCAGGTTACGAGCATCTCAAGATGGTAGAAGGAGTTCTTCGAATGCGCCTACTGGAGGGGTCTTGATTCGGCCGTCTGGCGCGCGATGACGCTGAAGGAACTCTTGAACCTTTGCGGCGACATTGCTAGGCGAGAATCCGAAGTGCTCGTAGAGCTGCGCTTGCGGCCCCGACAAGCCGAATGTATGCATGGACAGCGACGCGTGAGCATAGCGTGCCCACCCATAAGAGCTCCACACCTCCACAGCAACGATCAGACTGCCTGATAGTGGCAAAATGGTGCTCTTATAGCTGCCTGGCTGTTTGTCAAAGATATTTTGACAAGGCATGGAGACTACTCTGGCGCTGATGCCGGCTTTTGCAAGCTTCTCGGCTGCTGCAACCGCGATGGCGACTTCTGAGCCGGTAGCAACGAGCACGACTTGCGGGACTTCGCTATCGGTGCTCTGCCAGACAATATACGCCCCCTTCTGTACGCCATGGCGCGAAGAACCTGCGAGCAGAGGGACGCCTTGTCGACTGAGAGTCAAGATGCTCGGGACACCTTCATTCTCTTTCGATAGCGCAATGCTCCAGCAGCCCATGACCTCCTCGGCATCGGCTGGACGGAACAAGCTGAGATTTGGCATTGCCCGAAACAGACTTGCAAGACCAATAGGTTGATGAGTGGGCCCATCTTCTCCTGCGATCCAAACGCCGCGAGGCAATCGGAATGAGCCAAGCTGTCACCGAGACAAATAGCTTCAGCACTTACCGATGCCAATGCTATCGTGCGTTGCGATGCCAATCAATCGAAGACGCTGCAAAGCAGCCATGCGAATGGCAGGTGCCGCGTACAAAAAGAACCTGGACGGCAATGAAACGAGTCGCCGGATCAGCTAGGGCTTCCCTGCGACGAGAAGATCATGCTCGATGCCTACATGAAAAAGGTAGAAATGACGGGCACTAGCGCGTTAGGATGGTACGCCGCCAGTCCGTTGGCCACTCCTGCCATTGCATGCTCTCGGATCCCATAGTGAATATGACGGCCGGCATAGCTTCCATATCCTGTCTGGGGAGCCTGAAAGTCTTCCATATCGGGCCATGACACAAAAGTCGAAGCAGCTAAGTCCGCAGATCCTGTGACCAGGTTTGGTAGCGCAGGAGCGATGGCCTCGACCGCAATACCCGAGGATTTTCGGGTGGGAACTGCAGAAGTCGGCAGACGTTCTTTCGACGGCAGGAGCGAAGCAATATCCTCGGTCGAAGGGCTAGTGAGCTCTCCGCTCAGTTGGGCACGAAGCTGGCTCGCGAGCTTCGGATCTCTCAATTCAAACCTGTGAAGTTTCTCTTGCCACTCTTGTTGCCATTCTGCACCACGATTTTGGACTGCGGCAAAGCCATCATAGACTTGCTGGTCGACATGGAAGGAAAGCTCCTCATCTCGTCCGTTCAGCTTCTTCACACCCACGACGTCGGCTGCACCAAGAGCAGCACCGTGGGTGGGCGCTAGTCCCTGATTGGCAGAGCCAAAGCCGATGGTCGTGACCACTTTAACGAGGACGGGCTTGCCAGTGTTGTTGTCTCTAGCGGCTCGCAATGCTTTTGTAATGGCATCAACATCATTGGTGGCGTCGGGACCCACGTCAATGACGTGCCAGTTCATGGCCTGAAACTTGGCGGCGGTATCCTCGGTGAAGCAGAGATCGATGTTACCGTCTACGGTGATTGCGTTGCAGTCGTAGATGAGAATCAAGTTGTCCAGTCTCAAGTGGCCTGCTAGCGAAGCTGCTTCTACACCGACGCCTTCTTGGATGCATCCGTCGCCGCTAAAGCAGTAGACTTTCTGATCGAAGAGCGCCTCATCGCTGCTGCTGTTGCGGTCGTAAGTCGCTTGCAAGTGCTTTGCCGCCATGGCTAGACCCACAGCGTTGCTGATTCCTTGCCCAAGCGGGCCGGTGGTCACCTCAATGCCTTCATACTCGATTTCTGGATGACCAGCTGATTGAGAGTGGCGGAAGTCAGGAGAATGGTAGCGCTTGAGCCTAGCGGCGATTAGAAGAAGAAAGTCATTAGCAGCGTGCCGATATTGTCAACCTTTTGGTCTCGCAATCAGCACTCACATGTCCATCGTCCATGACTTGTAGCCACACAGGTGCAAGTAGACGTACTGCAGCAAGCAAGCGTGACCAGCCGAGAGCACGAAGCGATCACGACCGAGCCATTTGGCGTCCGCCGGGTTGAATCTCATTACATCTCGCCACAGCACAAGTCCGATGGCAGCAGCGCCCATTGCAGTACCTGGATGCCCACCGTTAAATTGCTGGACCAAGTCGGCAACGAGGCAGCGAACATTGCTCAAAGTGAGCGCAGAAAAGTCGGGAGAAAGGATGGAAGCTTTGGGTTTCGTTTGGACTGGCCGATCGGCCCGAATTGCGTCGTGGCTCTGCTCGATGATTGGTGCGGGTGCCATGATGTTGGTATGTCCACTTCTCTTTGAGACCTTCTCAGTAGGGATGGTGTATGTATACACTTATTCAACACAAGCGAGGAAGGGGAAAGCAAGCTGGAACGGGCGCTGGACTTGAGGCAGGCCAACAAAGGCTTATATATGGTCCTGTGCGCTCGTCGGCTCTTGGTGTCGACCGTTCCGTTGTCTTGCTATGCCTGACCTTCGCGCCAGTAGATCAGTCCAGGCGCTCAGCTCCTGGGTCTTGACATGCCCTCAGCATTTCTGAGCTTCCGACTAGTCTACAATGTGGCTTTCTCACACGGTGGAAGACTCTGCGCTGAAGACCAGCCGAAATTCAGCGTTCGAACAAGTCGCTTGCAATTCCTCGCGGACTCGCTCTGCGCACGGCGAAGCGCACCGGACAAACCGTCTTGAGCTTTGACGCGGGGAGTTGCATGTGTGTGGAGATATGCAGACAGCGCAGGCGCCCGGGGGGGGGGGGGGGGGGGGGGGGGCTTAAGATCTTGTTGATGCCGTTGGTCAGTGTAAGTCGAGCGCTCCGCTTCGGAAGTTCGGAAATGCACAAACCCTGCTTAGCGCTATCATCGGCAACCGCCACAGTTTCCGCAAGACAGCAGGCAGGGCAATCGTGGACGAGCGTCTTAGCAGTAGTTTGATGGGCAGAAGGAGCCAGGGAGTTGCAGAGCACGCGGACCGCGCTGCTCTCCTCAAGTCGACCGGCCGTTTAGTCAGCCTTGAAGTGGTATATTTGTGCGAATTGTCTGATTGTCCGCTGTGACCTCTACAGCAGGCAGACCAGCACGCTCTGGTTTTAGCAAGCTTTGCGACGCTGCTGTCGGCGCAAGGCCCAGCCGACTCTTCAGCTCGGAAGTAGGCACATCTTACAAGTCGCAAGGGCAAATCTTGGCCGGAACCCTAGATGGTCCAGTCCGACGGCGCTCCTTCAGTATGACAGAGGCGCAGAGGATACGAAGGGGTCCGATCGAGACTGGACCCTGTGAGGAGGGCGTCGCTGGAATGCCATTTGTCTGACATTATTAGCTTTAGAAACCGTGCACCCACGATTGCGCTTTGGGTCGAAGACGAAATTCACGCAAGGCGAGGCACATCAAGGCGTATAAGTTGCAGCGTCGTAGGAATGTTACTGCTGTTCTTGCCTCATGTCTCAACTCTTCACGCTCTTTGCCTCGCCACATCGACTCCGGCATCATCACGCCCAAGCTCATCCCAACTGATCAACGTCATCATGGCTCCTTCTGCTGTCGTGGACAACGAGACTGCTGAAGCAGTGGTGGTGCCGCAATCGGCCAACACAGCGCCATATGATGGGACGCAGACCCCTCCAGCTATAGAGGTGGCCAGCTCGCTGGACACGGAGCCAGAAATGAAGGAACTCTTCGGCATGAAGAAGACCACCACCATCGGTACGTTTGGGCTCTCCTAGCCCATAGGATTTGTACTGATCATTCCTTCTTTGTCTTTTGCTCAATAGTCACGGGAGGTGCTAGAGGACTTGGCTTGACGATCGCCGCTGCTGTTCTAGAATCCGGCGGTGATGTCTACTGCTGCGACATTCTCGACAAGCCCTCTGAGCCAGAGTGGACTTCGCTGCTTCGCAAAGCCAAGCGTTATGGCGGCGAGGCTCATTACGACGTGCTGGACATCTGCGACGTGGAGAAAACGAATGCGCTCTTCCGGTCCGTCGCCCAAAGGGCGCGTTTCCCCTTGAAGGGCTTGGTTCACTCAGCAGGTACCATGCACGAATCCCTAGCTCTTGATTATGAGATGGAGCCCTTTAGACGCATTCTGAAGGTGAACGTCGAGGGAACGATGATCGTTGCTCAGGCGACTGCCCGCATCATGAAAGAGCACGGTCTCGGTGGTTCCATCGTTCTGATCGCAAGCATGAGCGGCTCCATCGCAAACAGGGTGAGCAGAAGTCTTCGCGGCTCGCCAAGAATCAAATTGGCAACGCATGCGTCTGTTGCTGATCGCCACGCGTCGGTCGACCTTTCCGCACTTCCTAGGGACTATTCCTGACCGCCTACAACTCCTCAAAGTCTGCCGTCCTGCAAATGTGTCGCTCGCTGGCAGTAGAATGGGGTGAATACGGCATCCGCGTCAACACTGTCAGTCCAGGCTATGTGCGAACGGCCATGACAAATCTGTTGCTTCAGACGCAGCCCGAAAAGCTGGATAGGTGGGAAAGTGATAACCCCTTGCACCGCATCGCCCTCCCGCACGAGATCAAGGGCCCGGCGATGTATTTGCTCAGTCCAGCTAGCAGCTTCGTCACCGGCTTTGACGCCCGCGTCGACGGCGGTCATTGCGCATGGTGAGTAGTGGGGCAGTGTCGTCTTGCTTTGCCCAATACAATGCATCAGGTCCATCATAGCTAGTCTCGGTGCTCTGCCAGGGGTTTCGTTGCTGCTGAGCGGGCATTCTCGATCTGCGTTGCAGCTCCTCGAAAGGCGGAGGCACGCGCGACTGAAGCCTGCGAGGTGAAGACGAGGCTAATGGCACACATATCTGCTTTCACTGATTATTTGCTTTGACTTATTGATTTTGAGTAGACGTGCAAGGTGACAGTGAGGCGTGGGTACTTGAGAGAGCTTCGCTAGACGGCGGCACCAGAGGCTGCGGCGCACGGGCCGACGGTCACGTTTCGTTGAGGTGGGAGCAGAGAGGCACCAGCAGGATGCTATGCATCCCAAAGCTCGTTGGATATGGTATCATCGGCGTGCTTCTTTGCTGAGCGTGCCCAAGAAATTGTGACAAAAGACATTCTCCGGGTCCACGCGCCTTTTGATTTCGAGTAACCTTTCAAAGTTAGCGTGCCCGAAGCTACCTCGCACACGATCTAGTCCCTCTCCTCTCTCCAAGAAACAAGGGATTGGCGAGTGCTTGGACGTGCCGCTAACCCAGGAGTCAACTTCTTTCAGGTGCTGCTCGTCGTCGACATCCCCGCTCCAGATGGAACCCAAAGCGTACCGCGCCTCGCGCTGCGTCCGACTGATACATCCCGACTCGGGATCCGCGTCTGCGAGCGCGCCTCTTGCCAACTCGAAGATGAGGACGCGTGAGCCTTTTGTCGAGCGTGAAAAGTTTGCAATCGTCGCTTCGATGCATTCATCGGTAAGAGTGTCGAGACAGTCGCCCCTGACTAGCCACCTTTTGCCAGGCCCCGTGTCCCGCAATACCTGCGCCATGAATTGATTCTGCGCTTGAAATGGCCTCTCCTCGATGTCCTTCAGAAGTATCCTCTCCCCAGACCAGGAGCTCAGGGCCTGCACCACTGCCTCGCTATCGGCGGTGCGGCCCCGAAGATCGCAAATTTGAATCACAATTACGTGAGAGCCACCGGGCCCTTCGGTGAGAATCAGGTTGGCGTAGAGCTCCCTCGGAATGTCGCCCTTGAGCACGTCGCGCCAATGCTTGACGAGATCGTCTGCGGTCGAGGGCGAAAAGGGGAAGAGTATGCTGCCGCCATAGACGTGCGGAACTGGGTATGCCCTCATAGTGATGTGCGTCACGACGCCTAGACACGTCGCAGCGCCTCGAGCAGCCCACCACAGGTCTGCATGGGCAAATGTCTCGTCAGGTGTGCTGATCGCAAAGCTCGTATAAGCGAAGCACTTGAACCTCACCTGCTGCATCACTTGATTTCCCTGCATTCTCATCATTTAGGACGTGCACCGAGCCGTCAGCGAGAACCATTTCCAGTTCCACCACGTTGTCGACCGACAGACCGTAGGCTCGCGTGATGAAACCGAAGCCGCCAGTGACCATGGAAGCTACAAGCGGCGAGGGCAAGTGATGATTCAGTCTGGAGGTGCATGCACCGACGTGCAAGACGTTCGACTTACCTGCGCCAACTGGGTATGCGGATGATGGAACGAAGTACGGTGCTGCTGTAAAATTGGCAAATTGATTGTCGGGCATAGGTAGCGGCGCTTTTTGATAAAGCCTGCTTGCCGCGGCTTCCGAGCTGGTGTGCAGATCGCTTATCAACCCAACTCGACCCGCTTTGTCGGTGTATGCATCGAGATGTGGAATCGAAGCTCCGGGTCCAAATGAAGCCAAGAGGTACTTGTCGGTGTGTATACCAGGGCGCAGAGCACATGTGCTGAAGTCATTGCGCTGGGTTGACCTGTCAATGTCCAGTGACCTCATCGCAGGGGTGGCGCCCGTAGAGGCCTCAGGGCCTGAGGCACTGCGAGGACCAGCGTCTTGTGACGTGGGGTGACCACGAGGCAAGGGTTGACCTGAAGCATTGAGAGCGGTGGCGTCCTCACCCTGACGCCAAACGAATGCTCCTTGGGGTAGTGTGGTTTGTATCCGGCCAGCTGAGAGCCCAGACGCGGTAGGCGGCCGGTGATGCCTGTGCCACCGCTCGTGCTCGAAGGCAGAGGTGGGTCCAGATCCAAAGTTCCGAGCCTGCGTCGGGTCCAATGACGGCTCCCGGCCGAGATGTTGGCCTGAGGCGGCTGCCCTCGACGATGCAAGCTGCGGGAATGTTTGCCTTGCCGTGGCGTCATCCGATCCAGTCTTTAGTTCGTGATCGTCGGCACTGCCAGAGTCCACCGAGGTCGAGTCGGTACGCGACATGCTGGTCGTAGACGCACTCTCATTGCTGCCGGTCCTTGGCAAGTCTGCGCCACCAACTTTGTCAACCCATTCTGCGCTTTCTGGCGTGCCGTCACCACTCTCGCTTCTTCGAGATGATGATACGATAGGCTGCTCAGTTTCGTGTCCATTGGTAAGAATTCGTTGACGCGATGCGTCTCCGCCTGCGATTTCGCTGAAGGCATCTCCTGCCTTGCGAACTTTGGAGGGAGATTCGCCAGCAGAAGGCGTATCAACTGCAGAAGGCAGTTCAAGAGGCTCAGGCGACTTGACGGCGGGTTCCAGGCCTGAGAATGTAAGAGAGCCACCCAGTCCCTCAGGCTTCAGGAGTTTGACATCGTCCATCTGCTGAAAGTCAATGAGCACATCGCCTGATGTTGCCCAGCCGGCAGTCGAGTAGCCGCCCGACTTGATCGATGGGCTAAGACTATACTTGCGACAGAAACGAAGAGTGCTGTGGAAGAAGAGAGCAAGGGTCAAAGATGCCAGGAATGAAGATATTGGAATGGACACGAAGCCTGTCCAGCTGGCTCAGAGGAGACGGCACATTTGGAGGTGGACTTACATGGACACATCCTGAGAAGTCTTTGGTTTCACTATCAGAGTCGAATGGCATTTCGCAGCACTGTTGAAAAGACGAACGCTTTCATCGAAATCCTTGTCTGAGCTGCTTGCATCCCCGTCCTTGCCGTGCACCGTTGTGAAAGAGACAGGCGGCGAATCGTCAGGCTGAGCACTGAGCCGAGAGAGTTCCGATGAGGGGGCTGGACCCGAGCGTACCAAAATCCGACCGGACAGCTGCGTTCTGAGTTCTTCGTACAGGCTAGCAGCTTCCTCTGCACGTTTGGACGGGGTCGACGTTTGGACAGGCATAGAAGCCCCCACGGGGTCGAGAGATGTTGCCATAGTGCTGCAATCGATACTGCAGCACTATGGACTTCTGAGAGCAGAGGGTTGGATGTGGCTCTAGCGTGATGTGTATGCTTTGGGCACACGGGTCGCAAATGGGTTACTGAACAGCGACGAACCTTGAAAGGGTGCTCACGTGCACCAACGAGCTTTTGCTGATTTCGCCTCTTTGAATAATAGAGGTGCAGTCGAGTGGAATCGACTGAGTTGTGCCACGAAGCTGCAGTCGAAAGCGGGATGTTGATGCTCGAAGCAGCCAGTCAGCAAAAAGTGGGGATTGAACGGTGCGGCAAGGACTTCGCACAGTGGCTGTGTGTGATTGTGTGCCGTCTGGGATTGCGTTGTGGTGGTTGAAGTGTTTTCGCAATTCTCTTCGCTCCGAGGGTGGCAGAGGGGGGGTGGAGGGGAAATCTTCAAAGAGCAAGCAGCGCGAGTCGCGCGCGCAGCTGAGGTTCCTGCGTGCAGCAAGCAGCAGCAGCAGCAGCAAGCGCATGCAAGCACTCACGACTGCTCGCCCTGCCGTCTCGCGAGCTGGGGCAGGCCGGGCCTTTTCCCAAAAGCCGTGCGTGTAGGTGCGTATACCGGTCTAGGTCTATCGGTGTAGTCCGCACTAGCGCAGCAGTGGATTCATCAGGATTCACGATTGGAAAACCAAATGTCAATGTCCGATCGCGGCCTCAATCTGTTCGTCGGCAAGTGGCGGCGCTACTGCACAGCAGAGCAGAAAAGACAATCAGCTTTTTGGTTTGGGCAACTCTGACTTGCACACAGGGAGGGAGCACTTTGAGCGGACTTGAGGAGCCACCTTCGATTCGCATTCAAGTTCAAGTTCAAAATGAATCGCAAGCTTCGTGCTCAGAGAGCCATGCCATATATATACACTTTTGACTGTTCATGCTAATTCGAACTTCTCGGCCATGCCATGCGTATTCGAAATCAGGCCTCATCCGAAGCCTTGCAACTCTTCGCAGCATTACTCTTGACTCAAAGCCATCCCTCCATGGCTCAAGAAACACTCACAGCACCCCGGGACCGAAGGATGCGAGCCGGGAGAGAGCGTGCGTCGCGCTGCATCCACCCAAACTCATTGAGGTACACCATTTGGTATAGAGTCAGAGTCAGAGTCAGAGTGGGGCCGGGGCGAAGCCGCGCCAATCCGTCTCTGTCATCAGAGACTCGTGACTCTAACTTTTGACTAGCAATGAAGCCTCTTCAGCCTTTCCCAGAGCGATCGCTGAGCGCCTTCAATCGTGAATCCCTGTTGCGAAAGCCAGGCAGTCTCTCGAATCCTGCTCAATGCCCGCAGTCAAAGCACAATCAAAATCGCCTCGATTTTGCATTCTCGATTCTCACGACGCTTCATTCAGATTCATATTGGTGGTTGTATACTCGTGACTTCAAGTGCAGGCCGAAAATGCCTGTATATCAATCGTGAATTTTGAATTGTTCTCGCTATAGGCGCTTGTCTCAGACTTGCGCCGTGCGTGAGACAGCATGCTCAAAGTTGTGCGTGCGCGTTTCTATATGAGCAGACAGGCTGCGAGGGGGGCATCAGCAGCATGCACAGCAGCATAGGGTCGTTGCTGTGCTTCACGTCCACGATTAGAGTTCAGCATTCAGTGATTCATGGTTCGTTGTTTCAGCTTGAACAGTCACGAGTCAGGGGACTCTCTGCGCAGATCAGGATTCTTGATTGCTTTCGGTGCCCAGCTGTATAGCCGCCGTGTAGCCCATTCTGATTCGTTCCTAGCTCCATTACTCCATTCAGGCGATCCATCTTTGAGTCTCGAGCGTTGCACGAGGGCTTGCTTTGCGTTCGTGGTTCGCAAAAGAGTCGTAGTGAAATGAGAAACATGCTCTTCTGATCGCGTTACAAGCACAGCGTCTGCGCAAGTGAAGCAAGCGTCTGCTCAAACTTACCGTACCCACGGTGCAGCTGCACTTGCACGTGGACCACTTTCTGTGGACAAGTTGCTTTAGACTCAAAGCTCGGCGAGCGCTTCAACGAATCGAAGCGTTAAAGGGGGAGGGTTCAGATGGCCCGCGTCGGACTGCTCAGGCCTCTTTGTTGTCTGCTTCGGCCATGCTCTAGCACAGCCTACTCACACTACTACTGAGTGGACGTGAAATGCGGAAGAGCGCTCTGCGCTAATCACGCAGCGGCGTACATCTTTTGCTCAGATGACCGCATATTCATCCAGGATTTGCAGATGGGATGCTATCATAGCACATGCATGCAAATGGCAGCCATCTCTTTTCTCGGAAGAGGTGGCACCAATTGGAAATCGACGGTGCGGCTCCGCGAGGGGCGGCCCGTGTCTCAGCTCTGCCTGCTTCCCTTAATTGCGCGCATGGACGGCGGATCTTACCATCTGCTGTGTAGCTATATATCCACAGCCGCTGGGCTCGGATGGACCAAAGTGCTCCGTTCAGTCACGAGTCTCACCGCAGAGGCGTTTACAGCTCGCCCAGCAAAGGAACAGATGCGTCGTGAGCTCGAAAGAGGGCAGCAGCGTGTGTGTGCCTCGATCACCTTCGAGCTGCGCGCAGCATCAGCAATCACGAATCGTGGATCGTGAGTTCCAACCGCGAATTTCCGCAAATCACGACTACTCGTGTCTTGATTGTGATGGTGAATCACAATTCTGATTTCGCAATCTTGAAGCATGCAGTCACGAATTCACTTGTCGCATGGAATCCATCTCGATTTCGAGTCGGGCCGAACACGCCGTATAGTTTGTGACGAATCGGTAAAAGTCGCGAGGAACATCAGGCTTCACGGAGGGGCGAATCGGAACGGCGCTTTGGTAGTCTTTCTTCTGAGCTAGGAGGGGTTCTCTCGAAGCAGGCCTCGATCGCGAAGCTCAAGAGTCAAAGAGAAGGGCGGACTTGTGGGGGTGTGTCCCTGGCTACGCCTCAGCAGAATCACGAATGCAGCAGAAGCGGAAGGGTGCTAGCTGGTATCACGAGCTGCAGAGCTGCAAGTGATGATCGGGGAATCCAGGCAGGCGGCAGGAGCCAAACCAGCTCTCATCCTGCTCTCATCACGAACACGGATGCGCTTACTCACGATCGGCGACTTGCTGACTCGATCTACGAGATGGCTAATCGTGAATGTACATATCGCTCAGACAAGCACAGGCAGGCCACTTCGGTCATGAGCATCGAGTACCACTCAAGACCCACACGCCGTCGCTGCGGGAATGCGTGCTAGGCGGCTGCGTGCTAGAGCTGGCGCTTCAATTAAAATGAATCTTCGATCGTAACGATACCTGTTCGGGCGGCTCGGATACGCACCCATGGTGAATGTAGAGCCACGAGGAAGCACATATGTATCCCCCAATGCCCGCAAGGTTCTGGCTTAGCGCCCAAATGAGCGCGTTCGGGCATGAGGCAGACTGATATTATCACGTAGCGCGCATTCGTTGCGTGTATTCACGATTTTGATTCGTGATTGGTACCGCGCGCGTCTGCAGGCGTAGCCTCCTCGGAGGTTTCCCTCGGCAATCTTCGGTTGTCACAGCCATGCAACAGCCTATCAATCGCAAATCGCGAATGTTATTGAGCTGCTCACTGCATGATGACTGTCGGGGCCACGCACGCTTGACTGGACGAGCTCTCGTCTTTTGCTCACCGTAGCTGCCCCGAAGATCGCCAAAAAAGTCTCTGTACGGTAACGGTAACATTGAACAGAGTGGAGCGTGAAAGGGACGCGTTTCCGATCGATGAGCAGGAGAGGTTGTCGGGATGATGAGCAATACACATCATTTGCTGACAGCCGCCGTGGCTGGCACTCGTCTCTGATCCTGATGCTGCATCGTGATGGTCAAATTTCCATGGACAGCGCAGCTAGGCAGACCCGACCGGGCCGGAGACTTGAGCCGAGAGCGCGATCTGTGTGGCTTCATTGCGCAGGAGCTTGCATCATGCATGCGACTGCGCGTGCGACGTGCGACGTGCGCTCGCCGAGCTAGCTACTCACCATATATACCGGCTCGTGACGGTGTTTCCGCAAGCATTCGCGGTCTAGCGTGCCAAGGCACACGTTGGAAGTGGAGTCACAGAGTGGAGCGTGGAGCGCGCAGCGGTCAGCACACTAGTCGTGACGCATATAGGCAACAACCGCGAAGTCGGTGAGCCATCCATTCTAACCCGCTGAATTGCAATCCGCATACGCGTCTCAATCATCACCATCGCTCATCCATATACAGCACAAGTGATAGTCAACATCCGAACACACTTTTTGACTCTTTCCTCTTGCGCTCTCTCCATATATGCTGCATATAGAGCCGCGATCGAATAGCCGGCTGCCGCTTTGACTCACAAAGATCTTGATTCAGAAATTTGGGGCCCAAGTTGCAAGACATTCACGCGATTCAATTACAAGCACAAACTTGAACAATCAGTCGATCAGGGCTCAAATTGAGCAATCAAGCCTCCGCGGTTGACAGACCGCGCCTTTGCCGAAGCGCAGCCTTTGGGGGGTCGCAGAAGAGAGTCTGGCTCTGAAGGAGGACTCGAGACTGCCCGCACTCACTGTTTCTTCCATACCGATTTTCATCGAAGACCCTCGACAGCCGGAAACAAGGTAGATTCGGAAGCGTAGCCATCCACATCGTCCCTCAGAGACTCTCGTCTGAGTGCGAGCAAGCTTTCGTGAAGTCAACACTGCTGAAGGGCCGACCTAGGCTCACACGAAAGGGGAGCAACACAGACCTAGGCCAATTGAAGTCGATCGAGATCAATTAAGACATCGCGAGTACGGCAACGCGTGTTTCAGATGCCGCTCAGTACGCCATTGAGGCTCGGCTCCGCCTTGCTGCACACCACATCACTGGCCATTTGCTGGTCTGCCTTTCTGTCCTTGGACGACCTAAGTGACATCAGTGGGGTGGATGTCTCATTGCAATATGGAGGTGAGCAAGGTATGCCCGATGCTGCTGCTGCTGCTGGTGCTGCGGAGAGAAAAGGAGAGCTCTTGAACGCCCATTAGGATGAGGGATTTGTAGCTTTGTTCGAGGCATGTGTATATAGCGAAGCTGGATCGTCGCTGACTCTAATCTGCCACACACACTTTGATGCGTTTGCTGCCTGCGCAAATGCGCCCATGCCCGACGTCTCGCCTGGTGCTGATGCTCATTCAAGGCCACTACCAGTGAGTCACGAGTGAAACCTGCCGAACGATATTTCAGCGCAAAGAGTCACGAGCGCCTAACGCTTCGTCTCTCTCTCTCTCTTCATGATGCTGGCAATTTCATCAATTGGCAGATTCTTGACCGTCTGCGCGTTGAGGGCCACGCAGATCACGATGGGCGTCGCGCTTCTGCACGACATTTTGGCCCTTTCAGAGCTAGCGACGCTCAAGTCGATTCTGAGCGTAGCAGTCTTGCCGGTAGAGACGCTGGTGTCTATGCTCTATTGGACTGTGCTAGCCATCGATCCAGATCTCCTTGTCCCTCCGAGATTGACCGACGATCCCAACAATCCCGGTCAGGTGATCAAAGAGAGCATCCGCTTGCCACTTAGCGCAGACTTGGCCATGCACGCTGCACCCGCCGTCTTTCTTCTCGCTGTGAGTATAGCAGCAGCGGGAATTTGATGATCTCCAGCAAGCCGCTGTCTTACAAGTGCCTGGACGCTGTCATTCAAAGGACTTTTTGCTGGTATCACCTCCCTTCCCAAAGAAGGTGCGACCTGCCTTCGTATCTGGCATAGCCACTGTCGCCTACTGCGTATGGTGCGAAAGATGCGCAGCAGTGAATGGGTGAGTCTTTGCTAGAATCGCTTTTTCGGAAGTGTCGCAGTCCAGCAATCGGCTCATCGGCATCACGTCTTCACCATGACGCCACTGTTCTGCTCTTCCTCTAGCCACTATCCTTACCCGCTCTTGGGCTTGCTGTCCCTGTGGCCTAGACTGGGGCTGTATGCAGGCTGCAGTGTGACGATGGTGCTTGTGCTGGGCGCCGTGCGCACCATCCACGCCGCATTAGATCGACGGTACAAGAGGGTGTGGGATGACACTGTTGCAGAGACCATCGCAGGCAAGGTGGGCGAGCTCTCCAAGAAGCACGAGTAGGCTATCGATGCTATTGAATGGCAATGCTCGAGACATTAGCTTCAAGCTTCTTTACAAGACGCCGCGACTGCACAGAAAGAATCGGAGTGGTCCAGTGTACAACAGCATCGCGGGCCAGCAAAGCCATACGGGCGCGTACAAGTGGTGCATAGAAGCAGCAAGATCGAGGGGAATGGACTCTTTGCAGGGCCATGTGACACAGCAATCAAACACGTCAAGGCCAATCTCACTTGCGCTCTTCCCACGCATCCTCCTGCTGCACAGCGTCTTCAGTGACGAGCGGTGTGACCCAGCTCATGAGTTGATCGTCGACCACTCTACCATCTCCCGATCTCTTGGCAAGTCTGCGTCTGACTCTGGCCGCCAAACGTCCCACCGGCCCATGCTCATCCTCCTCCTCAGCAGCAGCAAAATCCCTCAACTCTCCGGCTTCGTTGGCCGGATCGACCGGTATACCGTCCAAACCTATGACGCGATATTCCGGACTTCCTGGCTTTCCCTTTGTGCCGCCGTTGGCATTGCGCATCTGTTTCATGATGCGACGAACGTACTCTACGTCGTGCGCTTCGATGGCGTGGTGCAGATCTCGAGGAGAGTGCAGAGCGGTGCTGCTAGTGGTGGGACAAGCAGCGCTGAAGCGATGAGCAGCATGCACGTGCTGAGCTAGTCGAACCATGGTGAAAGGTAGATGAGGAGCCTCTCTAGGCAATTGAATGACCCGTCGAGCAGAGCCCCGTCTCGAATAGCTGACATCTAGACTGCGCGACGAAGCCTTGAGTGCGCGTGCCAGATCCCCTCCTTGCAGAGATTGCTTCGGATCATTAGTCGGCACGAGGGATATACAGATGGCTACGTGTGCAGCTGTAGCCGCAAAGGGGACGCTACCAGGGATAAGCTGCCCTCGGCTGCCTACTATGGCAGTGCCCAATCCGTAGCCAGAATCGCGCAGCCGGGTAGGGGTCACGACTTCGACTTGCACAGCGAGGCTCAGCACACCAGCCTCGGATCTTTGTGAGCCTACCTGCTGCTCGCTGGCCAGAGCTGCATCGGCGATTTCTTGAGGGCCAGCTGTGATGAGCGTGTTGCCGTACCATGCCATAGCTCGCAACAGACCCTTCCAGCTCGGCGCTCGGATGGTGAAGAAGCTGGATCGGTGGCTACCTTCCCTCAAGCCGGATCCGTCGGCTGGAGCCATCGAGAGCTGCACCGTGTTGGGAAAGCGGCCTTTTCCTTCCGCTGCGCTCTCATTTGCAGGTGACGCATAAAGCTCTGGCGCAAAAGGTTCCAAAGCATAGCCCCAGTCCGTGCCTGCCATGGTCGTCTGTGAAAAGTCGCCCCGATTTGGCGTCTGCCGTGCGGCAGCTTCGTCTACGCTCGTGGCTGACGTGGAAGCTGACGGTGCGTGCGAAGTTGAGGTCTGATGCGAATCAATGGTCGCGTCGTGCGTCATCGTGCTCGCATTGCTCATTTGACGCGCTCGATCCGAGCGCCCATCCTTCATAAAGTTGGAGTTAGAGGAAGATGCGCTCTGATTGCTAGATGCGCGAGGACGACTGTGCACTTGTCCACCACGCTCCACAGCAGTCAGAGTAAACGCAGAGCTGCTGCTCGACTTGGACGGGCGAAAAGCCGGGGTTTGGAGACTGGACGATCCCGCAGAACCGCTGCGATTATGTGCTGTTCTCGACCGCGTCGATGCTGCGCTGCTGACAGACCTTCTATGTTGGTGCAGCACACTCAAGAGAGGGTTGGGGGAAAATTCTGCGTCGTCCTCCTCCTGAATCGCCTCGTCGAAACTGCCGATCTCGACTGGCCGACTTGCTGCTACGGTGGCTGAAGACGGCGAGGAGAGGGCAGGTGTCAAAGCTGCAGGTCGCACACTGGCGCTGGAAACTTGAGCTGAATCCCGATCGTATAGGCTAGCAGCGCTAGATTGCGCCGCTGGACTGCCGTGATGAGAATGCAAGGATTGCTTCTCGTTGGGCCAGTGGTGGTGGACATCCGCAGATTCGTTGGATGGGCGAGCAGCGGCAGCAGCAGCAAGCAGGGCAGGGTGTGTCTCGAAGCGGATGTGTGAGGGCGCCGAATCTGGTGCATTTGGAGGGCGATCGTTTCCCACCTCGTCATACATCGGTGGCGCTTCCGCGTCATCGGCGAAGGGGTCACCGTTAGTGCCGTCGTACAACGCGTCCCTTGACCCTTCATCCTGGTCCCCAAGGGCTTGACGGTGAGCGGCGTCTGGAGTGGCGTCCTCAAGAGCATTGCTGGTCGAGCCACCTGCCGACGGTCCCATGACAGGCGGAATCTGTGGCAGAGGTCTCCTATTCGCACCCGCATCTGCCATCGATGGATGCCTCGAAGCACTAGCGCCCGAGGGTAGCGGAGGTAGCGGCGGCGCGGCTGTCGACGTAGATGTGTTCGGTTCTTGTCGCATGGTGACTGCCAGCTGATAGGCTTGATCTTGGTGCAAATGTCTCCAGTACGCGGCATCGCCCGGCTGCCCACCTTGACTTAGAAAATTAGTCAAAGCTCGTTCTTCTTCATCTCTTCTACTCCACTCCTGCTCCATATCTATTCTGCTCTGTCTCAAAACGCTCTCCTCTATATCTCTCGCATCCGCTTCTTCTCTAGCCCTCCTCTCTCTTTCCTCATTCGCCTCTCTCTTGCTTCTGTCCAACAATTCTTTGTCCGCCTCAGCTCTCAATCGAGCTCTTTCAGCTTCATCGTCACGACTTTGCTGCAGCGTGAGGGCTACTCGAGCTTGCTGTTCTTGCCTGACCCTTCTCGACCTGATCGCCTCTTCCTCGTCCCTCAGACTGGCCTCCATCACGGCTTGCAGTAGAGCGGCTTCGTCGGCCTCAGCTTTCGCGCGTTCCTCAGCCGCACTCAGCTCCATCGCATTGATCTGTGCCATCTCTTCGGACGATAGCCTTTCATGCTGCGCAGGACCCGCTGCTCGTCTTCTGGTGTCTGCTTCTGCGGAAAGACGCGACGCTTCGAGAGCGGCTCGAAGATCGGCTTGACAGCCTTCGCAAGTCGTCGTGTCGTGATCTGCCGCTTGTCCGCTCTGACTCCTTCCTGCGCGATGCTCGCTCTGCCAATCAGAAACTAGTCCAGGCTGTCTAGACTGCTGATGGACCAGGGATGACTGTGCTGTCGTAGGACGCGAAACAAGTGGGCCTGCGCTTGCCATTGGTGCTACGCTCGGTAGCACGTCTGGCCTGAATGAGCCATGCTGCTGTGGTGCAGTATGTGTCGAAGGAGGTGAATACGGCCCTTGCGCACCGATGGATTGGTATGGATATGTCGTGGCCCCCGCGAAAGGATGCCAAGCTTGTCCTGGAGGTGGTGATGCGGCATGCGAAACGTTCACTTGAGGGGAGGGTGTTCCTGGTGTCCACGCGCTTGGATTTGGCATCGCGGGGCCTCGAAAAGAATGCGACCTCGGTTGGGGAGCAATCGGCTGAGATGGTAGGTTGTGTGGGCTTGTGATCGATGCTACGGAAGGTGACCTAGCTGGCGGGTACATCATGGTGGTGGGGGAGTTGGAGGCCGAGTGAGGATTTGGTTGAGGCAATGCATGCCCTGCATAGCTTGATCCTACGTGGCCGTGTGGGTATTGACGATCGGGTGCGCCTGAGCTCGAGGCGTGCTGCGGTTGAAAGTTGAATTGCGTCCAAGATCCTGTTGCAGAGGGGTGATGGCCGGCGTGAGGCTGTGCTCCTGGGCGCGCGTTGACATCGCTGCTGCTGCTGTAAGCAGGCGTGGGAGATCTGCTGCGCGAGTCTCGTCCGAATCGGTCAGCCTCCTGCGGCTTGGCAAGCAGAGAAGAGCTCGATCCTTGCCTATCACTTGCACTGAGCCTGTCGTCCACCTTTGTAGAAGAGCCTGTCGCTACTGGTTGATCCAGCCACATATCGGATGAGGAGCTGGTGGTAGCGCTGCTTATGGAAGCTCTTTGTTGCCGAGATTGCTCGCCGGCGTGATGCAGCCCCCACATCAGCGGGTTGGAAGTTGGCGGGCCTCGTTGTGGTTGTTGGCTCATCTTCATTTACACTGAGCGGGACCGAGTGAATACATGCGAGTCAGTCGAGTATTCGTGATTGTGGCTGCACCGATGCCTGATTGATGTCGCAGGTCATTGAGCCCTTACCATGGATCTCTCGAAGCCCTCACCTTGTGCCTGTCGACTCGACTGCTTTCTTCCGACTTCGTTTGACCGCTGCGCCAAGAGGATGTGCGTGTGCCGATTAGACAATCACGAGTGCGGATATGGGAGCACGCGGACAGGATGCGCGGGCTGACTGAGGTTCAGCTGAGGCGGTAGTTTGCAGCTGCAATCGTAAATGGGGCCGCAATCGTGAAGGGAGTCGAAGATCAATCCCGGTGCGGTCGCGCTGCTCTTGGCGCTCGGCTGACGCGGCTATGCTGTCATGGAGCGGGCTTGATGTGTGGTGGATGATGTACTCTGCGGTAGGCAAGATGGCGCGTGTGGTGTGGATAGAGTCGAGAGTACTCACCACTCGTAATTTGGCGGAATCATCGACTCGTGACTCACGACTGCACGCATCCACATCTAGCGAGCGCTGCTGCGCTTTGCCAAGCTCGATCGACCCTGCTGCAAGCGCGCCGAACGAAGGGTGACGTCCGTGCTGCAAGCAAGCATCCAAATAAATGCACCGATTAGCCGGGGCACAGCGTGATCGGCCAGAAGCGGGCGGGCGTGCGTGCGTACGCGGCGCGTGTCATGCACGATATGCCACACATCACATCACACATGCACGCCCATCCATGCCCATGCACAAGCTTGCAAGTCAAAGTCACACAATCTCATCAGCATCGCAGCAGCTGCTTGCATCCACCGCGTAGCATTGGCCGGCGCGCATCACTTTGACTTGCGCGGGGGCAAAACCCACAGGAAATCATGAATCAAAGCCCATACTCAAACACTCAAGCCATGCATGCAGGGACTGTCCCGGTACGCGACTCACGTGTGATCACACAGCCACATCTTGGTCGGTCTTACTCGGCCCGTAATCCTCGATCTCTCCAATTCAAGAGCCAAGCACCGCGTGCGTCGCGCGGGCGAGCCGTGCCTACGCGGTAATTTGTCAACTTGCGCGACGCGTCTCGCGCGAATCAAAAGTCAGTAGTCTCGAGTGTGAGTAATAGTCAGACGGGGCGCCGAGAGTCAAGAGTGCAACACCAGCCAGAGAGCACCATCGACATCTTCAAGGCTCAAGCCGCCCAGCTATGTGTGACAGGCGTCGATGCTCTTGGGCATCCACGCTTGTTAGCATCACTGCAAGGTCTCATCAGGCAGCTTCGTTGGCTCTGCAGCTCAAGACTTCGCCACAGCTATCGTCTCGCGCTCTGCGAGCGAGCTGACCAGACGCTCATCAATCACGTCGAGGACGAAGTTGCAGCCATCGCCATCGGTCCTTTTGCCTCGCATCAGAGAAGTTCGAGCTCTGGTTGGCACACCTAGCCACGAGGGTACAATTATCGATGCCAGGGCGTCAAGTAATGCGCGCCTCTGAGCGCTCTCGCCGCGATGGCGCACGCGTGCCCCCCACTAGAACAGAGGGCACTATCGACTCAAGCAGGAACGATCAGCACGACGACGGAGCGCAGTATGATAGCAGTCAGCCAAGCATGGCGCCTACTGCGCCTCAACCGCTAGCTCCGAGCCTGCTGAGGCCCGGCCATATGGTACCCGCAAATCCTTCTGAGGCGGACGTAGCACCTCACGCCCACCTCCGACCTTTTTCTCGAATTCGCTTTCAAGCTGGGAACCCGTCTGCTCTAGGACTGCTCGGAGCTCTTCAAGTCGCGCAGCGTGGGATTTCGCGACCACAGACCGAGCCTTGCGCCCCTTCAAGTATCGCAGGCCCGAGCCAAGTCGTCCCCGCAAAATCTCGGTCTACTCCCTCCGCCGTAGACAATCTTACGACTTCCAAGTTGAATACACCGAGCCCCGCGTTCCAGTGTGAGAACCTTGGCTCCATGCTTCAGACTCGCTCCTCTCAGGCTCAATCCTCAAGCTCGGCTCTCTCGATGCGGGCTCGAGATGCTCCAAGAAACGCACCGAGGCAAAATCGCAGAGCTTCACGCCAAGTACATCCCCCCTTACCGGACTCTTCTCGAGAAGGGGAGACTCAAAGGGCCAGCTCGCGTGCTGCCCAAAGTGGCCTAGCTACTGGGGGCTCTGCAGGGGATCCTGTACACCCAGGTTCAGAGGCGGTGTCGGGACGCATACCATTGGCTGAAATCCCATTGTGGATCGCCGACGCGAGAGGTCACTCACTCCGGAGGCTAAGAGGAGAACCCGAGCTCAATGTCGGTGCAGCTCAAGAAGATGCCTTGGCAATCTCGAGGCGCAATAGCGTGAGTGCGGCGTGTACGCAGTCATCCACTTTCAGCCTGCGCGATCGATGCGAGACCTTTCCGCTGATGCAATCGGACGCTGCCACGCCATCGCAGTCTCCGCCATCTCTGCGGACGGACTCACGGGCGAGCCGACGTTTGGGAGAAGGACTTAATTCAGATGGCAGCCTTGCGTCCTCGAGGGCTCCTCCAAACACGCTCTTGAGAGCTTCGCTTAGGCGAGCTCATACGTACGGCATAGCTGCTATCACCAGCAGCAGTCCAGCCGGGAGCCGGGCAACTCAGGAGCGCTCAATACCAGCACAACGAAGCAGCTCTTCATCCCGGTCAGGAAGCATGCGCGCTTTTGCCTTGTTGGACTGCTCTAGAGTTGGGGTGTTGAGGCCCGCCCATGGAGGTTCGCCTCGGTCAGCTCTTTCCAGTAGCACTGCGAGCGCTCCAACATCGAGCACTCCGGTGCTTGCGTCCGGACGTAGAGCAAGAGTAGCAAGAGGAGCAAGATCTCCCTTGCAGCCCTCGTCTCCCTTGCCCTCACGACCACGTAGCATCAGCCGCTCCCCTTTCGGAGACCTCGACGAGTCTGCTGGAGGTAGCAGCTCGCGCTCAGATACGCCAGACCCCGAGCCGGCTTCGGGTCGCAGTTCGGATATCATGCCTCGTCGACACGACACTTTTGTTGCAAGCGCCGAAGCCGAATTGGAGAACTCGGCACATCTGACTGGTCCGACCATCGATACTACTACGACTAGCATCAGCACGCGCAGCGTGACGGACGTGGGGGACACCGTCGACACTCTGGATACTATCGACACCGCTGAGACGAGCCACTCCTTGCGCAGGTCCCGTTCCAACTCGACGAGTCTTTCTCCCGCGAGCCTCTCGGCATCTCCACGCCGCGCACTGCCCAAGACGCCACCTCGTAGCGGCAATCGCAATCGTCGCTATTCTCCCTATGCCTCACCCTCACGACGAGGCGACGTGCGACAAATCGACGAAAACACACCTAGTCCAGTTCGTCGACAAAGACAAAAGGAGGCGGAACGTGCGCGCTTGCTTCATGAGCAGCGTGAGCAGCGTGCGCAGCTTCTGGGCAGCCAGGCCGACCCTTGAGTCACCCTCACGAAAGCAGTAAAGGGACCCGAGCGTGCGCGCCTCTCGTTGGCAAAGAGAATGTGCACACGATACCAAGCATCACTGTTACACTTCCAAATATTTCGCGATATCATCACTTTGGTTGGCGCTGGTGGTCTCCGTGCAAGTGCTCCCAGAGCGGTCCCAATCTGCACCACTGACTCTTGTCCCGCACCCTTGAGATTGCACCAACATTCTATTACAACTGAGGGAGTAAGAAAGACATCAAGATGAAAGCAACTCCTTCATGAGTTGAATGCACCTCTCGTTTTCCTGTTCAGTTCCCACCGTGATCCTAAGGCAACCTTCGCAGCCCAACTCTGAGCTCCTGTTCCTGACCACGAGGCCCTTTTGCTCTGCCATGATCTTGTAAACCATTCCTGCTCTCTTGCTGTCCGGCTTGCCACCTTGCTGGTCCAAAATCTGCACCAGCACAAAGTTTGCCTCGTTGGCTCCCAGTATCTGGCCAACGCTGGGGATGCTCTGCAAAGAGGAAATGAGAGCATCTCGGTTGGAAAGCAGTTGACGAACGGTGGAGCGCATTTGAGTCAGACCAGCTTCGGAGAGAGCCAAGGATGCTAGGTGCGCTGTGGGTGCGGAAATGTTGTAGGGTGCTTTGGTGTTGTTGAGGATTTGTATGAGGGCTGGAGAAGAGTAACAGATGCCCAGCCTGGCAAGAGCGAGGAGCGGATATGCCCAGGGCGTCAGAGACCCTCGACGCACCGCGATCCGATGTCACTTCACGGTGCACGAGCTGCTATGGCAAGCATGCCGACTACTCACCGAATGGCAGCAAGACCAAAAGCCTTGCTCAGAGTTTGCGTCACTACCAGATTCTTGTATTCTTTCAACAGAGACACGGCCGAAGCGTCCACCGACCTCCTGCCCGACCTCAGCTCCTCCTCTGCAAAGTCAATGTATGCTTCGTCAACGACCACCAAGCCGTTCCAGTCTTGATAATCGAGGATGCGTCGGATGGAGTCCAGGGAGAGAAGCGTGCCAGTCGGATTTCCGGGCGAGCAAAGGAAGATCAACTTGATCTGCGGTGAGGCGGACAGGGTGGACAGGATCTGCGGGCAAGGCGCGAAAGCGGGCGCAAGAGGAGAAGACCGTACCAAATTAAGTCGTCGGATGTACTGCACGTGTGCTGTGCTAAGCAAGCCGGGCCACGCGAACTCACATTGTCCACATCTAGACTGAATTTGCCGCCCTCGACATTCAGAGGAACCTTGATGACATCCAGGTCATTCACCGCAGCGCACACACTATACATGCCGTAGGTTGGTGGGCATATCAAGATGGCGTCCTGACCAGGTTTAGCAGCGACTCTTTGCAGAAGATCCAGCACCTCGTCTGAGCCGACGCCGAGCATCACGTAGCTTTCATCTGGAAGCTGACGGAGGGAAGCGAGGGTGGGCTTGATGTCGTAAAGACTGGGATCTGGGTATCGGTGAAGTTGCAGCGGATCGTCCTTGGGCAAAGTGCCACTTCCAGGCACCGACACGCTGGTGGCCCCGTTCGCACCCGCATTGTCGTGACTTGCTTGAAAAGCGGGAAAAGAGCTTCCTTGAGGTAAAGAGTGACCCAGAGAGTTCTCGTTGGCATCCAACAGTATGCCATCTTGATAGTCGTCCCTTGCGCACCTGTATGGCGCCAGACTCAGAATGTTGGGCCGGATCACTCTGGAAAGGTCAAAGTGGGCAGGCTTGAGCGAAGAGACCGCGGCGATTTGAGAGTTGCTCAGGCCTGGTACCAAGCCTTCCTTTGCGGGTCCCGCACTGGAGGGCGCGGCGGACGGTGACATGATGGGCAAAGGGAATAAAGCGGTGTCTGAATGATTGTCGAGGAGGTGTGTTAGGCTGTTGCAGTAGACAAGCTGGCGGATGGTAGTGGACGATGATGGAATGCCCGGTCCCTACTGCACGCATGGATGATCGACCTCGATGCACAATCACAATCCTGAATCATATTCACCATGAATCGAGTCACTTTCGACCAGCAGCAGCAGCAGCAGCCACGATCCAGGAAGGAAGCCAGCGGCTGCATGAATCAATTTGGCAGTCACGAGCAGCCCGCGTTATCGCCGTGCAGGAAGAAATGATCACGTGAAAGATTCGGCCACCTGATGCGCGATGAGCTTATATAAATCTTCCCCACCTGCATGAGGCTCAACCGCGCGGGCCCGAAGAGAAGGCAAGACGAGTCACCGAGGAGCAGGCATGCGTGCAGCAGCAGCAGCAGCAGCAGCAGCAGCAGCAGGAGAGCGGCGGTACTGCATGTTCCAAGTCACCAACCAGACTTCTCTCGTCATCGCCGCTTCTTCCATCAGCAAGCATCATTGACGGATTCTCAGGCAAATTTGCAACACCCACTACCATCTCTGAGCAGGCATCACGCGAGGAGCGAAAAGCCATTGACGCCTCTCACGTCGTCACTCCACATCCTCCCCGTAGCTTGATCACCCTGAAAGACCTGCCTTGGGTCAGATCAGCACTAGCACCATGACCGACGCCATCAAGGCGACGTTTACCGCCAAAGCAGCCAAGGTGAGCGGTGAAAGATGCAGTGCAGCTTGCGGATGGCGGTGATGAAGCGTGAGCGCCAGTCTTGGGTCGCTTTGCTGACAGGCTTACCAACCGCCGCCCCTGCTCCATTCCCACGCGACCTCAGAACGAAGCAGTTTTCGTCTCGTTTGTCACTGCGGGTTTTCCAGCCAAGCAAGACACTGTGGATGTTCTGCTCGGTCTGGAAGCTGGTGGGGCGGACATCATCGAGCTCGGAGTCCCCTTCTCCGATCCTCAAGCAGATGGCCCTGCCATTCAACGCAGCAACGAGGTGCGTGTGTAAGCCGCGCAATACGTCGCTCCAGGCTCGCTCACAATATTCGGCTCTTTCCGACAATTCCCCCCCCCCCCCCCCAACAGGTCGCCCTCGAGCAAGGCGTGGACTACAAGACTTGCTTGTCTTATGTGGAACAAGCTCGTTCTAGAGGCCTTAAAGCGCCAGTCTTACTGATGGGATACTACAACCCGCTCTTGGCACATGGAGAAGAAAAGGCGGTTCAAGATGCGAAAGTGGCAGGCGCGAATGGTTTCATCGTGGTCGATCTGCCTCCCGAAGAGGCGGAGGACTTCAGAGGATTTTGCACTGCAGATGGGTGAGTCTCGCGGCTGGTACACTTCCCGAGTCGCCAGATTTTGTGCGACTGTGCTTTGGTCACGATGGGTACATTACGTTACTTTGCTCTCCACTCACGCTTCGTGACTGCTCTTAAGTCTCTCATACGTGCCGCTCATTGCGCCTTCAACCTCGGACAAGCGCATTCAGCACCTGTCCAAGCTTGCCGATTCCTTCATCTACGTCGTCTCCAAGATGGGAACAACGGGCGTGTCCAACACAGTCTCTGAGAGTCTTCCTTCCATGCTGGAGCGTATTCGCAGCATCACCGATGTTCCATTGGCGGTCGGCTTTGGAGTAGCGACGAGAGAGCATTTCGTGCAGGTTGGCGAGCACGCCGATGGAGTCGTCATTGGTTCCAGGCTGGTCGCTGTGCTCCGAGATGCTCAGCCAGCTACGACGGAAGCGCGTGTAGCAGCAGCTCGTGCCTACTGCGAGGAGATCACGGGCAAGGCAGAGGGAGGAATCAAGCGACAAAATGAAAGAAAGCCGATCAAGATTTCGGACGCGATCAATCAGCCTGACGGAGTCAAACCTCCAAAAGTGGACGCGGTTGTGGATGGCGATAGACCGCCGGTGCCAGGTTTAGACCCAACTGTCGATCCCGTTTCTGGACAACTTCGGCCACCTCGGTTCGGCAAATTCGGAGGACAATACGTGCCGGAAGCTCTGTTCGATGCTCACGCCGAATTGGAAAAGGCGTACCTGGATTGCATCAACGATCCATCCTTCTGGAAAGAATTTGAGAGTCACTACGAGTACATTGGCAGACCTTCAGAGCTTTACCTTGCGGAGAGGATGACCGAAGCTGCAGGAGGTGCGCGAATCTGGCTCAAACGAGAAGATCTCAACCACACGGGAAGTCACAAGATCAACAATGCGATGGGGCAAATTTTGGTAGCGAGAAGGTTGGGCAAGACGAGAATCATCGCCGAGACTGGGGCTGGGCAGCACGGCGTGGCTACAGCCACGGCCTGCGCCCGCTTCGGCATGGAATGCGTCGTATACATGGGAGCCGAAGACGTGAGGCGACAAAGTCTGAATGCGTTTAGGATGAAGATGCTCGGTGCCAAGGTTGTGGCTGTGGAGAGCGGCAGCAAGACGTTGAAGGATGCGATCAATGAAGCGAATAGAGACTGGGTCACCAATCTACACAACACGCATTATCTCGTCGGATCAGCCATTGGACCGCATCCGTTCCCTAGCTTGGTCAGAGACTTCCAATCCATCATCGGAAAAGAAGTCAAGCAGCAATTGAAGGAGAAAAAAAACAAGTTGCCGGACGCTGTGATCGCTTGCGTTGGAGGTGGAAGCAATGCCATCGGCATTTTCCACCCTTTCATCAACGACCCCACAGTCAGGCTCATTGGAGTAGAGGCCGGCGGCGATGGTGAGCCTGCACGCCTTTTGCTTGCTTGGGCCCAAGTGTACCATGCCTGACATATTCGCACCATCTTCCCTTCTCCTTTGCCAGGCATCGAAACGAATAGGCACTCGGCCACCTTGTCAAAGGGCACGCCGGGTGTGCTGCACGGTGTACGCACCTATCTTCTTCAAGCTCCCGATGGTCAAATTACAGAGACGCACTCTATTTCTGCCGGGCTCGATTATCCAGGTGTGAGTGATCGAGCAGCTTTCACGTGATTTCGTTTGCCGATGCGACGTGCATTGGTGCTGCATGGTGCTCATACTACATCTCTCCCACAACCCTCTCAGGTCGGACCTGAGCACGCCTGGTTGAAGGACTCTGGAAGGGCAGAATACATCGCTGCAACGGACGAAGAGGCACTTCAAGGTTTCAGATTGCTGGCTCAGCTCGTAAGTGTCACATGCCGACTCGCGAAGCGCACCGCACGAAACAGATTCCCATACCCGTCCAAGTCACCTGACGCTGATCAAGCACTGCTTGCTCTGGCCACTTGACGCGCTCAGGAGGGTATTCTGCCCGCTCTCGAAACTTCTCATGCGCTCATCAAGGCTTTCGACCTGGCCAAAAGGTTTGGAAAGGACGACGATATCGTCGTTTCCCTCTCCGGCCGCGGTGACAAAGATGTCGCCGAGCTCGCCAATCTGCTGCAGACCGGATGGAGCGAGAGGCTCAATTGGAAGATCGCCTAGACTTGACCGGATGAGCATTTTGTAGCTTCGACAGGATAGAGCTCCAAAATTTTAACATGCGAGAGGCTGTTGCTAAGTAGGCAAGGGCAGGGTTGCAATTCATGAAGAGTGTCATCGACGATGCATCCCTCTGCGTCGCGAATGTGAGAATTACGCGTGGGCGCTGGTGCACCAATCCGTGATGTGCAGGTAACCTCTTGCGGTAGCAAAGATGGTGATGCCAAGACTCTCAGCATAAGCAGCCTCGGTCAGGATGTCGGCTCTTTTGATACCATGTTGATGAGCAGGTGCATTGGACGTGAACGTCGACGTCGACACCGCTGCTTGTTCAGACTCGGCTGCGTTCGTGTCGATCTGCAAGCCCGACTTGGAAGCCGAGCCGGAATCTTCTGGAGGAGCTTCGAACATTCTCATCGTCGAGCCGCCCACTGCTGGACGTTGCCTGCCTCTGAGACCTGCGAGAGCAGAAGACAAATTGGAGGATGATGTGGGACCGGCCGATGCGCTGGGCGTGCTGGGCTCTTCCGATTCGGTGTCCACCGACAGATTTGTCGACGTCGGACTTGGCAATGGAGCGCTGCCAGCTGCGCTGGGTAGCCGTTCTGCACCAGTGGCACCTCTTCTCATTCCAGCTTGCCAAGGCAGCGAGCTCTTGTCGGCCAAGCCTTCAAACGGACTTATGATGGCCATGTCGGACCGATCAGTGTGGTAGAGGCGTACACAGCACAAAGGTGGCACGCCGCCGAGACTGGAGTGAAAGATAGCCCTATCGCCAGATTGACCGAGGGCTAGTCCTATGGGGCGTTCATTAACCACTTCTCTCCGCCCCACGCGGACTGGCTCTGAAATGTAAGGCAATCGCATCTCCCAATCCGACGTACTTTCTTTTGGAAGCGAGAACTGCCAATGGGAGACGCCAGTCATGTCGCCGAGCATCAAGCTGAGGCGCCGGTCCTGCCCAGGCCTCTTGCTTCTCGCCAGTCGGCCGGCGACGCCATCGTCAGGCTCCGAGAAGCCGAGCCCCAGCATCGGTGTCAACCCGTCGCCGAGCGAGAACCTGGACAACATTTGAGGCTCGGGGTCGGATTCTCGCCCTTGCTCCACTGCCACATCCTTGCTGCTTCGTGAGGTAGAGTGAGGGCCACTGCGTACCGGTGCGAACGACTCGAGCGAATCGCTCGTCGCGCCATCATTCCTGTCCGCTTGCAGGATGGATTGTGTCGACAGCGGCATGTGCTGTCGCATTTCACCTGCGGTCTCTGGAAGCGGAAGCGTCCACCATTCTAGTTCGCCTGTCCGAGTGACCAGCAGCAAGCAAGGAAAGGTGCCATCATCTCGCTTGCCGAGTTCCAGCCGGAGGACAGCGACGCTTTTCCGCTCTGGTCTTTCGATCACATGCTTCCATTCTTTGGCCTTGTCCGCAGTAGCTATCTTTGGCGACGTAGATGAGGAGGGATCGATGCCAGTCTGCCAAAGGTGTACCAGGCCGGTGTAGGTGCCGACTGCAATGAGTGACCCTCGAAGCACAAGGCATTGGACGCCGCACCACGCGCTCGGAGAAAGGGTAGAGACCAGCGTGGCATCACGAGCGCAGCCACGCCTTTCCCGAGATGTCTCTGACGCTGCTTCCTCTTCCTCCTCCGGAAGCTCCAGCTCGTATAACGTCACAGCTGCGTCACTCTATTGGCAGATGTCGTTCAGAGCGTCAGCATCCTCATTTAAATATTGCGCAACGAAAGCAGCAGCCACTCACGTAATAGCTACCGCACGCTATTCGCAGCTTTGTGCGCTCTCCCTGCCCAGTCCCATCTCGGAAGGTATGCACGAGTTCAGCGTCCAGGGCCGTCACGTCAGCAGCGGTGCATATGCTGCATACAAGATACTCCCTTCCAGCAAGCCTCGCGTGCGACTCTAGAGCGCCGTTTGCGCTGCCACCTGCCCTTCTCCGAGGGGTAAGTAGAGGTAGAGGATCACCCCCGAATACCGGGGGCTTGGAGTGTACTGGCGTTGTCGAACCGGTCCTCTGAGACTCCAAGCTCATCAAGTCTAGCTGGTCGCTAAGCGAGGCCGGCGACTCAGCGGCGGCATCTGATGGCGGCCCGGGGCTGATACTATCCTCCCTGGCCTTCATCCTACACTTGCCTTGCTCTTCTTCAATCATCCGACCGATGTCCCAAACCCTGACCCAGCCATCGATGGCACCAGTGATAAGCCAAGCTTGTCTGCGGTACCTGCCACGAATGCCCTCGACCGTGTAGGAGGCGCTCGAGGCCTCATGGGGTGTCTCGCATGTTCGCCTTCTCTTCCGAGCTCTTCGACTTGGTCCTGCCACAAGCTTGAGACAAGTGATGCGATCGGCATGAGCTCTGAGAGAGTAGTTCCAAGGAATTCTGCGCGCGTCGGGGGTGTTGGAAAGCCCGTACAGAGCGCACCATTCCAGCTCTTCTGCGCTTTCGCTATGTTTGATCTCAGAATTTCGAGGCAGACTTGGCAGAGTGGTGCCGCTGGAGTGAGCAGCTTCGATCACCCTGCGCCAGAGGGGAGCCTGTGTGCTGATTGCTTGGAGTGATCGGCATGTACAACGCAGCGTCAGCAGTGCTCGTGCGCATTGCGGAAAGGGAAGATGGGAAAGGATCTTCTCAAAAATCTCCAGTGGCAAAGTACACAGTTTGCCTTCTGTGACGTGCGCGTCCTTCCTTCTGGCTGGATTCGCGGAATGCGGTGATGTTTCAGCCGCTAGCGCTTCTCCGACGATGGTCTCCATCGCTGCCTCTATCTGCGGTGCAGGAACCGGCGGTACAGGCTTATGCTCAGCAAGCATGCCGCATCTCGCCTTGTTTCGTAGTCCTTAGCCCGGAGAGTAGGCGCGGGAAGCTTCGGAGGAGGGTTGGCACAGCAGATACTTGAACTGGTTGATGACAGGCTCTGCTCTCCTGATTCTCGTTCGCATTTGACAACGCTGAGTAGAGTCGACAGCCAAGATTCACGTTGGGACGACAGTCGTGAGTTAAAGAGTCTAAGTCCACCCATCCGTGCAGCCAAACAAAGCCACACAGCTATTCGTGATTCTGATTTTAAAAGCCTGTCGAACTCGCGGTCATGCGCGCCTACAGCCGCATCAGACCATAATCACAATTCACGACATTCTTGAGTTCCCACACGTTCATCAAGATGAGATTCACGATTCAAATTCATTTTGATTTCAATTCAAGATTCAAGATATTGAGGGTTCCACCCCATCGGGCTGATCACGTGCGACCCAATGGCGCGCGGCCCGTGCGCCCGCCCTCCACTAGCTCATCGGCATTCGCCGCCGACGTGCGCTTAGCCAAACCACATCAAACGGCGTTACCGCGCCTGTGGAGGGTGACACGCCACCTGCGAGCCGCTCGGCACAAGGGATGTCAATCACCCAAGGCGACCACCACCATCCCACACAGCGCACTTCCCAATTTACGCCGCCACCATTCCGAGCACCTCTCATCTTACCAGTCCGACGCCCGCTCGAGGTGCGCATACAGCCCGATCTAGACAGCTATCGGCCGCTTCGGTGATCCTAGCTGCATTCATAGCTCTCGCAGCTTTGCCCATGTTCTCTCGCATTTTTGGCGCTTTCAAACCTTTGCCTCCTCCAACGATCGTGGGCCCTGCCACTCAGCCAACCACGTCTTTTGCCATCGCTGCTCAATCGGCCAGAAGCATGTCTACCAACGGGAACGCCATCGAGAAAGGTACCTTTGCCAGCGGATGCTTCTGGGGCACTGAACAGTGAGTGGGGACTGTATGCACGACCATTTCGCCCACTCGACTGTATGCTGAATGGCCCATCTTCGCGTAATTGTGCGGTGCAGCATCTTTGTAAGTGTAGACCTGAGCTCCAATCACGGCTGTGCGCTTGGCTGACCTCCTTCCCTACATCGCCACTCTTCGCCACTCTTCAATTACAGCGGGAGCACTATAAAGGCAAAGGGCTGATCGATGCCAAGGTCGGATTCATCGGTGGCAAAGAGTCTTCCAAAAACCCAAGCTACGAGGAAGTGTGCACTGGCCGAACAGGTCATGCAGAAGCAGCGCAAGTGACTTTTGATCCCAGCAAGGTATCCTACGCCGAGCTCGTCGAATTCTTCTATCGCACGCACGACCCCACGCAGCTCAACGCTCAAGGCAACGACAGAGGCACTCAGTACAGGAGCGCCATCTTTGCTCATTCTCCCGAGCAACTGGAGGCGATAAAAAAGGTGACGAATGAAGTGCAGGAAAAGCACTTTACGCCAAAGGGAAAGAAGATTGTCACGCAGGTCGAGGAGAGGCCGGCTGGTGACTTTTTCGAGGCCGACGAGCATCATCAAGAGTACTTGCACAAGAACCCCTGGGGTGAGTAGCGGCACGTCGGCTTAAAGTTGATTATCGAGGTGGGCAAAGACGCTGACTCGCATCTTGGCTCCTGTCTCTGGTAGGCTACCAATGCGGCACGCACCGCTTGTGGTGGTGATGCTGTACCAAACTCGCGCTGAATACTGCGCCAATCCGATGAATCCATTCGGAGAAGCCATTGTGGCAGCAATGTGATGCGCAATACAGCTCAGTGAAGGCCTGCACGCGGTCTCTTTGCGACCAGAACAAGGAGTGATTGACCTGTCTGTCTGCAAGCGATTCACGATTGTTTGGTCTGCGTACCTGTTATTTGAGATCCAATATTGACAAGACCTGCGCCGAATTGCACCATCTTGATCTCTGCGATGGCTCATGCCATCTGCACTCACGATTCTCCAAATCTTCGCGCGGTGGTTAAGGATGGCGAGTCCACCGCCTAAACGAAGTACGTGAAGCTTTGCTGCTGGCTGCCAGCAACGAATTCGGTCACGCCGTTCCTCCCAAGCAGATGGGATCGTCCGTGCGCTGCCGCGTTCGCAACCATGCTGCTTGTCCATTGCGTCGAACGGTTTGTGCCCAAGCTCTATAATAAGCAGAAAGTCTGCGTGTCTGACAAGCCAGGGCGGCGGTCGGTCACCGTCACGGTGACATGCAGCAAACGCTGCCCCCCCGCTGCACTTGCTGCACGCCATGATTTTCCTCACCAGACACGCCTGTGACTCCTTGGGTCTGCGCTGCGCTACCGCATTCATTCGCACACTGTGACTCCTACTCGCCTCCTCCACGACCACGGCTCCGGGAGCGCACGAGCGCTCGCGCGTTTTGTGCTGCATGCTGCATATGCATTGTGCGCTTGCACGCTCGCGTGAGAGACTTCCAGCATTCTGGGTCCCAAGGGGAAACATACGAGTGCCGCTGGTGGTGGAGAATACACGTTGTGCTGTGGCACTGAGGTGCGGTCTTTCAAGTGCTGTAGCTGCTGCATAGGACATCGAGCCTCAAACAATCAAAATGCGTGCGCAAATGCGTGCAATCATCGATCAAATTTGGAATCCAAAACCTCAAGTCTCTTCACGACCGTCAGCAGCATTCGTGATTGCAAGTTGATCTGCTGCAAATGCGGATTGTTATTCTTGATTATTGGTTGTACAGTGCGAGGCCGTGCGCGTCAGCGAGCGAGGAGCAAGATCCGTGCGTCGGAGATCTCTTCAAAGCGGTTGAACTTTCATTTCAAGTTGAGCCGACGCGTTGTAACGTGCGACTTGTAGTCTGGCTGACCAACGCGCGCGCGCGCCCGCGCCACGCGCTTGCGCAGCTTATATAGGTGATTATTGACGTTGACGATTGTCGAAAATATCGCATCCGCACCCGAGCGCACGCGCCCTGCATGCATGCAGCATGCAGCAGCTTGCGCGTTTTTTTGCTCCTTTTGGCTGCGCGCCCAGCTAGTATACCGTAGTGGTGTATAGTGAATCAAGTGCGCGGCGCGGGCGGTGATGTGTGGTTCGTGCTGCGTGCTGCGTTTGAACCTCACGCTGGCTGACCGACGGGTCGCATGCGCGGCTAGTTGATGCTATGGACTATTTGCTCCCATCATCCTGACGTCCAAAGCTTGGCTTGTCACCTCTACTCCCAACGAGGGTGAGCAGGGCTGCGACGCCGCTCCTGGATTCCAGCTGATGACAAGTGTTGCGAGCATTCATCCACCGCTGACCACTTACACTGCTAGACATCCACGCGAACTACCGACACGGTGGAGGGACCACTGAGTGACCTTGAACTTCTGCTACACTTCATCTTGCAAGCGTTCATTCACACGCGCAGTCGGTCGCTCCTCTCTCTCAGCTCACTATTGACGACATCGATACCACAATACTCTGGCTCATCCTCATAATTTCAGCGCCAAGTCGAGAGCAATTCACCATCTCAGCCATTGCACGAGACATCCGTGCGGTTGCCGTATTTGCGAGTGAGTACCCGCTCTCATCCCACCTTTGGCTCTGTTCGCTACAGACTCCCTACAACTCGGCCGAAGCAGAGGAAGCAGCCATGCCGCTGCGTTTGTGCTGAATCTTCAATGTGTGCTCACCCGTTCTCGCTTGCGCACGTCAACGCAGCTCCTCAGTCTAGCGCTGCTCCCGCCCAAGCTTTCCGGTCAGAAAGCGCATTCAACGATGCCTCGTTGGGGCGACTCGCCGACCACACAACCACAATCACAAGGGCAACCGGCATCGCTGTCCCCCTCGCAATCGTCTTCGGGCTCCTTTGATTCCCCAGCATACTATTCTTCACCCAGCTCGTCTCAAGTAGGTGGCAGACGAGGTGGCGGCTCTTCAGCGGCTTCTAGCAATAACACTAGCCCGCCAATTGCCACAAGCTCCGACACAACCTTACCTTTTCTCCACCACTCTAGCACTCACAACCTCGCTCAAGCAGCAAAGGCTCTTTCGGCTAGCGGGGCGGTCGCAGGGTCAGCGAATCAGCAGGAAGCTCGGTCAGCATTGCGCTTGGCAGCAGGCGCCACTGCCGGCACTCGGACGCATAGCGCTGCAACTCCTTCTCGCAGACTCTCTCCTAACGTCATGGCATCCAGTCACCCCAGTGCCTCTGTCGCATACGATTCTTCGGTAAACTCCGGCGCGGCACACTCTGGGGTAGCTTTCGTCAGAGGCGACCACGCTGTAGGCAGTGCGCCGATCGAGCGCTCGCCTCGATCAGGCTACTCAAGGTCTCCTCCCGAAAGCCGCATGAATGAAATGTCTCAAGGGCCTGGAACAGAGGATCGGACACGGTCGCGAAGTGGCAATGGACCTGCTTCCAAAACTCGGAGGACCACTAGTCCGCTGCAACAGACTTCGTGGGCCGAGCCAGGTCCTTCTCACCAGCAAGATTGGGATGCGCGGGCCGACAGTCTGGAACGGGCGCCTGGCACCTCGACTGCGGCTCAAGCAGCCTCCACGGTGTCTCCGCGCATGAACATTCGCAACTCACCTAGACGCACGGAAGCGGTCCCGGATGCGATTGCGACGGAGGCTTTGCACTTGGCGCAGACTAGCCCACAGTACACCGCAAAGACGCGAAGAAGTAGCATGATCAGGGAGTTGCAAGGTCAATCTTTACCTGGGGGCGGGCCTGCACAGCACTTGGACCTCGCGACGTTTCCGCCACAGGACTTATTGCGCGTGCTCGCTGCACTGCTCAACCAGATCGCGACTGCTAACGACGAGCTGAAACCTGGCGGTACGGGCGCTGACCGGCGGAAAGAATCGAGGTCGAGGGGGGGCAGCAGAAGACAGGACGGCGTAGACCCGGGTGCGGGAGGCGATGGGATGGCAGTCAGTGCGCAGAATGGTGCTTCTCCAGCGCCCTCCACGGGCGCCTCTTCCACAACTGCCCGTGATACGAGGCACGACTTGGCAACCCCGGAAGGTTTGGACATCAGGTCAGGAAGTGCGGATAGCCAAGGCAAAGGAAGCTGGCCGCCGATTACGACCGCAGCACTGGGTGCATTGGGCACTCAGAGCAGCACACTTTGCTTTCATGCACGCAATGTGCCGAGCATCAGCATCGAGTCGTACTTGTTGCGCATCCTCAAGTACTGCCCGACCACCAACGACGTTTTTCTCTCGCTTTTGGTCTACTTTGATCGGATGAGCAGAATGGGATTGGGCGCTGCGCCCGGATCTAGTGGCTCGGGAAGTCCGGCGGGCCAAGCAGCTGGTTTGCCAGCCTTGGATGGCGAAGAAGTCTCGAGCGGTAGTAGCGCCTTGGCTAGAGATAATCCAGGATTTGCCAGTGCGCTTGCAGAACCTCATCCTGGGATGAAAGGCTTCGCAATCGATAGCTATAACGTCCATCGTCTAGTCATTGCGGGCGTAACGGTGGCCAGCAAATTCTTCTCTGATGTATTCTACACCAATTCTCGGTACGCCAAGGTCAGTTGGGGAGACCTTTTGAGATCCACAGAGATGATTGTCCGAGGTGCGATATCAAAACGCTTACGCCGTCTTTGACTTTCAATGTCCCGCACAGGTGGGGGGTTTGCCCGTGCACGAGCTCAATCAGCTTGAGCTGCAATTTCTGTTGCTAAACGACTTCCACTTGGTCATACCTTTGGACGAGATGCAGCGTTATGCTAACCAGCTGCTGGTGTACGGCTCGGGACAGTGGAGCCCTTCGCGCGTTCGGGAGCTGGCCCCGCCAGAGCAACGTGCTGTGCAGGTTGAAGAGCCTCGCAGCGCAACTTCGCCGCAGAATACAGGCAGCGCTGCAATGTCGACTTCCCAATGAGCTGGCACGCGTCGCACTTCGGATGTCATTTCTTTCGACAGCAAAGGGCATTTCTCACGTCGCGCAATGGGCAGCTCTCTGACTAAACTCCTTTTGGCCTTTGCTCAACTCACGCAAGCCGAAGTTTTTTTGATCACATTCTTACCCAATTTCCCCTCTCGTCATGCGCTTCCTGTACTGTATGGACGGAGTTCGATAGATCTGCCAACGCATCTTTGACTGCGCTTCCTTGAGATGAATACGCACAACGACGCAGTAAGGCTTCGCTCGTTTGCAAGTGACAATACGGTCGTCGTGCATCAACATGGGCCAGAGTCTCAAGGGTGTCTTGACGGCTGATGAGTTTCAGAACGGGTTTGCAATGCGCAGCAGCCTTTGCGTACTTTCAAGAGGCATCAAGAGCGCAAGCGCGAGGTCAGAGTCGTGGGCTGGTCTGAACGACGAGAGCAGCTGATCACGAATGCAGCAAACGAGCAAGCAGCAGGCAACTTGCGACCAATCCAGGCAAAAGAAAGGTGGTTATGCATTGGAACCGTTTGCGCTCTTTGATGTGTGTTGAGGCGCGTGCAGCCGTCGTTCCTTCGCTACAATGTGTGCACGCAGCTACTTCCCTGGCTGAACAGATGCGCTCTCGTATGCGCTCTCGTATAGTGCGTACCATGTGAAGCGCCTGTATTCGATATTCACTTTTTTTTCCCACCTCCCGCTGCGTCGCCTGACCGGCTGTCTGTCCGGCTAGCTGGTCTCCTGAACGACACCGACCTGCGCAGGTCTAAGTACCCTCCCCTTGATCTTGAATCCCACCTTTGAGCATTCCAGAACCGTGCCGGGTGTCTTGCCGGGCACGGGAGCCTGGTACATGGCCTCGTGCAAAGCCGGATCGAACTTTTCGCCCGTAGGATCAAAGACGGTCACACCATGCCTACCGAGCATATCGGTGATGCTCTTGGAAGTCAACTCGACACCGCTGTAAAGCTCAGCTAGAGCTTTGCGAGGATCTTGAGCGTCTTTGACCTCCGATGGCGCTTGACGCAACGCTTCGGGCACGGATCGCAAGGCGAGGGCCAAGACGTCTAGCGATGCAGTCAAGTCCCGCGCGAACTTGGTAATGGCGAAGTCTGATGCTTGAGCCTTTTCTTCTGCCGATCTTCTTTGCAGATTCTGCATGTCCGCTTTACCGTACAGCAATTGATCCTATGTGTCAAAAGTGGCGGATGGGGGCACGTACGTCAGCGCATACAGTGACGAGCGGAGAGAGTGTGTGCTCTCTCTGGAGGATGTGGGATCTTGGACAACTCACAGTCAGCTCCTTGATCTTTGCCTCCCTTTCCGCCAATTTGGTCTCCGCCTCTGATTTTCCAGCAGCCGATCCTTTACCCGTACTCTGCGCTTCTCCAGTCTCTTTCAGTCCCAATCCCTTACCGAAAGCTGCCTCTTTCGTCTCTGCAGATTCCTCTGCTGGCGTCGCGCCACTCGCGTCGTCCTTTGCGGCTCGAATTAGACGGCTTGTGCTGAAAGCGGAGATGGATGAGATGGGTGCGAGAGGAGAGGGAATTCGTTGAGAGCGCAGAGGCGGTGTGATACTTGTACTGAGTCGACTGGTGGATGCTGCGCTGCTCAGCACTTGACGTGCGCTGTGGCGAAGAGCGGACATGATCGCGTTGGTTGTTGCTTTGCGTGCAAGCCTGCAGACAGATGGTGTGAATGTTGGACTGTGTCGAAGAGCGTCTAGTGAGATGAGCCGAGGCTGTTGAAGATGTGATCTTGACAAACAGCGACTGTGAGTGAGCTCCTTTGACGTCGTGTGGTTGGGTGCTGACGGACCAAAACGCGAGAATGGCGACGATTAGTCAAGAGGGATGCCAAATCGAACCCTTGGTGCAGAGCAAGCACATGAGAAGAGTCACGAGTCAAAAAAGTCGACTCGTCGAGTCAAGTGACGTTCATGGAAGCTCGCGTGTTCGTCGGGCGTCGGACGCGCCAATGCATACGTGCGTGCGACGCAGCAGATCGTGCGACTCAAGAGTCTGAGTCACGAGTCAAGACTCGATCGATTGCAACTCCACTTTGACGCTCGGCCACGTGGCGTGGGACACGAAAGCGGCTGATTTTCTTCATGATTCGCCCTTTCTTCGAAGGTCGACAATCTGAATCACAATCGTGGATCACGGATTATCCCGACGCACTCGCGCTCAAGACTCGCGACTCGCGACTGCTCACGCCTCGCTGTCAACGGTGAGTAGCAGCAGTTGTGAGTCACGAGTGGTCCCCAGCCCCACCTTTGATTGGTGCAAGGGCAGCAGGTCGACCGTGGGAAGCACACACGTACATACGTCGCACAGTCGACCTGCTGCCTTTCCATCCATCCATCCATCCATCCATCCATCCACCCACACTCACACACCTCTGAACAGAGGTTGCCGGCTCGTCGCAGATTCGAGTGCTTGATCAGCCCCCATCTCAGGGATCCTTTCAAGTCCTGCCCATCCACACTTCATGTTCTGTAGCATTCGTGCCTCGTGATCCATTCAGACCCGCGAGTGTGGCTGTTGTAAGCGATGGAATGCGCCTTTCGCTGCGAAGTTGATCTATATTTTATTTTCATGCTTGCTTGGCTACCATTCGCCTATTCACATGCGTGTATGCGCAAGCTTGGCTCGCCGTGGAGGCGGGCATGAAATCACGAATGGGGATGCAGCGTCGCTCGTTCGCATTCAAGCGGATCGCCATTCAAGATTCGTCATTCAGATTATTAATTCGTGTCTTCCTGCTGATTATTCACAATTTCTGCTTTCGATTTCTTTTTTTGGCGCAAAGAGGAATAAGCTCAGAGCACAAATCGCGATTCGATCATCCACGGCCGCGCGTTGGTACAAGCGTGCACGCACACACGCACACACGCACACACGCACGCACGCACGCCCATGACGAGTTGCGGTCGTGTGCTTCGCGATCGACTTGTGTGACCCCGCTGCTCGTCTCCGCTGCTCCCCCTCATTCATTCACATTCAACACCGGCCCAGGCGTGCCCCATTCTGTTGCCGTCTGTGGACGACGCTCGTGTCTTTACGCCGACGACGTCATTTCGAGCACAGCAGCAGAGCACGTTCCATACCGCGCAAAACACCACTTGACTCTCATCGTTCGTGACTTTACGAGCCTGCTATCATACCTTAGGGCATCCAAGCGGGGCATCACTCACTCCCGTGATAGCTCTGCAACGACGTCACTGCTCACCTAATCATCTCACCCGTTCGCCTCATGCCATCCGACTCCACATCACAGTCAGAGCAGGCTCACCAGCGCGGAAGCAGCAGCAAAGCCCACCAGCACCAGACTGTCGACTCGACGCTCAATGCACATACACTTCGTCCGCAATCTTCCTTCACGCAACATCAACCTCTTCAGCACACTCCTGAGTCCTCGGACTGCGCAACTCCGGACAGTCCCCGCACCTCTGCACGAAGACCTTGTCCATTGAGTCCAGGTCGGCCAGGTATCCCCTTTCGATCCGATTACAACCCTGACTTGGCATTGGCAGCGAATACGGCTCGTGCGAGCAGCAGCAGCGATCTGGCAGTGTTCAGCTCGGACGATCAGCTGGATTTGGTACCGCGCAGGAGTGGAGGTAGCAATTACAAGCGAGCCAGAACGGCGAGCCCTGCAACAACTGAAGAGTTGGAGGCAGAAGGAGAAACCGAAGCTGGTGCAGGATCCGATTTCGCAGATTCGGAAGGGAATAGCATTACGAGCGGTACGGCTGCTCGAACCAGACTACCAACCCCGCTTCGGGTCGGCTTCGCCAAGCAATCCATCGGCTCCTTTGCTCCTTCACCAGCATCTACTTCCCCGTTTCATTCCTCCACTAGAAGCTCCAATTTGGCGTCTCGCATGTCACCGGACGATCAACCTTCGCGCGCTCACCTTACCAGTCAGGACGTCGAAATGGCTGACGATCAAAGCGCACCCCTCGCAGCCCCAAGTGCACAACCTCGCAGCACACATCCGACCATTGAGGGTTCGCTTCCCACCTACACCGATGCCATGCAGCAAAGCGTCAGCTGTCACACTCCTGCAGAGCCCGGCACGCCAGCAGAAGGTACATGCGCGGAAGAGTTGAGGAAAATAAAAAAGTTGGTCGAAGAGCCCTTAGCGGAGGGTCAGAGATGGTATCTGATCGATGCTGCTTGGTGGGCTGCTTGGCAGGCATATTGCTCTGCAGAAAGCAGTGCACCCGCTCAGCCTCTAGGAGAAGCGATCGACTCGTCTCGTGCGAGCGCCAAGCCGGGTCCTATCTCTGCTCGCTCATTGATGGACATTGAGGAGGAATTGAAGCTGCAGCTCTTTGAGGGAAGCGATTTTGTGCTTTTGCCCGAGACTGCCTACGCATCTCTATCCACCTTGTGAGTGCAGTCTGCCGGTTAGCTCGCTCAATCTGCTCCTCACCGAACCCTGTTTCGAAATTGCGCAATCAGATATGGAGAAGCAGGACCGCAAGTCGTACGAGAAGTGATCAAAGGGGCTGCTTCAGAGCTGCGCATAGAGCTATACCCCCCGCGCCTGTACCTATATCGCCTCGCCACTCCGGCAACCTTGCAGAGCTCAGCTCGCCCGCCCGTCAAGATCACCTTGTCCGTGACGTCCAACGTCAGTCAGCTCAAATTTGCAGCAAAGCGAGCCTTCTTGAGCGAAAACTTGCCCGATCATGCTGTCCGCTTTTGGCGCATCCCTGCTAGTGCGTTCGGCAATGCGCAGACAACTGAGCCGGTGCTGGTCGATGCCGAGACATTGAAGACGCCAGGCGTGGAGCTAGTGCGCGCATCTGAAGACGCTCAGACTCGCACACGGCTCAGTCTAGCGGAGCTGCAACTGGACGAGCCTGTCATCCACCTCGCGGTCGAGTCGCAGTCGGAGCGAGGTGCCTGGCATTTCGGCGCAGACGGAGTTCCGGTGGCTGTTGCTCCTTCGGTCAAGAATATCTTTGCCCAACAGCCCAATCAGGATTACCTTTCGCAGAGATTCGGTCAGTTCTCTACTTCTGGTGCGGCTGCTGCATCCACAAGCAACACCTCTGCTCCGCCTGCGCCGCCTCCTCGACCTACGAGCTCAGCTGGGCGCGTAACTCGATCGCAGACGGCTCAAGACAGAGCAAATGCGGCGGGAATCGGCTCTTATGGTCTCACGGGTCTTTACAATCTGGGCAACACCTGCTTTATGGCATCGGCGCTGCAATGCATGTCCAACACGAAGGAGCTGAAGGAGTATTTTGTCCGAGGAGTGTACAAGGAAGAGATCAACACGGACAATCCCCTCGGCATGGGAGGTGCGGTAGCGCGAGCCTTTGGAGAATTATTGCTCAAACTGTGGTCCAGCTCTCGAGGATCTGCCGTCCACCCCCGCGAATTCAAACAAACATTGGCCAGATTTGCGCCGCAATTCTCTGGCTTTGCTCAGCAAGACACGCAGGAGCTGTTGGCCTTTTTGCTCGACGGGTTGCACGAAGATCTCAATAGAGTCAAGAAGAAGCCTTACATTGAGGCGCCAGATTGGGAAGGTGGAGATGAAAAGGCCATGATCGCTTTCGCAAAGAGACAGTGGGAGATATACAAGATGCGAAACGACTCGGTCATCGTGGACTTGTTCCAGGGTCAATACAAGAGCACGCTCGTCTGCCCAGAGTGCAGCAAGGTGCGTTGATTTGCGTGGTTTGCAAGCTTTTGATCCGCGTAGAGCGCTTTGTGCTGAGCTAGGCCGCATCCTTTTCCCCATCCCCCTTCCCAGGTCTCTATCAAGTTCGACCCGTTCATGTACCTAACCCTTCCCATTCCGAACCGGAAAAAGATTATCCGCAAAGTCTTTGTTCGGCCCTTCGCGAGCACTCGGCCGACGTATGAGGTGAGCTGGACAGTGGTGGTGACATGCTGCTTGTCCGGATTGTGCGCTCATACTCTTGTCTTTTCCATGATCTCTTCTTTCGATCAGGTCGAGGTTGCTGGTCCTGCAGAATTGACATTTGGCCAGACGAAAACAAAGCTGGCCGAATGGCTTGGCTTGGATACGAAGCGGGTGAGTTTGGTCTGGTCTGAGTCGTCCTGTATACTTGGGCAAGCTTGCTGAGAGAGCCAACCTGCGCTTGCTGCTCTTCCCCTTCCCTCTCCCCTTTCTTGGCCCCTCAGCTGTTCTGCGTGGACATTTTCAACCAGCAAATCTTCAACTTCATTCCGGACTACACACCACTGAGCAGCATCACAGATAACGACTTCATGACATTCTACGAGCTTGGGGCTGAATTCAAGCATCCGACGCGAGAGGCGCTCGAATCTGGTAATGCAGGTTGGAACAAAAGCAAGGAGGCGGGTCCGGCTCCGCAAGAAGAGTACGCCACCCTCCCCGTCTTTGGTGTAGCGTCCTCGAGCGGCAGGGCGAGATATCCAGATGCTGTGGGCTTGCCGCTCTTTGTCACCATCCCGAAAGCTCACGCGAACGACGCCGACTTCATTCGGGACGCAATCCTGGATCAGTATTGCACGTATGCCACACCAGAAGGAAGAGATACCTTGGAGGCTCACATGAGATCCTCGGGCAGCCGAGATGCTGTGACAGCGAAGCGCGATGCTGAAGAAGCCAGCCCTTCGGACTTGCATGAACAGCAAATGTCAAACGCAGAGCATGACGTTGTGCAGCATGTCGATCTTTCCTTGTCGCGACAAGACCCTCCAGATCAAGTGGCAGAGATTACTTCTGATGGAGTTAGGATGGTGCCTGATTCGTCGACAAGCGCTGAAGTCACACAGGCTTCAGACCAAGACGCACCCAATGCCCAGCGGCCCGCTCGGCGGCTCTTCAAGATGACGTTCTCAAATCGACTGGAGGACAATGCTCCGATGCCCAAGAAGCCTGGCAGTCTGGACGATGGCGAAGAGCTCGAGGCCCGAGCCAAGCGTCTCTCGGAGCGAGTGCCCACTGCCAGCGACGTTCCTTTGGAGGATGCAAGCGACGGAGGCGCGCCGTTCGCCAGTCGCAAGCCGGATCCGGAAAACGAAGTTGACAGGCAGGGGACCACTTGGCCCCTTGTGTACACAGGTGGAGCAATCGTGTGCTCATGGCCCGAAGCAGCATACCGCGCAGTCTTTGCGGGGGAAACGTCCAATCAAAAGGTCCCATGGGGACCTCACGAAACCTTCACGGACCCCAACCTCGTGGCGGAACGAGAGGCAGCTCGAGCCAACGGCGGTCCTTCAAAGCCCAAGTTGGTGACGATCGAAGACTGCCTCGATGAATTTACAAAGGAAGAAAAGCTGGGCGCAGAAGACCCGTGGTATTGCCCCTCGTGCAAAGACTTCCGCCAAGCCGCGAAGAAGTTCGACCTTTGGAAAGTCCCGGACATTCTGGTGGTGCACCTGAAACGATTTAGCGCAGGCCGAATGCAGTCTCGCGACAAGATTGAAAATCTCATTGACTTTCCCATCCAGGGTCTCGACCTCACCGAACGAGTAGAGGGCGCCATGTCGGTTCGCAATCTGGAGGCGCGGGGAGAAGAGGTGCCGAGCGTCATGAACATGGCGGAGAGCATCGAAAGCCTGGCTAGCGATGCCAATGACGATGCGGTCGCAGCCGACGCGCCCATATACGATCTCTACGCTGTCGACAATCACTTTGGTGGTCTGGGAGGTGGCCACTACACTGCCTACGCCAAGAATCCCGACGATGGTCAATGGCACTACTTCGACGATTCGAGCGTCACTCCTGTCGCAGACCCAGAGTCTGTCAAGACAAAAGCCGCATACTTGTTGTTCTATCGAAGACGGACCACCAGACCCATTGGCGGAAAGTCGCGCGAAAAGACCGAGATCGCTTCTAGTCGCGCGCAAAGCGAGGCGGTTGAGGAAGTCCATGCAGACGAAAACGATGACGCCCTTGTGAGCTCAACCCGGGCAGGTCCTAGCAGACAGCCACATAATTGGAGCGACAGCGATGACGAAATGTCTTACAACAACTCTACGCTGCCCTACAGTGGTCAGCAAGGCGGCTTCATGCGAAAATCTGAGCCCAGCACTCCATCACCTCCTGCGCCAGAGTACGAGCCGTGGTCTCAAGGCGGCGCAAATAGGTCTTGGGCTCGAGCGTTGGACAACGACACGTGGAGCAATGAGCCTGCATCGAGTCGGAACAGCTCGCCCGCGTCTCCGAGCGCCGATTGGGGGTCGACACTGCCAAAGCAAGGCAACGCTATTTTGCCGCTCGGAGATCCCATGTCACAAAGCATCACTCTTTCACACCCCCCAGAAGCTGAAAGTACTGCCAAGGCCGCCGTCGAGGAGCTGCCGCCCTATACAGATGACATTGTCATTCCTGCCGACGAAAAGCAAGCTTGAGGGCTACTGAGCCCTGGTTACATGCTCCACTAGGTCTTCTCCTTCCACATTTGCGTCACCAAGCTTCTTTATCTTCGCGCGCAGCATCGTCTCATGTCACTCAGTAGAAAGCAATCCCAAGCGACCTCTTTCGTCTCGTTCGCCTATATGCATGCAAATTTCAAGCGACTGTTTGGCTGTGTGAAAGCGAATGGACTGACCGTTCCAGCTCTATCCGAAGGCTCTGGGCCAGCTTACAAGCTCCTCCAAACGCCATGCGGTTCATATTGTCATGGGCTTGTGACTCCTGCTTTTTCGCTGCTTGTCGCGCTTCGTGGGTCTTGCCATTGTTTTGCACGCTTCGTTAGATTCGAGCCATGCCACCCCTTGCACTGAGTGCCCGCCCATCGTCATCCAGTCTCTTGACAGTTCTGCATCCCGTCTGACCACAACGGCATGGCTAGATTGTCTACCACCCGCCCAGTGTCTTGAGTACAAAGCTGGTAGTCTTGAGTAGAGAGGCAAGAAAGGCTAGCCTCTTCTCTTGCGACCGATGAATCCAATGCCACTCGCTCGATCACCCGCGCCCTGTTAGCCCGAGATTCGTCCGCGGTCTTGCGCGTCTTCACTTCACGCGCGTGGATCAAGCGCCGCTTTGATTGAATGATTCTCGGCCAGGCTCGCGCCGACAAGCTCCGACCTGTTTTTCCGGTCAATCTTGCGCCTTTAATCCGGCGCACAGCATCGCGTATAGGTCATTTATTCATTCACGCAGCGCGCGGAGATGAAATTGTCGGCGGCTGTGGGTGCGCGGACGCATGGAGAAGGTATTTCACGTGTGGGAATAAGCGCATGGCGGAAATCAAACGCGTCCCTTATTGCTGACGAGGGAAACAAGGTCATCAGAAGCGGGCCCAAGATTCACATCGGGTACCGCAGCTTGCTGATCGGAGTACGTAATCTGACCAAGCCTGGGCCTCAATCTCAAACTCCGAAGTCGTGCAAAGACGGCGTGACACTTTTCGATTGCGCCTAGACCCGCGGAGCTGGACCAAGCTGTAGCTCTTCTTGGCTATGAGAAATGTCGAATCGCATGCCGATCGCGAGTCGCTGCTTCCAATTTTTACTCAAAGAACTCTGGAGTGCCTGTGCCTGCCTGGCCTGATCAGAATAGCTGTGAAGCATGCTCACCCAATTCCACAATCAAGAATGGCGCGCAGCTACTTTTTTCCACGCGATAGTGATTGAGAAGAGCACTTTGAGACGGCTTGTGAGGTGTCAATTTCATCTCTCGAAACCACAACGAATCGTGATTGGCACGCCAGATGATTTGGCACTGCAATCAATCGCCAGTCACTCAGTATCGACAAAATCTCGCAACGCGCTAATCTTTCCTCTTGCCGCGCAATTGCCGATGCCAAGCCAGATCTCCGGCAGATGCTGGCGCTTGATACAAGAATTAGTGCGCGGCTTCTGTCGGCGAACATGTGCCATCATATGCCTCAGTCATTTGTCAAGTGGGGGTCACGACACGACAGCAGGCTCAAGACCCGCGGATAGACATGGCCCGGTGCGTGAGCATCACGTTCGAATGCTGCTGGCGACTGACCTCATGGGCAATCAACGTGTGGCTTGCACGTACATTGGTCAATGTGGAACATGCGCGCGCCACAAATGCGCCGTGAATCGCAATTAATTTGGATATCTCCCGCGCGGTGCGCGTGCACTGGCTGAACATCGCGGTGTTATAGTGCTGCAATTAAGTAATGGACAGCCCCACGTCAAATCTTGCTCTGGCTACTCTGCTGACTACTCATTCAAGATTGTTTCGGAACAATCGCGAGAAGCACTTGCCAAACGTCAGCGTGCGTATATACTTTGGTCACGACACCGCCACGATCACGAGGTCAAGCTGCAAGGGTAGGACAAAGGACATCCCGAAATATCTCGAGGCAGCCGGGCTCCTCATTCTCCGAGCTCTGCACCATGTGTTGCACTGCGCCAAGGTCTGCAGCGGAGATGCAGGTCGGCTATCCTTGCCGCCGTGTGTGATGTGATGTGATGTATTCGTGTAACGTCGCTACAAATCTGTCCTCATATGATATGTATCGAGTCAGAAGAGTGCGTCTCGCAACAGGGATCGCAGCAGCAATCGGGGCGCTCAGTCAAGTGCAGGCGCTGTACAGCAGCAAGCTGCACGCTTGCGATTCTCACGTCTGACTCTGCTGCACTGGTGACTACTACTTCAATGTCAGCACTTTCGGTGGGTCGACCGCGGTGTTCCATGGACCTACGCAAGTCTGAACTGTTCCGTCAGTCCTGTCAGCGCCGAGAGACGGAACGCCTCGACGAAAGGTTATTATTTCACAATACATCGACTTGAAAGAGTCTGTCTATGACTCACAAAGCCTGTGCTTTGCTGCACGGTGTCTTGTGCCACCTGCAGGAATTGTCCGCACTCATGCACCTGTCGGTACTCTCACAGCAGCAGCGCTCAGCTGTGACTTGCGAGCCGATTAGCCGCTCGATAGGTGCCTGCCTGACCAGATCAGTATAGCGGCACGTCCAGCTGATTACGAAGCAGATTGGCGTGATTGCCGGAGGCGGCTTTCTTGATCGCTCTTTTGCTGCCGCACGGCCTGGCACACTAGAAATGATTAATCCCGAGATGACGGTCATGGCATGCAAGTAAGAGCGCCTAGCCGATCGCAGTGGACCTAGTCAGAACCGACAGTTCGGTACGCTGGAACAATGAAGCCGTGGCACCTCCTAAGCCAAGCGATGCGAATTTGAAAGGTTGCAAGTCGTACGTACAACATCTGCAAAGGAGTCGAGCCTGGAAGCCGCGGAGATGCGGTTTTCGGAGTGGTCTGGTCGACGGGCATATCAGTTCCTTGCCCTTTGCCCGTCAGGCAACTGCATGCATGCAGGGTTGCATATGCTGGCTGCAATTGAGCCATGCCGTTGCTTCACCTTGCTCCTCCAGCAACTTCGACCCCTGCCTGCTGCTGCATGGCTTGCCGCTGCTGGAGGGGCGGCGCCCACACCTAAGACATCTTCATGCATGACTTTGCTCCCGTGTGCTTTCCTGCCCCGATGCCCAGCGATTCAAATCTACACTGATGCAACTTCGTGCATGTGAGAGCACTGCTGTACGCTACTTGCAGCATCGTCCTTGCTCAAGGCGGCTCACGGGATGGACGGACGAATCTGTGTTCCTTGTTGTGCTTATTCGTGATTGACGTCTGCAGCATCTCACTTATTGAATCTGACAGAACTCTCGCAGAGGTCGACCAAAATGGAAGTGGCGGACGTGCCCTGCCTTCGTATCGCTTGCAGCGACATTCACGATTGAATGAGACGGGCCAACGTAGAACGTGTGCATGCGGTAACCTCGTGATTGCATATGGTCTGATGCCAAGCCTGTCTCTTCGTCTCACCTTCCGAGACTGACACTTGGTTTAGCAGCAGTCACGAGTGTGCGGTGGTACCGTTCCGCAGAGCAATCATGCAGCTTGTGGTACGTCTAAGTCACACCCAAAAGTGGAGTCAGAGTGTAGTGTAGTAGGAGAGTAGTGACTATAGTAGTTTGAGTGCGTCCGTCGGTCGCCTTCCTATGTGTGATTCGTGAGGCTGACTCCTGCCTGCGTCCACGCGCGCGAACGCAAGTCGGGCGCATTGATGCTGATCGGGTCACGTCGGCTAACTCGGCTACAGGACCTCGTCTCACGTCGTCTTGGACGCTATGGTAGCGCGTTGCGTCCTCCAAGGCAGACAGACACCTGCGCGAATGCAGAAGAGCGGTAGCTTTGCTCCGATGTATCACGAGAGTGCGATCAAGAGAAGTGCGGGCAGAACCGTCCTTAACTGCTGATTCAGCCAGTGTGCTCAATCAAGCGGCGGAAATCAATCTTACGCGAGATTCAGATTCTACAACGTATAGCGACTAGTTGGATGGCTGCCTTGGCGGCCAACGCAGCGGACTTTGCGCCTCGACTCCAGCGGCGCTAGACCGTGTTCATTCACGGCGCCACGATGCGAGTGACCCACAGCTATAGCATGACTTTCTTCGCGCACATGTTCGGCGCTCCTCATGGTCGCCCGGCCCTGGTGCAGTGCGCACTCCAGATCGTGCGATGGGGAGCGCATGAGACTCCTCCACCACACTTTCTCACCAGCATGCACCGCGAACAGACCGTTGTGCGCCGACGCCACACCAGCGCAAGCTGCATCAGTAGCGCAATCAAGTTGCGGCCAATTGCTGCAGCAGGTCGGGTGAAAACGCCTTGACATCTGATGTCGCAATGCGAACGAACACTCCTGACTCTCCATTGACCCGAGACTGCTCTGCTGTACGCTGCTTAGCTTCGATCTGCCCTTGCTCGCTGCTAGCAGCCGCTACCTGAGCAGTCCGAATTCGCTTGCCACAGTATGCATGCGGAGTGCTTGCTTAGCACGAGGTTGCTCCAAAGCGACTGTAACTCTGGCCGCACACTTTTGCGATGCCGTATACAACCTGCTCAAAGACCCACTCGCCCTCTTGAAAGCAGAAGAGACCCGTGCCTGTCCACGAACGAGTGAGCACAAGTAGAACCTCGAAATTCCCGACCTTTAGAGCTGCAGCGCGGTACAGATTCTCTCCATTGTACTTTGAGGGCTGATGAGGCACACGCCCGTTGAACATCTGCACGGTGACTTTCACCACGCGTCTCGTACCGCTATCCTGCCCGCACCCAGCCAGATTCTTCAAGTCCAAACAGTCGGACCTTCCACGATACCGAGGCGTTCTGCCGCCCAAGACCACCATTGTGCAACGGCAAACGGAGCTCAGTCCGTTCGTCACCCCAGCTGGACAGAGGTCTCGAGCGTGGCGCTGTTGTGTACGCGCCGATATTCGTGACCGCCGACCAGCTTGGTGCTGCATTCGACTTGCTCTGCTCGCCCAAGCGATTACTACCTGGTCGTCGCCCGGTGGCCGTATATATGCCCAACAATTCGTACCGAACTTTCCCATTCGCTCCTGTCGTGTTCCATCTCAATGCGTCATCTTCAGCTCTCGTCTCTCACAGCGCTCGATCGTCCTTGACCTTTACTTACAATCAGACGCACAGATATTCATCTCTTCACCACCACCTCAATGTATCGTGACCCTAGAGATACCACTGATGGCCGCCAGGCGCGGCCTCCTCCCCCGGTCTTGTCGACCAGACATCTACCTCAGCGACCCCCAACGGAGGATGACGAAGATACGTACTTGTCCACCCCGTCCGACAACTATGAGCGCCCAAGCTCATCCACAAGCGCTTTGAGAGGTCGCTTCGACAGTTTTGGTTTCTCTTCTCGTCGCCGATCCAATACTAGCAGTCAGCTCGAGGTGCCGCTGCCTCCCCCGCCTCCTTTCTCCAATTCTTCTCGACCAATTGCTCCCCGCCCTCATCATCCTCGACAACATCCCGACGATCGCTTTGGCGATGTTAGAAGGCCGCACTCGAGCTCTGGTATCGCCGTGGACGCACGCTTGCCTCCAGTACCACAAGACTGGGGTCTTACCTACGACCGGCCCACCGCTCGTGTCACTAGCAGCAGCTATGCGAAGCCATCGTATCCACCGGCAACAGGAAGTGTGCCAGCAGTCCCTCCAAGTGCCAGATCGAATCTGGGAGGGTCCCCATCGCGTGCGTTTGCCTTTGCTCCAGGTGCATCATCCTCCACGACCCCTGGGTCTTCGTCTCTGGCGTTTACACAAAGCGCTGGTGCGGCTCCAATCGATGCCGGACCCAGCTCCTCTGGTCGACGGCCGTTTGATGTTCCTGGCCCGCGACAACCCTTTGACACCTCGCCATTCGGTCAGTCAAACGCACATCAGCAGGTAGCGAGCGCTCGAGCAGTCGATCGACCTGTGATTAGACGACGATCTAACACTACCCAGGTAGAAGGAATAGGACCTTGGTATGGCCCCTCTGGAACCGTCCATGATGCTTCTCATCACGGTATACCGCCCGCTCCCGAGGCGGCGCCACCAACTCTGACTAGCTTGCCGCTGATGGATCCGGATCTAGAGCCTAGGTGAGCATCTTCTTGAACAAACCTCTTGAGCTTGCCGTATCCAGCGCTGACCACACGTCGCTGGTTCTCGGCTCGATATAGGTCTTACCGTCTGCACATACGACAGCAGCCTACACATGGTCGCATGTTTGGCTTTCGCTCGCGAGAGCGCAGACCACTCGACCCCCTGCCGATCGTCGAGCTAACCATTCGAGATCGTAATGGAGAGATCGACTGGTTGTGCGTGCTGCTGCTCATAGCCCAACATGTGCTCATCATTGCCCTCGCACTGCGCTGACTCGTGCACCTGTTGATCCTCTAGTGCGCAAACCAGTCCTGACTTGCTGATGCAGGTCAGCCTCATCACCGATGTAGCTCACAAGGACGAATTGGTGTCTTCCAGCGCCAATCCGAGTGCCACTATGCCTCAAAGTCGCCTTTTGGAAGGAAAGCTTGCCTCCAGCGGACATATCGTCAAGGATCTCGATGGCGAAAGAGCGTGCTTCTTCCTCTTTCCGGATCTCAGCGTCCGCGTCGAATCCATGGCTTCACTGCACTTCTCGTTGCTCCGACTTGGCGGTCCAACGTGAGTGAAGCCAAGGACTCGACGCTCTTGTGCTTTGACAGCGAGCTGATACCGTCGCGCGCTGTTTCACAGGTGGGAGTCTGGTGGCTCAGGACCTGCAGGTCGTGTAGTCGCAGAAGTGACCTCGGATCCCTTCCAGATTCATAGTCCCAGAACATATCCGGGCATTGGCGGTGAGTCACCTTCAGTCTGGCTCTGTCCACCCGACACTCTTTCTAATCTCCGTATCCTCGGGCCCTCCAGAGTCCACCGAGCTGGCAAAGTGTCTGGCAGCCCAAGGTGTGGCTGTTCCCATCAGGAATCAGGGCCGGAAATGAGTCGACGCGCGCCCCGCCTCATCGCGCTGCGCTCGTAGCTTTCTAGCCTACCTCTGCCTCTTGCGCGCATCATTTACGTGCCGGACGACAAGACGCATGCCGCTGCATCACTATCCTCTTTCATTCGAGCTAGCGGTCATGGTGCCCAGACTTGCTTTCTCCCGTTCGCTCACGCCAGACGCAGCACATACCCGAGCACGTTGATAGCCGCTGCTTTCACGCTGCAGCTTGGCAAAGCAACGCAAATGAGATGTGCTAGACGGTCCGACAGGAAAGGGTCGTGAGCGCGCAAGTGGCGAACGAAGCAGATGCGCTTTGCTTGTGCGATGCTGCAAAGTCGAGACACCGATGTATTGAAGTGTACAACCCAAAAGGTGAGGAATAAATGAAAGATGACAGCAAGTGGACCTGATGCGGTAGGATACAGGGTAAGTAGGGAAGGCAGAACGAGCAAGTGCTAGCAAGGAGACTTGCGCCGCGTGTGGTCTTTCCAGCAGCGAGGTGTCGCGATT